TCACATACACACATTTAACATACAATAACTTCACACACACACAGCTTTGTCACATACCATCTCTCACATACCATAACTTCACACACACACAAACTTAACATACCATAACTTCACACACACTCCGCACACACGACTTTGTCACACACACACACACTCACACAAACACGCCGCGGCATTTTGCGTGGCAGGCGTGACACAACCTTACATCCACCTTCGTTTCACGTGGCCCCTGTCCTACACGTGAAACGAAGGTGGATGTGAGATTGCGCCACGCCTGCCACGTGAAACGAAGGTGGATGTCACCAAGTGCCACGCCTGCCACGCAAAGTACCGCGGCGTCACGCGCGACTAAACCGGGCCCAAGGGCGCCACCCAATGCCATGAGTGCCCCGCCTGCCACGCAAAACGACCGTGGATGTGAGATTGTGCCACGCCTGCCACGTGAAACGAAGGTGGATGTCACCAAGTGCGCAGTGCTGCCGCATGCAGAGCAGCTGATATTGCAGCGCTGGCGAAAAAACTGGTCTGCAATGTCGCGCACACACATCATCTTTCACACGCAGCATCTTTCACACGCAACTTTGTCACACACATACAACTACATACATACATACATACGTACGTACGTACATACCTACCTACCTACCTACCTACATACATACATACATACATACATACCGTTTTACCTTCTCGATCTTTCACCACCTCCTTTGTCTTTCCTTCCTTCCCTGCCCCCGCTAAAACCATTGAAGCTCATTATTGGAAGAAGTTGACTTGTGGGGTTATCCGGTCCTTTAATTGTTGTTGTTGTTGTTGTTGTGGTTGTTGTGGTTGTGGTTGTGGTTGTGGTTGTGGTGGTTGTGGTTGTGGTTGTTGTGGTTGTGGCCCATCCGCAAGGTCTGCAGTAGGCGCATCTTGGGGCGAGGTTGGCCCAGCTTGCGGCTATGTTGGCCCCTCTTGGATCAGTTTGGGGCCATCTTAGGGGCTATGTTGGCCCGTCTTCGAGCTATGTTGGCCCATCTTGGGGCTATGTTGGCCCCATCTTGGGGCTATGTGGGCCCAGCTTGCGGGCCATGTTGGGCCATCTGGGGCCCGCTTGCACGCGTTTTGGGGCGTGTGTTGAGCCATGTTGACCCATCTTGACCCACAAGATCGGAAAAATGGGAAAGCCACAAAACACCGTAAATTGCGGTATATTTGTAGGGCAGGGCGGGCAGCGCCTCTCTCCTACGGAGAAAAAAGAACTGCCGTATGGCAATGCGTGGGCCCCTGGCCGGATTTCTGAGCTGACGCTCACCGCCGGCTCCGCTGGATTACTACCCTCCATTTCATCGCAGTGTGGGCTTGAAAGCTATTGAATGAGGACCTGCTTCAGAAATATATTCTTTATGTTTTTGGAACATATTTGTTGGAACAAATTAGGTGTTTTTTTCGGAGCAAGTCAGTTCCCGAAACCTCCTGCGAAGGGTTTTTCCTAAAGAACTGCTGCCAATTTCAAATTGTTACTTGGTGTAAAGGGCGCCTCTGTGCAAAGACTTCTCTGTGTAAAAACTTTTGTGTGTTAAAAAATCTGTGTGTAAAAACCACTCTGTGTAAAGACTTCTTTGTGTAAAAGGCTCTGTGTGTGAAAACTTCTCTGTGTGAAAGCGCGTCTGTGTAAAGGTTTCTCTCAAGCCTCCAAAACTTTGCCTCCGCCACACCGAAACACCATGCAACTAAAGAATAGACGAGGCCTTCGGCCTGCGGCTGCCTCTGCCTAACGTTGCCTTCTGGACGGACCAGAAAGTAGCTCCAAATTGCAGCCTTCAAGATTCCAGAACTTTGCCCAAATTGCAGCCTTCAAGCAAAACCTTGCCTCCCACACCGAAACACCATGCAACTAAGGAACGGACGAGGCCTTCGGCCTGCGGCGCCAAGCTTCCAAAATGCAGGCTTCGCCAGCCTGAAGCAGCATGTGAAGCCCCTCGGCACTTGCTGCTAGCAATCTCTTCTCTGACGCGCTCCCCCTGCCGTTGGCTGGGGTCGGTGGATATAGTATATAATTAGTGATGTTTTTTTTGCATCCCCCAGGATGAGATCCGATGTTCGCTAAACTCACCCCGCCATGGGCAGCCTGCGCGGTCTCTCGCCGCTTTTTGTCGCATAGCTGGCAGCTGCCACAGGTGCCATTGAGCCATACCTTGGAGGATGCCTTGATTCAGCAGCTGGTGCCTCAACAGGCCATGGCCATGGGCTGAGGTGTGCAATGACTGCAATGCTTCCATCCCATTCCTTGCTTCGATTTGCTGCTCTATACATTTATAGGTACTGTAACCCTTTGTCCTTGTGGAACGATTTCAGGAACCTGAGAAAGGCAAAGTTTACCTTCCGGGTCCGTCGAAGTTGGCCCAAGAAACATTCCTTCACGTTGGCATACATTATGTAAGTACATTGGTTTGTTCAATATCTTTGCTGGTGAACCATACTTTTCGGCCCCAGCTGTGTGGACAAAGACGCCACAATGCCCAACTTACATCGAGTTCCTGCGATTCCTGCACTTGGCCGGAGCAAGGCCTTGCTGAGATGTTGTGTGTCAGATTCGCACAAACCTTGCGATTTTGGGGTAATTATACGGTATGGCACATTCTCGGGCAAACCCACATGCACGCAAAGCATTTGAGATTATTGGCACAGAACATGTTGCCCATTGTTTTCCTCAGGCCCGAGGTTTTGATTCCACACCTAGGGATGAATGCAGACTCAGACCACTGGGCCTGGAATTTTGACCCGCAGGTGGCAATTTTGCTAGCTGCCTCCTGCTTTCCGAGGCGTTTGGCTTGCCTGCTCCTATATCTTGCGTTTACTGACTGTACATGTTTATCATATTTGCATGTACTGGATATATGATATATATAATTATACATATATATATATAGAATATTACAGAGTATAGTATTGTTTTGTGTATTATTATGTTGTCGTGCGATATCATCCTACATTATCTTACATTGTCATATTATGGCATCTCTTGTGATGTTCTATTTTAAAGCCTTTTGCTATGTTGTCGTATATTCTGTTATAGTATCTTATATCACGTTATGTTATAATATCATCTTTTCTTACTTGTTATTACTAACGGCATTGAGATGATTTCGGCAAATCTTCGAGTTTGAATTCACCTTGTTTTTTCTGTTTTTCAAATTTTGGTTAAAATAAGCATTTCTTAATTGCAAACAATCATTTCCTAATGACATCTTGGTTTCAAGAGCCACACTTCAAAAAACACAAAGAATTTAAGGGGATACATTCAGCGGGTCGCGGAAACCTTTTCCACAAAATTTGAAGTTCCTATTTCCTTGGCTGGCGGCCGACAGTCTGGGCCCAAATCAAAGGTGTCGTTTTTCAGTTTACGGATAGCCAAGTTGCAGTTGCAAAAACTGAACGGGTTGAAAACACATCCAGTTTTTTGAAAAAATGAAAGTTACATGACTTTTCCGTGTTTCTGAAAATTTGGAAGTCAAACCATGTCAAACCTGATTAGATAAAAATTCTCACATGACACTCAGCGCACAGGTTCCAAACCAGCAAACACAGGCTTGGAGTTAGAGGATTTCATCCAAAACCTGATGTTGTTATCACTCTAGACTACGGGTTGAAGTGATTTTGGCAAAACTTTCAAATAGAATGTCTCTTTTGATACGTGGGATGAAGATTTGGTGCAAGAAACACTGAACAACCTCTGCTGCGTTAAAAAACTATGTTTGGTATGTTTGGTGATTTTTCTACAGTGCGTGCATTTCGTCAGACTTATGTATCACGGTCCCTGTATACACCTTCCTCGACCAGAAAACACAAAATGCGGGAATTGGACTTATGGCGGCGTGGAGCCTGTGGGACTTGATTTTGATAGGGTACGTTGCAGATTGGCCACCTCAACCTGAAAAACCCTGCAGTTGAGCCCCCTGTTCTCTGTACAACAAAAGTTTTTGTGTTTTTCACTATCCTTTGCAACGCCTATGATTGAAAAGCATCAATAGCAATTTTGCTGTGCAGTTGCGTTTTCTTTCTTCAAGGTAGCTAGGACTCGGGATTGAAGCAATGTCATGTTCAATTTTGGCTTTTGAACACGCTTGATAATTGGACAACACTTGGCCCCTCAGTTCCAAATCTGCTGGTTGCCCCTGATCCAGCGTCCCGGGGTATCTTCACCTTTCGATACCTACCGTGACCCAAACAAGGTACAGTACAGTAACAATGGGCCGGTTTTCAAAACAAGGAACATGCTTTCTGGAAGAATATCTTGCAATTTTCCCCTTATACAGCAACAACATCTACCACAAAAACCACCCAAGGCTATGGGCAAAAACAATACAGCGGTAAATAGACATTCTGGCCAAACAACCAAAACACGGAATTCGGTTGGGGTGACTAACCAAACATCATCCTGAGACAAACAAACCGGTCACAAAACACTATATATTGGTATTGTGTTTCCTTGATTGAAAAGGTTTCTCTGAACATACTACCTAAGTTGCAAATGCAGGTAACATAAAGACAGGAGCTAGTAAGACTACAGGGCATGCTTTCTTCCTGCTTCAAGGTAGTTCATTGCAAGAAAAAACCGCAGACATGTATGTTTATATGAATGTAAATGATTTTATATTTAGAACATGTAGCTATGCACACAGCTTCTACAACGGTATTTTAATGTGCATGCGTAATCAGTCAAAGTCTAGTGCGACAGCGGAACAAGGTTGAAAAGATCTGTGCACCCAGCAAATCCAGGTGACAATAGGGATACCGCCCAATGAAACACATTTTTTCCAATTTTTCAATATCAATAGCATTCCAACCAAAATTTCTGAAAAGATATCTTGCGACAAACAATGCCATATCAAACCCGCAACAAAAATCTGAAGACATGCAAAACCCAATAGGGGTAAACATGGCATGTGAGGAAGTGTGCATGCTTGAAAATGCGCGACAGCAGGTGCACACACGTGCAGGCTTTCCGGGCTGGAAGCAAAAAACATGTTTTGTTTTTGTTGGGCATCATTTGCTACCTGTTAACAGGTCGATGTCCATGCCCACGATCGTTCTTTTTCATCAACTATACAATTCAATAAATCTTTCTGACATCAATTTTCTGTGCACCTCGTCCTCAGGCTTGTGGAAAACAAACCAGGCATTTGCGCAATCTTCGCAATAGTTCGCACAATGGTTCGCGCAATGTTTCTTACAAGGGTTCGTACAATGGTTCGTACAATGAGAAAAAAGTTCGTACAATGTTCGTACAATGCCCTACTAAAGTTCGTACAATATTGTACAATTTTTTTGGCCATTGTACGAACTGCTTGGCCATTATACGAACTTTTTTGCCATCGTGGCATTTTTGGCCGTTTTTTGAATTTTGTACTGGCAACGTACGAAGACGTAGTCTAATTCTGAAGCTATAACGCCGCGCCAAAAAGACAAACGGAACTGACTGTGCAAACAACCCAAACAGTTCATTTTGTTTGATTCTGTCCTATGCGGCCATACTGACTTTCAAGAAAACACCTGTATTGTTGTCCTGGGTTTGCTGGCCATTGCAAGCGCGCCGTCCTAAGGGCTACTGTACGGGTTGATGCCATTGCGCATCCAAGAGAAGTAGGTGACTAAGCATTGTAAGGAACTTAAACGCAAACATCGTTTTCTTTTGGATATGCAATTTGAGATCATTGACTATGTGCAATTTCCTTGCAAAGGCCACACCTTTTGTTGTGAGGCATTGGCGCGGCTGAAAGTTCAAGAATTGCGACTTTAAATTCTAAAAGTTTTTTTTGCAGAAGTCAATGACTGACAATTCCTCGCATGGCCCGGACTTATTTACATGTCAACGTCGTGAGACTCATGAAGGAACGGTTGGCTACATCCTGGCTACAGGTGTTCGAACCATACCAATTCAAGTATGCTCTGCACAAATGGCACCAGTTTTATGAAAATCATTGATGACAAAGGCATGTTTCGACTGAATGTGCAAAAATTGGTCCGGCTGAGCGCGTATATTGTACAGTTGAAATCATCCTCCGCATGTTTCGCCCAGCAGTTCTGTAGCCGAAACAAGCACACGCAGGAATGTTTGACTGCATGCAGGTACGGGTATGTGTGTACATGATAGACTTACATATGTTTGTATTTGCATGTGATGCGTGTGTGCGTGTATCAGTCTTGAAATTCAGATGCTTTCATCTAATGTCCATGTTCAAGCCCAGTACTCTAGCGATAGAGCAACTTCGAACAGTCTTGTGTAATAAATTTTGTTTATGCGCCACTCTGCGCGTGAAAAGTCATTGAAGAGAAAACCTCCAAGTTCAAGGACGGAGTGGTTTCAAACAGCTCGGTGGGTTACGGGCTGCCGCATGGCAACCCACATAGTTTTTCCAAAATTTCACTTTATTCACCCAGACATGTTCAAACGCAATTTAATTGAGTTTGCACAATCCAACGCTGGAGTTTGGTGCGGGTAAGTGCGAGAAGAGTTTGTTCTTGGAACTCTTCTACAGCCGATTTTGATCCAGCAGTGCCATCCTTGGCTTGGGCTTGAGGTTTTGGGGTTTAAAGCCTCGCGGGTTCTATGTTTTGATGAACGCTTGGCTCCGAGCAAATATTCCAACAAAAATTGTTTTTGTTTTAATTCCAAAGTTTTGATTGTCATTGGAACTTTGGTCCTGTCGTACTTCCGACCAGAGAAACTAGATAATTCATAATCTGAAATCTACTCAACCACGCCAATTTCACACCTGCTATTTTGGATTTGTCCTTGTCCGCCGGATTTTTTTTTTCATCTTGTCAGATCTGACTTCAAATTTTCAAGATGTCAAAGAAAAAATGTTATTCTTCTAGTTTCCAATGATTGGTCCTGAGACTAGTAATCAATATCACCTTGATCAGCCTTCTGCCACAGCAGCTTGGCCATCCTATTTTTTTTTCTTGGCCACATCAGAAAGAAAAAAATATTACGATTTTGACCTCCATCCTGAGCCATTGGGCCGAGCAATGCGAACCAAGATAAACACATAATTCTGACAAAAAATGAGCTGTGTTAAACAATATCGAACCACAACGCATATATGTTTTTTAAAGCTCAGCGGAGGTTGTTCGCTGTTTCTTGCACCGGGTCATCACCCCAAGTAAAGCAACCAAAGAAACGTAACATTTCAGCGCGCATGCTACTTCAAGTCAGCTAGCCAGCCGACAGTCTTGTATATGTACTACGCGGCATGTGTTATTGACGGTTTTTTTTTGTGTGGAAAGATGATTTTTGTTGCGGTATAGGCATGATATCTATTGAGACAGTTTGCGCGTTGCGTTTCCCCATGAACTGGCTGAAAAAAAATCACATTTATAGATTATGGACACAAATCAGGATTTTTTCGTTCAAAAAATAATAATCATCAAAACATTGTTCTGAACAGTTTTTCACCTCGCGCAAACACGCAGTCGTAACCCCAAATCGGCTCAACGCCGTCAGTACTTGTTATAGTGTTTTCCTGGTATAGTTATATCTTTAGATATACACATGTAAATGCACACAGTCTGCATACAAAAATATATGTTGTGTTCTATAATGATATATATATATATATATTATCTTGTCTTTTTAGGTATTATTATGTTGTACTATTCATACGATAGTATAGCATAGTATAATATAGTATGGTAAAGCAAAGTACAGTACAGTACACAGTACAGTACAGTACAGGTACAGGTACAGGTACAGTACAGTACAGTAGATTCTGTTCGATCATGTTGTATTATGTTTTTTCTTTTATCTTGTATAACTGATTATTTGTTTCCATTGTGTTCTTGAAGCACAGAGATGCCTTCCTTTGCTTTCTTTTGTTTGCTGCCGACCGAATTGCGGGATTATGTAAACACTGACTTGGGCACTATGAAGGTCCCCCCGGCTAGAACGTGAAAGTGCCATGGCAGGCTGTGTTCTGACGCCTTTGCGAGAAATCCACCCAGGAGCAAATCCTCTCCAACGCATTTTGTGGCCAGGAACCTTAGAAATCTTTGGACGAAGTTTCACTTCAAGTTTTGGCTCTGGCTTGAATCTCCACCCCATCCACACCACATGTTTGATGTCATTACATCACCACTCATGCGCCAACACCTCGACCAGTGGCTCCAGAAGTGCGCAAAGACTTGCGCTGGGACCCGCTGGGAATTGGCCAAAACGAACTTTGAAGATGTGAGATGAAGAGGTTACCGGAACATCAAAAGTGTCAGTATATTATCTCGACATATCTCAACAGTGATTGAAGGAGAGTTGGGTTCCTCTTAGATCCGAACTGATTATGGATGGTTTCCAGCCCAAAAGTACAAGCTGGAGAAGACGATCGAGCAAAGGTCGTTTGTTTGTCCCTTAGAAGTCATCTTGATATGGCTACTCGTGCCATACGCCGTCGAGGGTATCTTCGGACCGCACAGGACAGGAAAACTGCGGGCTGCCTGACCAAGTCCAATCTTTTGCTACCGCACTTGGGAAATGAACTGGTCTTAAAAAGTCACAGCTCCACGCTAAGGCAGGAACGTGTCCATTTGGGATAGTTCATGTGCTGCAATCCTTTTCAATCCAGCTAGGAATGTAATTTTAAAACCCTCGGAGATTGCTTCAAACTTTGGGTGCCGCGATTCAATCCAGACGTTGGTTCTGTGAGCGAGGACCCCCATTCTCAACCCGATGCCGTAGCACACACCGTGGCAGCAATGCATGCTGAAGGCATGCTGGAAACACCTCAGGACCAGTCGTTGCAGGGAAGTCATTCCCAAGCGCTACTGCGCTTGTCGCAACTATTCTGAAAACAAGAATGACTTGCACGAAGTTATGTTCGCATGTCGACAAGCATGATAAACATGTAGGTCTCATGTTTCCGACCTGCATGCGTGAACCATCTCCTCTGAAGCTGGACATATCTGCAGCGCCAACGTTGCTGATTAATTCGCAGGACTACACCTTTGCCATCAAGACACTTGGGCGTAAGGGCCTCTGTTGGATACTCAGGCTGAAGCCCAATGGTGTCGCATAGAACCACAGAGTTGGGTCATGTTTAGTAACTGTACTAATCATCAAGTTTCGGGGGCGCCCGGGTGCCCAATTTCGACCCAAATCCATTGGCCCTTGGGTGAGGTCAGCAAGCCTTGACCATCCTGGAGTCCATGGTCCACATGGGTCCTCCGCCCAATGTGATCCATTTCAATGCGGCCATTTCGGCTTGTGAAGCTAGTGGATATTGGGAAGGTGCACTCGGACGTGGCAACACCAACTTGGAAACAGTTCACTTTCTGACGACTGTGTATGGGTCAGACTTGGGATGCCACAAAATGGATGGCCACGACATTTCTGACCGGACTCATCGGCTTATGACTCTTTTTGTTTTGTTGCGAGGAGCTTTGGTGTACCACGGGATTAGTATGCAACTATTCGGCTGTTCGGAAAGCAGAGAGAGAGAGGGCGAGGGGGGAGGGAGAGAGAGAGAGAGAGAGAGAGCGAGAGAGCGAGAGAGCGAGAGCGAGAGCGAGAGCGAGAAGGAGAGAAGGCGAGAAGGCGAGAAGGAGAGAAGGAGAGAAGGAGAGAAGGAGAGAAGGAGAGAAGGAGAGAAGGAGAGAAGGAGAGAAGGAGAAAAGGAGAGAAGGAGAGAAGGAGAGAAGGAGAGAAGGAGAGAAGGAGAGAAGGAGAGAAGGAAGAGAGAGAGAGGAGCATATTCCTTCTACTTCTCATGTATGTGTGTTTTTGTTTGTTTTTCGCGTGTATTATCTGAAAAAGTTGCCTTTCTGTGAATTCGCGAGTCACTCTGGGGCCATCAGTTGTGGTTTCGCTTGTCGCAGGTGCATTGATGCTGCTGCAGCACATGACCTTCCTGGGTATCAGCCCAGATGTCATCAGCTTCAATGCGGCCATCACTGCGTGTGGTCGGCAAATGCAGTGGCAAGTTGCAATGGACCCATGGCCGCCGGGTCTTGAGCGATTGGAATCCATGACCCAGCTATCTTGACACATAGCCAAGTCTTTTGCGTAGATGCCACAAGGGATTCATTTCTCTTGGAACCTCACAAGTTGCTTTACATGGCAGACGGACAGTGTTCATTCCTACCGTATTGGTTCCGCTACTTGTCAAGCTGTTCAGATGTGGACACGGGGCCTCGAATATTTTACTTCTGCAAGGCAACTTTTGGCAGATTTAAATGCGTAGACTTTTAGCACCCAAGTGTAGGACCCCGAGAGCATGCCATGATGACCCAGACTCGCGGTCTCAGGGCCTGCTGCAGCAGATGCGCTTGACCATGAAGCCCAACATTGTCAGCTCCTTGCCTTTGCAAAATGGGCTGCCTGACATTGTGCTGCAAAGACGTGTGGCAGATTTGATTCAACCTGCCGTGCTAGGAACTTGATTATCGGAGGAGCAAGATCCACAAAACCTCCCCTGGGCGCGCTCCAGCGAGTAAGATATGTAAGATGCACAGAGGTGTTCATTGATGCTCATTGGTTTACTGTTTGCCTCTAACATCCTCTAACGATGTTGTGTCAGCGTCCAGGCAGTCACTGGTATTTTTGCTACTGCCCATTGTGCTTCCTACCTCCTGAATCATGTGAGATCGGTCGAGGTTGGACTGCGGTACATGTATTGTGGCCTTGTGTGCCCTCATCTCAATATGATGGAATTAAAGCTTATGCATGTGCCCTGCAAAGGTTATGGTGCAGCTATAGACGCATGTGCAAAAGCTGGCCGTTGGGAAGAAGCGCGTGGATTACTGGATGAGCGTTGGCTAAAACTTTGCATTTGCAAATTACATATAGTGGGTATGGGCCAAACCTATAATAAAGCCCGCAAAATGGGAGTGCCACACATGCGCAAGTTTTTGGGCCCAGTGGGACCCCCTAATGCTGACCCATCTCTAAATCTGTCAGGTGTGGGATGGAGATGGAAGGTTGTGTTGTGCACTCGCCCAAAGCCTAGCCCATGGGATCCACAGCAAACCCAGCCATGTAGATAGCCACAGAAGAGATGTCTTGAGTGCAAAACAGGTTGGGTTTGCATTCTAAAACACAACCGCCAGGCCGTGCCATAGCGTTTTCAATTGACATTTGTCAGCAAACTTCTCAAGCCATCAGAAATGTCAACCCGGATTAATAAACTCAGGCTGTTCATGGGGGGAGTTACCCCAAAATTGGTGCACCCTTTATTAATCAACTGGGGTTTAGCAAAATCTTGGCTTAACATTAGTTTGAAACACACGCCCAAGGAGATGATCCTTGCTGGCCTAACTCCTAACATGGCCAGCTGCAACGCGGCTCTGTGCGCGGCCAAAGCAGCTGGCCGCTGGCAGGAAGCAGAGGAGTTGTTGGAGAAGCTTCTTGATTCAACTTGCATCACAGGATGTCACAGGGATTTTAAACTTGTATCCAGGTTAGTGACCTTCCAATAAGGTTTGGTCTTATGTGTTTGGCTTTGCAACCACCAACAGCCGACAGCCCGGACTGCAACATTGTGGGCACCCTGTTGTTGAACATGATAAGAGCGCTTGCAGAAAGTTCTGCATATACGCGGTGTTTTCTGGTTTAGGGTTTGGGGTTTAGGTTCCGCAAAAGTAGTCGCGCGGGGGCGGGGGCCTGCCGGTTCCGCGCTCACTCTCCTCAGTTGACCCACCCCAGCCATCCAAATTAAAAACTTTTAGGGTTTAGGGTTCCATTCAAAGTGGAACCCTTGAAGGTTCCCAGTGGCCCAGTGGGTTCACCAAGCTTCGAAAAATGCGCTGGGGAAACCCACCATGCTTGGGCGCATGTGGGGGCCCACTGTGGGGGGTGACAAGATGGCATGGAGCTCAAGACGCTTCAAATGACCAGCCTAGAAGTTCCGGAGGCCAGAAATGGACGTTTTAGTCTTTTGCGGGAGCATGCTACCCCTGTAAAACATGCAACCCCAGTTTGACATGGTTCGGACTGTGGGGCTATTCCTTATTGACTTGCGTCAGAGGATCGCAGCCCCCAGGCGCGGCCGGCTGGCGCCGCTGTGTCCTGCTAGGCTTGACCCTAGCAGGCCCTTAGTGGCGTCGAGGCGTAGCCTCGAGCCAGAGGCTCGAGCGCCCATGTATATGGTCAGCGGCGCTCTCGCCTATTTAGGGCCTGAAGCTCTGTTTGACAGTGAGATTACTTCATTGGGTAGGCATTTTTCTTTGTGTTTCACCCCACCGGACCGTTGCGCCCAAGTCATTTTTGATCTTCTCCTTTCCTCCTCCCTCCTCCGTGTTCTTTTTCTCCTTTGGTCGTTGTTTCTTCCGTTGTTTCTTCGTTTGTCTGTTTCTTTGTTTCTTTGTTTGTTGCATTGTTCGTTCCTTTGTTTGTTGCTTTGTTTCTTACTTGGTTTGTTGCTTTGCGTCTTTCTTTTTTGTTTCTCCGGTGCTTGGTTTGCCAATTTGTTTGTTTCTTTGTTTCCGTGTTTGTTTTTTATTGTTTGGTTCTTTGTTCGTTCGTTCGTTCGTTCGTTCGTTCGTTTGTTTGTTTGTTTGTTTGTTCGTTTTTTGTTTGTTTGTTTCTTTGTTTGTTTGTTTCTTTGTTTCTTTGTTTGTTTGTTTGCTTGTTTGCTTGTTTCTTTCTTTCTTTCTTTCTTTGTTTCTTTGTCTGTTTGTTTGTTTGTTTGTTCGTTTGTTTGCTTGGTTTTCTGTTGCTTGTTTGTTCGTAGGTTTCTTCGTTTGTTGGTTTGCCAGGTTAACCCGCCAAAACCCGGGTCCAAAGCCCGGGTCCAAGTGACCTGTAACTGTAGGTTGCCAAGGCAAACGGGTGGAATGGCACTAATATCCATCCGTACGCAGCCCAAGCATAGCAGTTCCTCCAGCATATCATCTTGTTGGTGCATATCATTATCATCCCCAATATTCCCCACCGTAGCAATTTGCTATTTTGGGTGGTATACCCCATTTTCAGACACACCAATATGCCCATTAGATCCAATGAAATTGCAAGTTTTGTTACTCTCGTTACCCAGCAAAGACAGTTTCAGACACACCCATATAGTTACATTGTTAGTTGTACATATCCCAAAATTGTGAAAGAATTGTTTATTCCATTAAGATGCTCAAAATATCCAGAGTTATATATACCATTATATACCATGTTTTGCCACTGTTGATTGGGAAGCGGGTTATAGTTATACATGTTTTATCATGTTTTTATTTACTGATTGTTATATTTGATTATAACATGTTTATACCCTATCATTAGCATTCATTAGCCACAATGGGTTGTGATATCCCAGGATGCAGCGCCTCGGTCTGCAGCCCGACGCCCAAAGTTTCACCGCAGCCATTGGCGCCTGCGCCAACTGTGGCCGCTGGGAAGAAGCCTTGCAGATGCTGCGGAGGGCCGAGATGGAGACCACGCCGGAGCCCGAAACGATACAGCTTGGATTCGTCAATGGGTTGGTCTGTGCTAATATAGATCAAACATGGTTAACGTTGGACTAGTATATCTATATAATATACATACAGTATATTATTAATATTAATATCAATATATATATATATAAGCTATATATATATATCATAATAACAGTTTTGTAGTATTTTTTAAGTATTTTAAATAGGCAGGTGATACATGTGTTTGAGTTCAGCCGAAAGACCCCCAAACTGAATAATGTTTGTTGGATCTTGTTGTAAACCACGGCCTGCTAGCTTGTAGAGTTGCGTCAGAAACTTCGAATAATTAATGAGAATTTTTTGATCGATTGCTTTCAAAAAAGAGTGTTTGCAAGGAAGTGATGCCAAATTCATTTCAACTGTGGAACATCCTATGAGCCCTCGCTGCTTCTCCGAAACTCATTGATTTGAGAAGATTTTATGATCGCCCTGCAGAGGACAATATCTGTTGGGCGGCGGCTTTGGGTGCATTGGAGCGCTGTGGTCGTTGGCAAGAGGCTTTGCAGCTTCTGCTGCGGATGCTTGACTTGTTTGTTCGTTCGTATCTGGGTTTGAGCATTTTTAATATCGTTGACCTTAAAGGAGGTATTTTTGTAGCCATTTTCATGGGGATTTTCTCAGATGTTTTTTAAACCTTGACCTGGTAGGTTGCCCCAACAGAGACAGTATACCAATTAAATCCAATGAATATGCTGTCATATAAATATATAATATTTATATTAATCTATATCATAATACATTTATATACCAATTATGATTATATCCCATGATTTGTGCTTGAATTCCCTGGACTGATTGATGTTCCATGATTTCCCCAATGATCATTTGGACTATTTCAAAGTGTTCAGCCGGCTGCTCGTTACATTGCTACAGATCCTGAGGATTGAAGAAACTGGAGGACGGATGACCGGTGTTGAGAAATAATCCTGAGGGTCCTGAGGCAAATCAGATTGCGATCCCGAATCGGAAGTGGTTTGGGAAGTATCTTAATGATAGCATATTTAATTCATATATTTCTATAATTTACTATCCGACCCTAGTGATCACAAAGCTTCATTGATGGCGCGTGAGCCACTTGTCACTTCCACCTGGCAGATCCTGATGTGGTTTGTTTTTCGACTGCGATGAATGCATGCGCCCGGCAGTCCAGATGGAAAGTTGCTGGGATGGCAAGCCTGTGGAATGGACATGTCGTGAGGGGTTCCTGTTCAGTGCTTAGATGCTGTGACTTCAGATATAACATCAAGCAGCATTTGAAAGACAATCAGGACAGAAGGTGAGGGAGGAGACATGAGGATTTTTTCAAACGGACATTGGGGATGAGATGGCAATAGGGTGGTGTGTTGTAATTTGGAAGGAAACACAGGGTTTGCATCTTTGGAACTGAGGAAGCCTTGGACTTGTTGGATCTCATGCCGATCTTCCACCACAAACCCAATGCATATTGCTACAATACCGCTGCCAGTGCGTGTGCTCGCGCAGGGCGCTGGCAGTTTCTTGCTGTAGATGGAGACATATGGAGACCAAACATGCATTACTTGTAGCCAGTCTTTGGCATCTTGGGTCTCTTGACCTTTTGAAAAGTGCTGAAACAACATTCAAAACCATCAAACAAGTATCCACTTATGTTCACGAGCTGTCAGTGTGAAAGCTCCTACAAGGAAAGCACTGGAATTGCTGAGTTCCATGAAGTGCCTCGACTATGTTGGATTCATTGGTGGTTGTGCCCCAAAGTTTGGACCATTTTAGGATACTTTTTCATCATTTCCTTCATTCTGGGAAAAACAATACGGTGCAAGGACCCACGTGTTTCGATCATTTTGAGTAGCAACACGTCCAGTGTTTGAGGAACTGTCCTAAATCGTTTACCCACCGATTTCGGATGTACCTTCACACTGTGTCACACTCCGATCCTGCTAGGCGACACGGCATTGATCTTGATGCAGTTGCCTTCAATGCCGCGATGGCAGCAGCTGTGGAAGCAGGACATGGGGATCAGGCGCTTCAACTGATGCGCGGCATGGCACAGATGCTTGCAGCAAGCGTCCAAGAATTGGACCCAAACGCTTGGGACAAACCCACAAGGTACTGTAGCATGCTGTCCTTACCACAAAAATCATAATTTGAAGATTCTGAAGGTATACCTTTACGTGCCCATTCCTGGGTGCACCATGGCATGATTTCCTGAAACGACTTGTTTATGCAATTCTTTCAGATCTAGTCTTTGACTTTGACATGCTCTGCAGTTCGAGGACTGCGGTTGTGTACCACCCTGGATCTAAGGATAGGTGTCCAGCCGAGCTTGGTATCCTATGGCATAGCAATGTTGGCAACCAACCGCCTTGGCCGTTGGGAGGCGTTTTGAGACCGAGCTCTTGGGGAAGCTCTTGGTGATTTGGTGTCGGGGCTTGATGATCCTTTGATTATTTGAGCATTCGTTTGAGCCAGGAAACCCTGGCACTCCTTGAGGAGTTGCGGAGCATCTCAACTGATACTAGTTGCAAGATGTTGCAAGTGTGGGGTCAATCCGGGGTCAATGTTTGATCAATGTTTGATCATGGCATCAATGTTTTGGAGGCATCCTTCCATCCGTTTGTCCATGGCATTTTTTCATTGCCTCGGGTCCTGAGGCTCCGGGCATTTTCCTGATGCAGGATGTTTGCACGCAGCCCGTTTGGCTGCCAAAGAGGCGCTGCATCACATGTGTTAAACCATGTTAAACCAAAAAAACAATCCTCAGAAATGGTTGACCATCCCCAAAATGGTAGGTTTATGGCATTGGGTTTACCACGTTAGATCGGTTTGGCATGTGTATCCACAACTTTGCCGCAACTTGTACTCGGTAAAAGCGGTGGTCCTGTTACCTGGAGGCAAACATGGACGAGCTGAAGCACAGCTTGAGCATGGAGATCTCACGCTGCCCCAGGCAGGAATGTTTACATACTTGGATCATTTGGATCAATCTTTGCCCGTGACCTGTCGTATTCGAGTTTGCTTTGCAAGAACCAATCAGATTGCACACTATAGTTTCCTGTACATTCTTGCATGACTGGCTATGCTGCGCAAAGAAGCCCGTGTTTTCAAAAGTTCTTGACATCCACACAGGGAGTAACAGTAGCCAGTGTATAATTCGTGATGACAGCTTCAAAATCATCGCCGTCCACAGGTCTTCTATAGACACCCCGAGGGAAGAGCCTTGTGGTCCGAAAACACCCTCAACGACTGAAGACATTTGCAGGTGTGGGTGGAGGGTGACGCAGGCCACTTTCCGTTCTATCCTGGCAGACCAGTGGTTGGAGTTCCACTGCCAGATGCGACCAACAGATGACCAACAGTATTTCTTTTCATGATTTAGCCCTCCACCATCCACCATCCCGGAGGGGAAAACTCTCGAGTCGTCGAGGCTTGCCTCCCTAGGGCAGTGGGAAGATGCTCTGATGCTCCTGGATGGCGAACCGGATGCTGAGTGCATCAAGGCCTGGCAGCCTGGTCACTGAGATGTGGATATTGTGGCTAGATGTGGCTATAGTAAGCTAGTAGGATTCGAGATGATTTGAAATGATTGAAGTGGTTATTCGATGTTTTTCTATTTCGATGTTATTTAAATGGTTATTTGATGTTGTTTGAATGATTTACTATGGTTTGAAGATGTTTGAAGCGGATCCTTATATTCCAACGTGGAACCCTTGTCAGCCAAGCAGTATCGTGATTATATAGCAGTATGCAAAGTTTCTGTCTCCTGTTCAGGAGCTGGTCTCTGCCCTGAACACAGCAGGGCAAGAGAACCTGGCTTCGAGCTTGCTGGAAGCCTTTGAGACTGGAAAAAGAGTGGAACATGCGGGTTTTCATGAACATCAAAGATATTTTGGCAGCAAAAGGAGGGGTCAAACCTCTCAGAGCTCAGATTCACCAGCTCTTTGCTGATTCCTGCCATCCATTCCGCAACTTCCCTAATTCTCCGTCCTTTCTGCCGGTGCGTCACCTGAGGCTCTGCGTTTGTCACAGCCGCAGCTGTGGCAGAGAATTGAGCAGCTACAAGAGGCAGCTGCATATCGTGAGGGCGCCAACTGCATGATGAAAATCCCGCCAGCACATATTCTGTCAGGAAATTTGGCCTCGGGCAGCTGAGATTTGGTCTACGGCCAATCCACATATTCCAGAGGAGGACATCGTTCGATGGGCGTTTTTAATATTTTTTGTTCGCAAATGTGTTTCTAATCTTGGCAGCCGCACTGTCGACAAAGCGCAGCAAAAGTCCAAGGAGGTCAAGACGGCCTTTAAGGCGACCGTCTACCCGGCAAGCAGGCACGAGGAGTCCAGAGGAGTGTGGGGTGTATGGCCGATATTGGCCGATGGCATGACAAGCTCAGACTGGGGACATTCTTTTTCCATTCGCGTGACCCCTAGCGATGGAATGCCATGGACTTCTCTGCTCAGGTTTCACTATTCCCTGTTCGTGGCAAACTTGATGGAAGAGGCCCGTGCCCCCGGATGCAACCACCAGATGCTGCGCACTGTCTCATATAATCTCATGTTGGATGCATTGTCAGGCACGGCTGGAGAGTGCCAAAGAATGCCTCTCCGAATGGCCAGCAACTCATGTAAAGCAAATGTTCTTGTGATAGCTGATTGGTGTTTTACACCCTGTATCACCCGGTCCATTCCATTTCAAAAAAGGTGATGATGATCTCAAGTGACTTTTGTTGGGATTGGTGGCTCTACCACCAGTCGGACTGGACAAGGTTTGACACAGATGTCCAACAAATTCTAGCGGGTCGCAACTTCCTTAGCTAGATCTGGGTGCAGGTGCTTTGATGAGAATTCTTCACCAGTTTCAAAGCTATTTCAATCTTCTTGGTGGTTGCGCATGATTCTTGGGAAGCTGATTTTAAGGGGAGGTAGTTTAGGTGAGAAGCTGGAACCAGCGACACTTGCGCAGTGATTCGTTTATCCATTTGCGCTGTGGACCAGGTAGTACCCTGGACATAAAACTCGTAGGGCCGGGCGTCCGAGTTTCTGAAGGCCCAGAACCTCCAAGTTGATGGCTGCTGGCGCCATGAGCATTTTCCGATGATCTCTGAAGATCGACTTGGGAAGCTCTCTCCAAGCATGCAATGGCATGATCGGCATGATTTGATTTGGTGATGTCCATTAGTGGTTTGGTCGGCAATCTGGACAATGATTCTCATATTTCTCATGCTGTGAGGTTGAATACCTTGAGGGATGAAGTCTTGTACTTGGAGCAGCACACCAAGAGGTTTTGTGTTTTTTAAAGATGCATCAGTGGAAACGACTCACTTTGTCAGGGATGCCTTGAGGCCGGACCAGGAAAGTCTGAACTTGATGAAAGCAATGTTCCACAAGCTTGAAATGTTTGGGAACCAAGATGGGGCGAGGCGGGCAATCACATTATATACTATATTTATACATGATATATTTATACATGATATATATATACACATATATATATACATATATATACATATATATATACATATATATATATATTGTCAATTCGACAAAGGTAGCTTCAACCTGAATCCCTCCGAGCCCTGCTCGGCACGCAACTTCTCTTCTGTTTTCCACCGTGGCCAGCTCTATCAATAGATCCACTCGGCACCTTCCAGCTAAGCGTCACTGATAGCGCTATGGCGCAAGCTCACAACCCTTCCACTCCTCAAAATGGCGTTGAGCCACCCCTAGGGCTGCAGCGGATAGAAAGGTTGATTTCATCATGCACATGTGAACGGGCAGCTGAATTCACATTCGTCAAAATTCTTAAAATTCGTTCACCATGTGCATTGCTGCATGGCAATCCGGAGATTGGCATTGACATGGTGTCTTTCCCAAAGCCCCTCGTTTCAAGAATTGTAACGTGTCAAACCTGCCAGTGATGGTCGCACAATGAAACAAAATTAAAATCTTCGAAGCTTGTAGAACAAGTTCTTCCTGCAAGGTTAATTGATGGATAAACACAAGATCAAAATTTCGGAACATTAAGGACGACTTGGCTTTTCCTGGTTCCTAGACTTCGCCACTTCTGGAGGCGTCCGGGTTCTGTGCTTGCATCCACTTCAAGCGTGAACGGGCATCGGATCGAGCTTTCAAAATTTCGGCTTCATCATGCAGGCTGTAAAATCCCTGTCTCAAGCATGTTCGTAAAATGGTATTATCCATCACCTTGGTGAGTGCATCTGCAATCTGTGCGGCTGAAGGAACTCATCTTATCATAATGCCATTATGAATATGTTCTTTAATCAACTTGGCTTGCAAGAGAGTTCGGAATTCTGTGCACGCTGGTGGTGCTGTGCGGCTGATGAGGTCAAACAGAGACTTGCAATCGGTTGTTATCATGGAAGATTGATCTTTTGAAAGTTGTTTGGTAAGTTGAGTGACATTATTTGGTGGTTGAGTAGTAATGGATTCTTCTTCAGGTGTGAGTGCTGAGAACGCTGGTGGTAGCTGAAGCAAGGTCTTGTCAGCCCGTCTCCAATCACACCCTGTATTGCAAATCCATGCCCAAAATAGGCGAACCCAAGTCAGAATATCCACAGCGCCTGCTAATGCCATCGCTTCTGCAGACAACGTACTCACTGCAACCTTTTGTATCTTTTTGGAGTGCCAGACTATGGGATTAATGCTGCTACGCTGATTGTTTCCAATTCCTTTGTGAGCAGCCATGATAATCATCCCTTGGTGTGAGTCTGAGGTCTTTGCTGATGCGAATGAGGCATCTGAAAACGCTACGAATCTTAAATCAGCTTGGTCAATAGGTTGAATGTTAATGGAGACATCGGCATGCTGCTTCGCTTCATGGAGTACTCGATTGGCTTCCTGCAAGGTGGATACCTGAGCATGATTAATGCGACTCTGCAACCATCCTAGCCTACTACATAGGTCAGGTCGGGTATTCACTGCTGCATATTGTAAGCTTCCTATGACTGCTCTCAAAGATTGTCGTTCATTCTCGGTCACAGGATCATCATGTTGCAATCGACGTTCTCTGGTGAGCTGTATGGGAGCTATGTCCTTGACATACTGAGTCTGATCCACTGAAATTCCAAAGTCCGCATGTTGTTTGATATGCAAACCTGTGAAAGTAAACTCCGTTTTCTTGTGAGAACCAAATGGGTATTTTTCTTGGAGTTGCATCAGTTTCTTCTCAAAAACTGTGTTACCACAACATAGACCATCGTCAACGTGAACCCCAATCATACCAATGGTCTCCTGCGTGTTGACATCAGTCAAAACGAAGAGGCATGGATCAAACGGTGACTGTTGAAATTGTAGATCTTCCAGACTCTTTTTGAGTTCCATAAACCACATATGGCGCATCCACTCTCCCGTAGGCTCCCTTTAAAAGTTGTACAACCTCAGTAGGTTTCAGTTTGAGTCGCTTTCTCATCTCCTCAGGTGGTTCCATGCCTAGGATCCGAGACCCTTGCTCACTGCCCCGCAAAAACGCGGTCTGGATGTCAAAACTCTGAATTGTCCATTGTCTGGAGGCTGCCATCTGCAATACAAAAGTTCGTGAGAGCTTGTTCATGGTGGGTGAATCACGTGGTATATTTTCAACCTGCGGATCCTCAAACCCCAGAACCACTAACCGAGCCTTAGGCTTGTATTTCGGTGATCCCTCATGTTGAACACTTCCATCGATTTCTTTCCATGTCAGAATCCAGCGGCTACGAAGGATATTTTCTCTAGGGATCTGGTTGCGGGCAATCTTGGTAATAGTTTCCGTGGTGATCCAGCTCTCAATTTCTTTTGCTTTGGCATCCTGAAATTTCTCACGGTCTTCAGGACTGAGGTTGGTCATTTTGACTTCGCTACGCTGGCGCTTTGCGGCTGAGACAAGGAAAGCCATCTCAGTTGGTTGAGACTCCTGTCTCCACATGTTGACATCATGCTGGCTGATGTTCACTTCCAGTTGCCAGCATTGGTCCACATTGAGATGGAAAACTGGTTCGTCATGAACATACAAATCATCATCACCATCGTCAGGAATTGGTACTTTTGATGGATCCTCGCCACTGGGTGCGGCAATTGCTTCTTGTTCATCGGATGATGTTGATACATTTGGAAGTGGTTCCCCATCTGGCTGCTCACTGGGTGGTGATTCAGGTTGATTATGTGACTGGTGGGGCATGTTGATAGGTATTATGGCATCGTTATCTTGAGTATCATCATGTACATTACGGTTATCGTTATTGCTGGTATTTGCGGTATCAGGTATTGGGCTTTGGATCAAGTTGTGGAATTGAGTGCCCCCATGTGGTGGAATGATACTGTGTAAGTTATTGGTGTTTATCTTACTTGACAGTTCTTCATTGGTGGATAATTTCCAGTCTTCCACAGCTGAAAGTGGCCGCAAATGCTCCGGAGCTATGCGATAAAGCTTTTGTCCCATGGTGACCCACACAACGTGGTTTCCATCTTGAAGAACAACACGAAGTGGGCCGATCCAGTTCCCGTCAGCCTCTCCTTTCTTTTTCCACATCATGACATGATCACCATGAACGTAGTGTCCTCTGGTGGGACGGCTTCTCTGGAGTAAGGCACGCCGAAGTGTTTGACTGTTGTCAGTCTCTGCAAATGCCTTTCGAGCTCTTTCTCTGGTGGCAAGCTCTTCTCTGAATCGGATGCCTTCAGGAAGATTGGATTCGGCTAACATGTGTGCTGCATGATCACTGCTTGAAACAATTGATCCTGGGATCTTTGTGGTCTTTCCAAAGACTAGGACTTCCGGTGGATATCCTCTATGTCGGCTCCATTGGTTTTTGGTGTGGGTGGCCATTGACAAAGATATCTCAAGTTTCTCAAAACTGTTGATGCGGTCTTCATGGTCCATTTTGGATAAGATCTGTTTCAAGATGGCACCGTGACGTTCAGCTCTGGAATTTTGCCAATGGGCATCAGTGGCAATTGTTCTACTTTTGATGTTGTTCCTTTGGAGGGCTTCTAGAAATTCCTCTGAGTTTAACTCAGTGCCGGCATCAATGCATAACATGTTTGGGAGCCCTGCCCACTGCATCCAACCCTGATTAAGAGCTCTGATGGCATGCGTCGCGCTGTGTCCTGCTGTGGCAACTGCTGTTTGGAACACTGTGCTCTGATCGACAAAATGGTAAAAATGAAACTGCTGACCATCGGCATTTGTCCAAGTGACACCATCCATCGAGACAATGTCCCCAAAATCGCAGCTGTCATGAATTGCACTGGGCCTTGACACGGTGGGAGCCTTTTGCTCAAGGCAGGTAGAACATTTCAGTTCACCTATGGCTTGCAATATCTGGTCAGGGCAACCTAATTGTCTGCAGAATTCAATCAGCTTCGCTGCTCCTGGGTGACCTAGATGTCTGTGGAGCTTCAACAACCAGTTTTGTGTCTCGGTGTCTAGGGCCAGGAATTTCGGACCATGTTTCTGACTGGCAAGATCAATCACCTCAGGTCCCATGGCAGCTGTCTGATCAATTTCGGCAGTTGAGGCACGGAAGCGTTTAGACTCTGGGAGTCCATTTTCCATGCCAGCTAATTCAGAAACCAGTCGAGTCTTGGACGCAACGGCAGAAGCTGAGGACTGAGTCAGGGAACTTTGGTCACTTGGTTGCATGTCAGGCACTCTTGCAAAAACAGTCAAACTGACACGAGCTGCTACACCTTGTCGACGTAATGCCCTCAGTGACAATCTTTCCCAGGGTTCCCATTCAGAATCCACCGCAAGATCTTCATGACGTCGACGGATACAGATTCGTCTTCTTAAAGGTGCACTACCTGGTGTCATTGCTTTGGTGGGTCCCATATATCGGTCAGTACCTCGACATAAAACCACATGGACAACGGTATGGTCAGGACACAACTTTTGGACAACTTGAATCAGCGGACCTGACTCGATGACCCGTGGACCAACTCTTGGGGCCAATTGATTGGCCATGTCCATTGCTGTTTGCCAATTGACGGGAGCAAAACGTCGTGCAATTTCTTCCGGACTTAGTTTTTGCCCTACCCTTCGCTTCTTGGTGGGATGTGCATTGTCATCGTGCGAACTCTCACCTGATCTTACAGCATAGATTGGAACTTGCCCTTTGTCATACAACATAATCTTGGCCAGCTGTCTGACAAATTTTCGGGGATAGTGTTCAGTGAATGATGACAAAGGCATTCTCTGGTTACCAACCTTAGTACTTCCAGCAATTTGTTTGTGTTCATGGTCCTGGTTGCACCACTTTCCATGAATTGCACGATGCACTGCCTGGGAAGTCGTGCATACGGATAGTCGCTTTCGGATAGGCATGGCAGATATTGGATCTCGAAGGGATCCCACTCTGCAGAGGTCAAAACGGCAAACTTCAGTGTTTTCCCTAATCTCACGCAGGCATTCTTGAATCAGCATCTTGGAACCATCAGGCTGTTCAAGATGGAAGTGTTTGGACCTCGAGACTTGAAATCGGAACAGCACTACCGCCAAGCTGAGCTGCCAAAGACTCTGTCGCCGTTTTTCCAACACATCATGAAAACCATCCATCGATCTTCCCATGTTGAAATTGCTCCACATGCTCCATGGACCACATTCAGGGCTGTACCAAACATGTTCAGGGCTGCCTAGGATTAAAATCTCATACAACTTTCTGCGGCCGGCGACAGTTTGGAGATCACCTTGAGACAATCCGAAACGCCGGGCACGACCTCCTAAGCTATCAGCTTGTTTCGCAAGCTCACTGTGATCTGAACACATGACTTCCAGGACATCCAGTTTCGGAACGCTCATGCGATGATGACTCAGTTGTTCTTGAACCTGCTTCAATTCTTGTTGATATTGTTGGATTAATCTTTTGCAAGTCTTGGAAAAACTGTTGTTTGGATTTTCATCATGGAATTCGAAATCAACATCAACATGTGCATTGAGCTGGATGCTCTCGGCATATGCGCGGCAATGGAGATCCTGAGCTTCCTGTGCACTCAGATGTTCTAGGCCTCGGCCTTGACATTCGTCTTGCGAAGATGATCGAGCACCTCCTGCATCACCATCTCGATCTGCCCCATGCGGTGAGCCAGATTTTGATTCTCCTGACGGAGGTTGATCATCTCTTCCTCCTGCAGCAATGACGCTTGGATCATGTTGTCGGCCTCCGGATTCTGCAGTTCTTCCCACACCTCGCTGGGAACTGGTAGAGCCATCTTGGTCATGGACGAGGCCCCCATCTCCTTGCATGCTTTGACCTTGGTGTCTGCTTCCATGCGAAGCTTGATGTACTGAATGAACATCATATGGTCCGGCTTCTCGCTCTTCTCGAAGCGCGAGAGTATGAACTCCGTCCAGGAGGCATCCTCGAACGCCTGCTTGAACGTCAATCCCTTCTTGGCAGCTCCGAAAAGAATCTTCTCTTCCTCCAGTTCCTGCAGTGTCAGATTTTTGACAACATTGCGGTGAACCTGCTGTGTCTGTTGTTGATCGACCTTTCGGAACTCCTTGAACTTGGCTACAAGTGAGGACATTGCCATGATCGGGTGAGTGAGAAGAAACACAATTGGGCTCTGAAATCTCGGGCCTTGCCACCGCAAAATGAGGCGCAGTGAAATCTTCACATGTTTCCAACCCAGGCTTGGACTCAGGAATATTTTGACCTAAGCTACCTGCTTCGACCCTTGACTTACTGCTGAGACGGATGCATGGCTTCTCACTGTCTGTGGAACTTTTCGACGTGACGTCGGATGCAAAAGTCTGTGCGCTACCCTCGGCATCTGCAGTGGAGTCCCAAAGTTGATTGATGTCCATGAGATACAAGTTTTTTGGAGACTTCGAAATTTCAAGAGACTTCTGCAGTTCTTTACTCCACATCGTTCCCACATCGGTATCAATAACAGCCTTGATTTGTTTCAAAAAGGTGCTAGATAACAGAAAAGGAGTTTGACCTGGCACAACTGCAATTCTGAACCATTGACCTTTGAGTGGGAGCAACAAAGCTTGTTCACTGGTCAGCGTCTGATGGTTTCCAAAACGGAAAACAAGGTGACACGGCGTCCTCCGGACTTTGGCACGGATGGAGTCCGGCAGGCCCTTTAGTAGTTCCGCCACTTGCACACTGCCAATGACCGTTTGAGATGCCCCCAAATCTACAACACCTATTGTGCCTGATGAAGCAAAATTGATCTCGTGACAATGTTCAACCTGTACATGATCGGCAGGCACAGGTGGGCATGATGGCTTTTGACATGGAGAAACTTTACACCTAGCGGACTTCGACTCAGGGTTGTTGGCATCTCGTGGGACACCAGGCATCTTACTCCTGAGTGTGTGTTGCAATCGCTTGGCAAAATTCCCCATTACCCATTTACCTACGGGACCGCTTACCCCATTATTGGTGACAACCCCAAAAGTAGGTACATATGCATCAGTCAAAGTCTCATTCAGGTTGATCTCAGGCACATCGATAAGCTCTGGCAGTACTTGATCCGACACCACAAAAGATGTTGGGACCCCGGAGGATGAGGCCGTTGGTGAGCCTCCGGAGTTGGCACCTGGACGTTTACTGCATTCAGCCTTCCAATGGCCTTTTTTGCCACAAAGCCTGCAGTGGCTATTTGCAATTCTCTGCGCAAGAGACATTTTTTCCTTGCCTCCTGCTTTGCCACCTTTCTTTCCAAAACCCTTTGAGCCACCCTTTTTGACAGGCCAGAAACCTCGGAACTTCACGCGCTCTGTCAATCGTCGCCTGGCATCCTGGTACGTGGAAAAGAATGCAGCAAGATCTGAATCGCTCTGAACTGCCTCGGTGATAGCTTCTTCAAACTGAAGAATCAAAGCAGCATCTTCGTCTTGTTCACTGGCTAGATACGCTACTGTCTCATCATCTAGATTTTCATCAGTCACCCAGTAAGTATCTTGTTCTTCTGGTTCATCATCTTCTTCAACTCCAAAAGCCAGATGATCATATGTTTTCTGTGTTTTGTCTCGTTTGTTTCCAGTGTAGTCCTGAAAAAAGGCTGACCCAAGCATGCGAATAGCTGCTACCACTCGCTTCCATTCAAGGGCTTTGCCCTCAGATTCCGCACCAGACTCTACGAGCACTCGTTTTTTGTCTTCCGGCGTCAGCCGGCTCCCTCGAAGAAGAACATAGGCTTGCATCTGACTAAGATCCATAGCTTTTGCTAGCAACTCCGTCCAAATCACATCAACCCGAGCGATGTATGAATCTCCTGTTTCATCTGATTTCTGTTGACATCTGAAAAGAGCCTTCTCAACCAACTCAAAACGATGTTCGAGAGGAATTTGACCCCATGTGCCGCCAACAATCTCGACGATCTTCTTGATTGATTTCTTGTCATTCACCAGTAGATCTTTCTGTTGGAGATGCAATTTCTGAAAAGCTGAGCCCTTTGTATTCAGAATAAGCCTAGTGGCCAGTTCTGTCATCTTTGTTTCCGGCCATGCTTCCACCAGGAGCGAAATTTTGTTGGACCAAATGTCCACATTGTCTACTGCTGGGTCGAAAGAGGGTACCAACAGAGCTAACTGATTGGGAACACCTCCTCCTTGGCTCGATCCCTCATCTGTTGAGGCCATGCAGGTAGCGAATTCCTGAGCTGGACCCTGTTGATCGTCGCAGCTCCGCTACCAATGTCAATTCGACAAAGGTAGCTTCAACCTGAATCCCTCCGAGCCCTGCTCGGCACGCAACTTCTCTTCTGTTTTCCACCGTGGCCAGCTCTATCAATAGATCCACTCGGCACCTTCCAGCTAAGCGTCACTGATAGCGCTATGGCGCAAGCTCACAACCCTTCCACTCCTCAAAATGGCGTTGAGCCACCCCTAGGGCTGCAGCGGATAGAAAGGTTGATTTCATCATGCACATGTGAACGGGCAGCTGAATTCACAATATATATACACATATATATATATACACACATATATATACACATATATATATATATATATATTTTTGCCAGACTCTTCAGCTTTCGTTTTTGAGGCATTTCCATGCAGCCGGGATCCAAGACAAGTTCAGGCCATTTTAGCAATGTTCAATCTACACTTTGTTGTAGCACCGTACCGACTGCATCCGACTGCAAGGTTTGTTGTAGCTGCAGCGAGCTACTTAAGTTAAGTTAAGTTAGCCTAATGTTCCACTCGCTGGCACTTGGTACTTGGCAGTTTGCCAGGTTCAGGCCTCACGCAACCATCATGAAGTCGATGGCTCAATGGGTCCGAAGCAGTCTGAAGTCTACTGATGACAAGTGTCAGTGACTTATTCGAAATTGGCTGGGCTCAGGGCAAGCCAACTTAGAGGCAGGATCCCAAGCTACTGGGGAGCATGGGTTCTGCCACCAGTGCTTTTGAGGGTCAAGGGTGCAATGCAGGTAAGGCCTTGCAAAATTTGAAGCACGGAAAGGCCATCAAAAAGCTTCGGCCCCAGACTACAGTGAGGCAAACCGCACCGCTCTGCCGCTCTCCTGTCTTATGTATAGTGACTATATGTGACTATGGTGATTGAATGTGATTGACTAGTGATTAAATATGATTAAGTAATAAGTGATTGCATCAAATTGCATTGTGAACTTCTTTGGATCAGGACCCTGCGCTACCCGCGAGAGGTGCCCTCGGTATGAAATGGGCATCCGAATGCAATGACCGTCATCAGCGTTGTCCAGGCCTGGGCCGAGTTCAACAGGACCTTGGGCACGTGCGCTGGGCGAGCTGAGCCCTGGGATATCCTGGGATAATCAGCCAGAGACTGATGCTTTACTTTTACAGGCCTGAAACTAAATCATGATATATATTGATATATGATAATTGAATATAATTGATATACTTGGTCACTGTTCTAGTTTAGAATTGGGACAGCACTTGACGCACTTTATCACCACAGCATGTCAGTTTTTGTTCAGTTGTGTTCTTATTCCCACATTGCACTATTGCTTGTACAGGCCAAAGTGATTCCAGCCCAGCCTCTAAGCACAGAGGTACTCCGTGAAGGAAGTGCAGCTCCTGGACATGCACCGTCCTGTCGATGGCTACTTCGACACTTGACATATGGCGAGAGCTGGGCTTGTCAGCTTGTCTGTACCAGTCAGGGAAGATTCGGTATTTTGAAACAAGAAATGCACGTCTTCGAAGGTACCTTAGATTCTTGCATCCATCAGAAACTGAGTTGCACATTATATAGTTGCACAATAGGTGAGCTCTGCAGTCATGTTACCCTGTACTTCTGTGATACAGCCCGGGATAAAATATGATAAATGATAAAAACACACACACAAAAAAAAAAGTCGAAAACAATGATTCCCTTCAAACAAAATACAACAAATGGTCCTGGCGAAGTCTCTCAGTATGATATTCCTTTGAGGAAATGTGGTATGCGCAGGATCCTCTACTTCTCCTCTCAGGGCTAGGAGCAAGCACAGTTACCGTAAACCCTGACGACTCAAACTACGACAGCTGCTCTTCTTGCTGCTAAAGTTTTGCGATTGCTGCTAGACGCATCAAGCAATGCCTGCACCAAGGTGGATACTTGGGATATCTTGGGATGATTGGTGGGGACCCATCCCATTCATGGCTCCACAAGAGCATTGTGGCTCACTTCAGTGACGTTCCTTGCCAGTGTCATCGTCATCTCTGACAATGGGCTGCGGCGCGAGTTCTGCGAAGGCGCGCGTTTTTTTTGATCTTAAATGCTTGAGATTGATTTATCCTGTCATCATCATTACCAGTAGTACCGCACAAGGCGGTGGCGGAAGTTTCAAGGATAGGACACTATAGGAGAGGTGAGTTGTTGTGATGCATGGATGGCAGAGCGAATCCACTGATGGACCGAAAGGTGGTTGGAGTTGTGTTTTTTGGAGTGGTTGCAATGGTTGCAGTGGTCACCTCACCCACAACTGCTGGATGCAGTGTGGTGTAGCGCAGTTGCAGTTGTAGTTGTAGTTGTCATTGTAGTTGTAGTTGTAGTGTAGTGTAGTGGAGTTGCAGTTGTAGTGTAGTACAACTAGTGTAGTATAGTTGTAGTTGCAGTGGCAGTTGTGGTGTGATTAGTGTAGTGTAATGTAGTGTAGTGTAGTATACTTCAGTGTAGTGTAGTGTAGTGCAGTGTGGTGTGCTGTAGTGTTGTGTATTGTAGTGTAGTATAGTGTAGCGTAGTCTAGCGTAGTGTAGTCTAGTGTGAAGTAGTGTAGTTGTAGCTGTAGATGTAGTTGTAGTGTAGCGTAGTGTAACTGGTGTAGTGTAATGTAGTGTAGCGTAGTTGTAGTTGTAGTTGCAGTGTACTGTTATTAATAATTAGTGTTGTGTAGCGCTGTGTAATGTAGTTGTAGTTGTGATTGTAGTTGTAATGTAGTGTAGTTGTAGTTGTAGCTGTAGTTGTAGTAATCGTAGTAGTAGTAGTAGTTGTAGTTGTAGTGTAATTAGGGTTGTGTACTGTAATTCCAGTAGTGTTGGTGTAGTGTAATGTAGCGTGGTATATTTGTATTTGTATTGGTGGTGTTAGTTGTAGTTGTTGTAGTGTAGTGGTAGTGGTAGCTGGAGTTGCAATCGTAGTTGTAGCTGTCTATCTATTTATCTGTCTTTCGGCAAGCTTTAAAAACGAAGCTATTCTGCGAGACTTCCTCAATTTTCGAAGTTGACAACATCAAAAACGAAGCAACTCTGCGAGACTTCCTCAATTTTTGCACTTGACAACGTCAAAAACCAAGCAATTCTGCGAGACTTCCTTCAAAAATGGAAAGTTGAGTGCAGAGCTGACGGCCTCCTACCAATGTGTTTTGCGATTGTTCCATTCCATTTGTCCAAGGTACTGAGCCTGCCATAAAAAATAGTGAGGCCAGGTCATACGAAGTGATGCATCTGTCACGCAAAATCATCTTAGCAAACCTGAAGATCTGATGCTCCAAAATGCAACTCCTCTCAGGAAATCAGCGCCCGGACCTCCTAACATGTCTGACTCCTGTGTCTCTTGTACTGCGCCTGCCACGTGAAATGCATCTTTGCAGATCCACTTTACATGTTCCACGCCTGCCAACCAACGTTTTTGAAACTGCTACAAAAACTCCACGTTTTGCTCACTTTCGGGAGGTGCAGAATCCCTTGCGCCTGCCACGCAAAACCACATCCTAACTTCAAAAAGTGCTCCGAGACCGTCAGTTTTTAACACTTCTGACTAAATGTGCATAATGTGCTTGCGCCACAACGGCCTGCATTTTTGGAACATCTCAACTTCCAAAAGTGCTCCGAGAATGGTGTGCTTTGTACATTTTGGCTTCGAAATTTGCTTCGCCACAACGGCGTCGGCGTGCACTTTTTGAACATCTCAGCTTACAAAAGTTCTCCGAGAATGACGTCCTTTGTACATTTTGACTTCGAAATATGCTTCGCGCCACCACGGCGTGCAATTTTTCATCTCCCATCTCCCCAGATGTTTCCGCTCCCGCCACATTAGCGAGCCTACTTTTCTCTCTCCGGAGCCACAAAAGATTGGAAAAACAGTGTTTTGCGACTTTTCCAATTTTTTCGCGCACCTGCATCTTCTTTCTTACCACTCTTTCTCTTGTCTGATCTTCTTCCTTCTCACCTTCTCTTCTCTGACGCTCTCCACCTCTGCTTTTCGATCTGTCCATATTGTCGGAAGTTTGACTTCTAAACTTCCTTCGGCCATTGGTCACGATTGTCATGAGCGATCGCGCTGAGCTTCATTGTCATCATCATCATCACCACCATACATCACCATCACCACCAATAATCATCGGCATGATTATGATAATTGTTGTAATCTCTGTCATGAGCAATTTTTTGATCATCACTACCGATCACTGTCACTGTCAGTTGTCACTGTCACTGTCACTCGTACTCTCATCACCACCAACATCGCTATCACTATCACGGTCACTATCACGATCACTATCACGATCACTATCATGATTACGATCACTATCGCTATCACTATTACTATCATCGGCATCATCATTATCAACATCATCACTATAAATGATCAACATCATCATCATCATCATCATCATCATCATCATCATCATCATCATTGTCCTCCTCCTCCTCCTCGTCATCATCATCATCATCATCATTATCATCATCATTATCATTATCCCCATCTTCATTTTCATCTTCATTTTCATCTTTATCTTCATCTTCATTTTCATCTTCCTCATCGCCGTCATACCATCATACCATCATGCCATCATGCCATCATGCCATCATCATCATCATCATCATCATCCTCATCATGATCATCATCATGATGTCGTCATCATCATCATGATGTCATCATCATCATGATGTCGTCATCGCCATCGTCATCATCATCATCATCATCATCACCATCATCATCATCATCATCATCATTTTTATTATCATTGGTTTTGTTCGTACGGTTGTTTGTGGCACACCTTCAAAGTTTCAGATTGCCGGCTGAGCAAACCCAGTTGTCCCCTTTGTTTTCCCTGGCCGCTCGCCGAGTGCAGGTAATGGACTTTGATCCGGTGCCCACTGTTCGGCAAGACGAGGAGCTTGGAACCTTGGTTTGTTTGGTTTTCGGCTGTATATACAAGAGACAACAATTCTGAAAAATTGTTTTCAAATTTTACCAGCGATTGACCGCCGTGAATCTTTGATGAAAAACATTGAATTTGCCCTTAGAACGCTTTAGATTCTACACTTAGCAGGGGTGATCAGGCGTCGAAACCCATTTCCGTCTACAATCCCTTAAATTCATCATATGATGTATTCGTGCCAGCTTATGGGAAGGGGTTGTTCCTTTGAGAACAACCATATGGAAACAAAAGTGACAAGGTAGCTGAGTCTACATCCCACCGCTCAATTTCATGGGGAAAATGTCCAAACTAGCAGTTCACCCTTGCCTTCATATCATAACGAAGACGACTCACACGAACAACTGGCAAAACTGGCAATTTCCTTGCTTACCCATTCGTAATCAGGAATGGGCTGGCTGAAGCATCCGCAAGACATCATTGTTTTGCTCTTCAATTGTTGAAGTTTTTTCCAAATCACCGTGTGATATGCACATCTTACTATGGCGGAAAAAAAACTTCATGAAGAGGATTCCAACCCCCCCTGTTCCTGTCACTGCTAAGGAGAGAAGGTCACAAAACAACTCAGTTATTGCTCCTGGACAGCGACGCCCGTTCCTGGTGTACCCTGCCCGCCAAATCGCGCCTGGGACCGAATTAAATGGGGGTGGACCATGTACGGGACCATCTGTTGGCACCGTCAACAACAGAAAGTCTGTTTTGACCCTCAAGGTCATAAGGCCTAAAGTGTGCGAATCGGAGTCATCGAATCATCGCCGAAAAAAGTCAAATAAGCATGTTCTATCATGTTCTGTTGTATGTGGCGTGGAAGCCTGAAATTTCCTGCTTTCCAGCGGCATGTCTGCTGTCGACCACCCAGGCACTATGCATGAGAATCATATGAAGAGGATGGAGAGGTACATGTCGAGACCGGAGAACCTTGGACTCTTTCGATGTTTGGATGTATATACCAGGACTGGCAAGTGGCTAGTTTGTTGTTCACCAAGCGGAAACATATTGAATATCACCTGGGAAAATACTGAGGAACTTGAGATGTGCAGTGGTTGTTGCGTATGGCCCCGAGGGGGCAGGGATAACTTTATTTGTTCCCCCACGTTTTACCATCAGATTTGATCTGGATGTTAGAATACCTTTTGATGTACACATCAATGATGTTGGGATCGTTGGTTTCAAGAGTTTGTCGCATTTCCATCTGCGCGACCTGGGAAGATTACATTGTCCCATGTGATATGGATATGGAGGTTGTTGCGATGTGTGACCTATTATTCAATTATTCTTCCTTTGCAGCTGAACAGTGGCCCTTTGCTGACCGTTGTTTCTTGATGTGTCGTATGCCAAAGTTCATTGAGGTTACACATGAATTTGTCCAACGGGAATCACTCACCTTTGTCAAGCAGATCCGGCAACGAGAATTCATTGTTTTCGAAAGGTAAATCATCTAGTTACAAATCAAAACTACAAAAGCGATACTATATTCCTTTGCCAGGTTTGGCTGCCGGAGGGTGGGTACTGGCGGGTTAAGATTCGGTCCCACCACAAAAGTCAGGTTTGGTCATTAAAACCTTCCGCCATTGAAATCTGGTATTGTCCAATTGCTTTGTGGCCGCCATGATAAAGAACGCAGCAACTTTCATCCAAGGATAGTTTATATCCTGAGCACGGAGGTTGCTGACAGACGGCTCGGTTTGGAGTTTTTGTCAGAGCAGAGAGATGCTAATTAGTCTTGCATCTCTGGAGCCTATGCGCACATGCAGGTAGTGCCTTGCAAGTCGTCCATGTGCTCTTGCCAGTTGAAATTAGGAGAGATTTCTTTTCATGGTTTGGAATGACGAACACTGAACAGATTGGGTCAAACCTTGGGAGACCAGGCTTCCTGCGAAGTGTGAGTAGTAGATTTTGTCCTTGCCCTGTATTGAACCCGTGAAAAAGCACAAACTCGATATTGGAATGGGGTCTCAAGCTCGTGTTTGTCTCCGGCGTCGAAATTTGTCAACTGCTGAAGGACTTTAAGGGTTGGGTAGCTGCACATACAGCTTGTTTTGTTCAATGCCTAGTTGCCTTTTTTTGCAAAAGGGTGTATACTGTAGACCCCCAAAATGGTCAGTTTGTGGGAACGTGATGATACAGTATCAGATCTTGGGGGGTTCCAACTCAATCACCACCCCAAGTACAGACTGTTCTGTTGCAATCACCTATTTTGGATTTACAAACAGAATCCTGTTTTGGGTGGGTTCAAATCCAAACAATCCAACCATTGATTTCGATATCGTTCAGCTGTGGGGCTAGTGCGGCGATGAGCGATGTCACGCTGACGGCATTCGTGCTGCTTTGTAGTCCTTACCCCCCGAACAAGTCAGATCCAGTAGATGTATATTGGACGTTTTCCAGGGGGGTTATGAGTATTTGAAAAAAAAATGAAAAGGATTGCTCTAGCACATCGAATGTAGCAATCCACAATCTTCCTCATTTTCGAGGTAGCTCCAAACATGTAGCTGGCTCAATTTCAGAAGGGGTCATGTGTTTGACTTTAATGTTGTGCCGCTGTCTAAGCAGATTTGGCCCAAAACGTGGCTCCTAAATTTCTGGACTGCAACAGGGGTACCATCTCTATTAAACGAATCATTTGGGACTGAGCCTGGCAATTGAACACGTTGGGAAAAAATTGCAGGCTCGCTCAAGTGGAACGAGCTACCTCAGCAACACCGTGCTAGCTCAAACACATCGCTTAGCTCGATGGCATGGAGCTGGCTCAATTTTTTTGAACGAAACAAAAACCAAAAAAAACGAAAAAATTGAGCCAGTTACGTCACGTTGAGCTGGCGAACGAATGTAAAAGCTCAAAAACGAATACATAATATGTATTGGCCGGGATGATGACGGCACACCGAGCTGGCTCAAGGGCATGTAAGCTGGCTCAATTTTTTCCGCGTTTTTTTTGTTCGGTTTTTTTCGTTCAAAAAATTGAGCCAGCTACGAGGCGCTGAGCCAGCAACGGGGCATTGAGCCAGCTACGAGGCGCTGAGCCAGCAACGGGGCATTGAGCCAGCTACGTGGCACTGAGCCAGCAACCAAATTATTGATTAATTCTGGCACCATGTGAGATAACATAGAAGATTGGCAGTCTACACATATGTATAATTATGTATACATATATAACCCCAACCATATAATTATGGCCAATCTGAGGCAACACCAGTTTTCTTGAGGGAGACGCGTACCCTTGAGCTGGAGGGAGATTGGGAAAAGTAACTTTCGAGCACAGCAACATCCTGCCAAGTAAACTAGGGGGATACAGTTACAGTTGTTGACTGTTTTGGCAATGACTTGCATAGCCTTATGTAGCCTGGGGTGTGCTCACACTCTGTCAGTCTGGTTGGTGGTGTCAGCCTGATTCTAACTAGTGCGCGCACTGTCCACGCAACGAACGAACCATGTGACATCACATGTCACTGGCAAGAATTGTTTTATTTTGGTTGAGCCACCAACCAGCCGCACGTACGTGGCCCTTTGTGTGCACATATGTTCGAAGGAATGTAGTGTGCTTATAATTGTTTTTAAAATTTAACGACAACTGCCATGCATGATGCTGAGAATCGTTTGGTCACTTAGAGTCACCCCAGACCATGAAATATTTGATTCTGAGTACTGAAAAAGTGGTGAATGTTGGCATATGTTGGCATATTCATGATATTGCCAATTTTGGTGGCCTGGGTCTCTACGATATGTTTATCCCTCACTTTTGAACGAATTTCTGTTGGACCTTTCGCTCAATTCCATGCCATGGCTCAAGCCCCGGCCTTAGTGGCCTGGGGGTTCCGCCGGCCTTAGTGGCCTGAGAGTTACGCCAGGCCTCAGTGGCCTGGAAGGCCTTAGTGGCCTCGATCGTTTTTCCACGGTATGGCAATGATCTTGAGACATTTCGCCAAGCCCTGCAAGCGCATTCAACGTTTAAATTTTCTGCACCCGTTCGTTTCCTGGAAGCGGACTGCAGAGTTTAGTATGCGCTGATTCCTGAATTTTGTCAATGCTCTACAATTCTGTTGTGTCCTTCTTTCTAGACTGAAGATATCAGAAAACGAGATGGTGACAAAATTCAAGGAACTTCTTTTCAGCGCAAGAACCATGTACCGCAAAAGCCAAGTGTGGCAAGGGCCATTCGGGGCAACGGCCAGTTGTATGATATTTTGGGGGCCTTCGCATACCATTGTGTGTTGGCACCGTCATGGAAGCAAAAAATGAATCAGGGTGCGACATGCTTTGTTCAGAGATGGGCTGGAGGCAAAGTTGTGGCTGGTATGTGATGGTAGAGTATGTTGTGTGTTAGTACATGTCCGGACATTGACATGGTAACCAACAACTGATGTATATATATATAGATTAACCAAAGTAAATTATTTTGTTCATTCGGCGAGGAATTCCTTAGGGGTAGCGGCGCTCTACCCAGCCCGCCATACCGATATGCTTTGAACTAAATCGGTCCAGTTCCCCCAGCGGACGAAAAATGAATTCCCACATGGCTATGGCGGCTATGGGTTTCTCACCCACGGCAGCTCATTTGTTCCTTTGTTCACCGTTGGACGGTATAGAATTATACCAAAACCATGTGGGTGATCAGAATCATCAGGGGATTCCGTTGTTGACAAGGATGTCATAGGATCCATTGAAGTTTGTGTAAAGAACTTTAGGGAACATCTCTGCAAAGCTGTTGTTGTTGCTGCTGCTGGTGGTGGTGGTGTTGCCGGTGTTGTTGTGAAGTTGTCCTGTCGCTGCCATTTGCTGCCACACCACACCTTTCTGCCTTGACGGTGGTTTGCAGATTTATTGGGACAGGTTGTTCAACCACGAACCACCAACCAGACACCGTTGAAGCATGTTTCGACGCCCTCGTTGTCGAGAGATTCGGCCATCAGGAAGTTGAATGGGAGCGACGGTTTGGTTGAGGCCAGAACCAGAACATCGGATAAAATGGAGACCTGGAATGACAGGGACGCTGAGTGCTGTCTCCTCTCAAGGATCAGCCACACCCAACGGTATGCAAGTATTCAAATGTAATGTTCTTTTTGTTGGCACACCTGATCGGGTACAGTACATACTGTACTTGTAAGATCTATATGTGCACGAGTCGAGAGCTGTTGGCGGCAAATGGGCAAGTGTCAAATGATGAATATGTTCAAACAAGTTGTTCTTCAGCTTTGATTGTAGTTGTTCCCATTGCACTTGAGTCTCAAACACCGCAATGTGCTCAAAACTGTTTGAGTGGAATGAGACTTCCGTGCAAACCACTTTCCAAAACGAACCCGCACAAGACAGCGACATGATGTGAGTCTTCCACTTATGTTCCACTTGCAGGTAACCCGGGACTGGCAGAACGGAAAGCTGAGCCATTTGTAGCAGCTGAAAAGGATTGAAACATATTTAAAAGGCGATATCCGGAACCTTCCGGAGCCTGTTATGTTTTATTGGTTATATTGCAAGATGTTTAAATCGTGAATTCACGGTGTACTGAGCACCGCGGACGCCTTCGACGTCTTGCGCGGTTTGCCTGTGCAATCTGTGCAATGAGTGCGTGTTCTGGATGGGCCATGCCGAAAATCAATTGGTTATCATCAGATTAACCTTTGCATCCCTTTCCCATTTTGTGATATTTTGGGGGTAGCTGATTTTCAGACGCCCAACGTACAGCGCCGGGCGCCTTCGCACCGCACCTGCACCCTGCACGGCAGATTGCGATGGACATCGCCCAGGACGCCGTGGCCGAAGAACGGCCTAGAGTGCCACACTGAAGATTCGGAGAATGTGAAAAGGACGTGGGCTGCAAAGGTTCAGTACAGGCACCGCTTGAAAAAAAGTGGCCAAGGGGATGCCAAACCAAATGCCATAAATGCAGAGAAGTGAATGAAACAACATGAAATCACACAAAATAACGATTTATATCCAAAACATTTGAGACATACCTCTGATGAAGAAGGATAGATTGATGAACGATGATAAACGGACGGACATGATTGAACATGGATAATTACTTTGATCAAATGCACTGGTTGATATGGTTGATCAGATGCAGATATTGTTCGATCAAATTTGTTACTGAAGTTTTCAGACACACCCACATCATCATATTATATATTAAATATTTGAATGATATTAAATGAATCTAGCTAGCAATTTTTTTTTGGCATGAAATCCACATCCAGTGAGATATTTAGATCCCCAAATTTAGTTCCACTTCAGCATGGATTTCGCCATTCGCTTCCTCATCCACATCGCCATCCCGTCAGGCCAGGTTAGTGGAGTCGCAGCAGCAGGCTGAGGAGCGAGAAATCGAAGAACTGAATAGCCATGTCCAGACTTGATATAGAGGTTACCCTCTGGTAAACTAACATAGCTATGGAAAATCACTGGTTTTAATGGGAAAATCCACTATAAATCACCATTTTCAATAGCTATGTTAGTTTACCAGCGGGTATATCATGTTATATCTCAACTTATTGGTGGCTATTACATGTTATTACCCTGTTATGACTATAATTTATACATATTTATAGCCATTAACCCCGACTGCACACCCAAGTATGTGCCATATTTTGCACATGGTGAAGCAAGCTTGACTTTCACATGTGACAAATGTGCCATGATCAAAACTTGGGTAGATTGATGTACATTGCATATTAATGGGGGGATGATCCTCCATAGGGGTTTACCTATTGGAAAGAATCCATGCTGGGATGACAACATGTCAGGAAGTCATTCCGGATTTGCTGGCAGCGCGTGTCTTGGGTCGGGTCCCAGGGGCTGTAAATTTGGGCTCTAACTCAACAAAAAGCGAACTACTCGTACAACTCAGAAGAGCATCGCTTTGGTTACTGGTGTTGTTGACCATATGTTTGATGTTATGACTGTTGTGCGAACAGACCAACAAAATACGTGGTGTGGAGCTATGTTGTTGCCAGGTGCCATAGAACATCCGGCTGTGATGAGCACACGGAAGGAATGACATTTTATGAAGTTTGCCACGCATTTTGCAGTGTTTCACATTTATGGCGTTGCTTCACTAGGCCTCGATTGTGAGGGTGTTTCGCTTGGTCGTTGGGGACGACTTTGCCTTTGTCAGGCGGCTTTGATTCATGGCTGGTTCAGAGACGGGCCATGTTGGATCTTGGGTAGTCCGTCATCACAACCCAAAACTTGTTGAAAGTCAGGAAGATCATTGCTACAGATAAGCATGGCTGGTTCGAGACATGTGTGAACTATATATGTATGACCTAAGTGTCTAAATCATTCTAAATCGCAAATACCCAGATGGCCTCGATTCGATTCGCGGCCTTTGAGACTCAGATGAGCCTTGCTTCGTACTTGGCAGTCTTTCCTGATTTGGTGTGAGCGGTTTGCCCTCAGGTTGCAACGCAACAGCAGGCAGGCCATGCCATGCTAGAAAACTTTGCAAACCACAAAAATGTTGGTTGCTCTCTTGTGGTTTATAGTGGTCATGTCTATTTTGCTGCTGGCTGTGCGCTTATTTGGCATGATTTGGCGATGCCATTCTAGAACTTCAAGCTGCCACAAAGTGCGGCTTATTCCTCCCAGCGAGATGGATATCGCCAAAGCTGCAACCTGGCTGTCCCAGCTTTGAGTGGAACCGGCCATGGAAGATTGTCGTTCTCGGACAAGAGACAGCTTGACTCTGGCAGCAATTTTCCATAATTTTCCTGTGCAGAGGAAGTAGGTTCTCCATTGTGGTTCCTTTTGATCCCTTTTGGGAAGGTTTCCTGCATAAAGCGCCAAGGTCATGCAGATGAAGTCCATGCGCATGCAGAAAGCGTCAGAAAATAAGGAGGTCCACACCCCACCCTCTCCCATTCAGAGGCGCGATCCTCGTCGAACAAATTGTCCTATACTGCGCATATTTTTCAAAGGATCTATGAGCCGAATGCGAAGGCCATTGAAGCGCCAAACCAGTTGGCGCTCTGGGCTCCGTGGTGGTATGTGGAGACCGACTTCAGAGGCTGGGATGCATGGGAACTCTTGCAGATGACGCATTACTGCAGTTACCACAAAAAAAACACAAAAACAATGAGATTGGTGTTCATCAACAAATCAACAAACATGGCGAGATAAGCAGAAAAAATGGGACTGAGCCACCAGAAATGAGGGCCGAGAATGCGAAGACAACCAACCAAAACGGTGTTTGACTGGTTGGTTGGTTTCAAACACGTTTGTATTTCCATCCCAAGAAATAGGATGGTGTTCACCATCACTCCCAAAGACTACTATTTTGTTTGGAGATGTTTGGAGTTTGGGGATGTTTGGGGCGAGCTAAACCACCCACAAAACCACGTTGTTCCCTTTTCGTGGTGTAGTATCTTGATGGCCAGGTGCTTATCCCTTCAAAGAAGGAACCAGTGCCTCGATTGCGGCAGGCGAGGGGAGATGAGATTCCATTATCATAGGATCCTAACGGTGCTGGTATATATGGTGCTCCATGGATCCCATCAATATACCCCAGTCATGTTAGCATATATGGTCCCGTCCTCCGTCTCTCCACCCCCCCCTCCCCCCCCCATGGGTTGGGTCCCCAGGTAGCACCCCCCTTCCCTTCTATTTGCAAGCTATTGGCAGCATTTTCTGAGGTCCAGCTTCGTATTTGCTAGGTCTTTGCAGCATTTCTGACTACCAGCCTCGCATTTACTAGGTACATGCTACCTTTTAGGCGACCTACGTAGCACACATACTCCTTCAAAGTACCTACGTGCTACCTATAGTCATATATACATGTGCTATGTATCTACTGTATCTACTTCCTATTTACTACCTGTGTACTCTGACAACACTACCTGTGTTTAACATACACCGTACCTACTAGTACCATACATGTCAATGATGCCATGCATACCATACCTATCATATCTATCATACATACCATACATATCCATACATACAATACATATGACATGTAATTACCACACCTACCATACATACAATAGCAAACATACATGCCATACATACCACACCTACCTTACATAGGAAATCCGCCCGCACCGAAGGTGCTGGGGCGTGATCTTCCGGATGGCACTCGTAAAAGGTTACAGGTTTACCTGGGGGGGGGGGGCACCATTTTCGGCCAAAACCTCCTGTTTTTGATAGGTCGTGACGCTCGCCTTCAAAAAACACTGTAAAAAACAGTACGGAAGACACCTGTTCGTGAACGCGCCCGTCCAAAATCGGCAAGCGAAAAGTGAAAAAACCCGTGTTTTTCAACTTTTTGACCTCAATTTTTTGGTTTGCAACATCTTTTTTTGCGGTTCCGCAGGTGGCCGGGCCCGGAGGCGGATTTTTGAGTTTTTGGACCCGTTTTCGGACTGATTTTCGTCGTTTTGTGATAGCAGAAACACTGGTTTTTACAGTGTTTTTCTGTTTTCTGCATGCTTGACGGCTAGCTTCAAAACTTCCAAAAACCTCGTAAATTACGCTGTTTTATGTTACGGTGTGAATGAAAGCATCGTAAATACCAGTGTTTTTTGACGTTGGTTAAAAAAACACTGTAAATTACAGTGTTTTTGGCCACCTGACCCTCAAAAACCACGGTATTTGCAGTGGTTTCTGCTTCTCACCGCGCAAAAGCACTGTAAATAACAGCAATTTCGCCGTTTTTTCATGTTTTTCGTTTTTTTTTGAACTGCGTTGGTCCGCTATACATGGCTATCAAATTCTTCGCGTGTTTTTTTCCGACAATCAGTACTTTCGGATGTTTTTGGTCTCAATGGCCGACATCATTGGCAGTTACGAGCGGCTGCCCAACGATGCGGTGCGGGCGGTTGCCGTCGCGAAGCGACGTGAATATTCCATACCCGTCATAGTAACCATACATACCATACAGACCATACATACTGTCATATCAAACATACCATACCCAACAGACTTACATGGACCATACCTACCATCCATACAATACCAACCACTCATGCCATACCAGACCGACCATACACACCATACATACCCAACATACCATACCACACCCCCTCCACACCACAGGGGGGGGAGGGGGACAGTGCCACACCCCCACCACACCACAGGGGGGGAGGGGGAAGATCTCATATGGGGCCAGTATATGGGACGCATCCCATGGGGGGGGCGAGGGGGGGGTGGCAGGGCCTGGTGCATATATACCAGCACCATGGATCCTATGGGATTATCATTGTATATATTGCAATATATTGCAATTTGATGTAATTTGCAAGCTGTCAACTTGGTTTTTCTTTGGCTGTGATGAAATTCCATCTTCTGTCTTACCCATTGTAAATTGCATGATACTCTGATAGATCCTCAGATCCTCACTCCGCATGCCTATCGGACATTGAGCCAGGCGAAGCATCGGCAAGCTCTGACTGAGGTCGCGATTTACCACAAGGTGCGAATGCTTGAGACGTTGAGTCGTGAACTCTCACTAACTCTTGTCCAAACCATCATCAAAAAGGTTGGTGAATATAATAACAATAATAATAATAACATATATATATATATATATCCCCTTTATGTCATAAATGTATCTTCACGTAAATCATGTTATGTTTATATGATTTACAGCATTTAATAATTTTTTACCATTTCTATATATTTCTATATTTCTACAGTGTATCTTTTATTTGATTCTACGCAGGTCTACACATGACCTGAATCGGTGTTGGTATAGTGACTCCCATTGATTCCCTCTTTTACCATCGGGCCAGGGTGATTTTCGGCACTTGGATGGCCACCGTTCCAGGCTGCGATGACCATCCAACAGGCTTGGCGCAGCCGGCCGAATCGGCGTGTGGCTTTGCTGCGGCTGATCAACTCTGAGGCCGGAACTGCGTGACCAGAGGTCGGAACTGGAAACGCATCGGTTTCCGGATCGAAGTATATTCTAAAATCATTCTAAAATTAGATATTCTGTATTGGACATCTAAGATCATCATATGAATCATATCATTAAGATATCATTAAGATATCATTAAGATATCATTAAGATATATTAAGATCATCCAAGAGCGCTGAACTGCTGACCCATAATCAGTGACCTCCAGGCGCGTCGACGCCATTTGGAGCGTCGGAGTTTCCAGACACGGGCCCAATTGTGGGAGGATATGGAAAACTCCCAGGAGCGTCGCATGAACATTTGTAATCAGTTGTAGGGAAGCCGAAGCTGTGAAATGGCTGGTTATTTGGCTGTTTTCTGTTGTTTGCGTGGAATGGAATGGATTCTGCTTGCATATCACTGTGGATGTACAATGACTATCCTTGAATCATGAGTTGTAGTGAACCATAGTTGCCAAGGGCTGTACGGATGTAGGAGCCAGGCACTTCCAAAGGACCATCCATTTGGCAAATGATGCAGTGCTCAACAATTCTGAAGGAGGTGTTGGAGGAGATTGCAACATGCCGAATGACAGAAACCATGGGGCGGATTTTTCTGTCTAAGCCAACATCCGAAACCGACAGCGGCCGACACCTAGTTGGAACATTCTTTCCTTCACGCTTTAGCCGGCCAGCTGGGGTAATTACACCTACTGTAATTACACGTAATTGCTGCATTTGGTCAATCTTGCAATGGGAAGAAGTTCAAGAGATTGGCAGCTAGCAGTGTGTGGCATGCTTTTAGAAGCTGTCGACAGGTCAGTGTGTTTGGGTGCAGTGACCTCTCCGTCAGGATGTGTTGACAGCTACAAAGACTTGCCAACGCCTGGATGCAGGGGTTCAGGCCTTTATGGACGGCCTGAAGCGCAAGCAAGCCGTGCGCAGGAAATGCCAGGAGATCTGGTGAGCTGGTTGCAGGATGTTGCAGGATGATTCTGTGACCTTTGTGACCCAGAGATGGGGTGCTTTTTTCCATGTGGAACTGAGGCGACGCATCCGGCCCAAGCTGGTTGCGTATTCTGCGATGTGGAACATCATTGACACCCAGCGCCGCACTGAGGTCACAAGATGTGGGATCACGGCCGTAGATGCTGTAGATTCAAAATGGTTCAAGATGGTTCAAGATTGTTTCAAGTAGTTGACCTTGTTGAAAAATAACAGCTACCATCAGCTACCGACCATTCCCAAAAACGATACCCGAGAGTGTTGACACGAGATGATACCGGATTATCATGCAATGTATTGCTTGTACTGGTCAGCCGTTGCCAGATGCACTGGGAAGCTTTGCGGCAGCTCATTGCAACACCAAAAGCTTCCGCGCAGAAGTCGGAGGTGGAGGAGCCACGTCATAGCACTTCATTTTAGTATATTTTCTGTACTTTTCGATGGGTTTCTGACTTGTCGTTTGCCTTCTCTTAGCCAAGACCTCTGACTGGTCAGCTCGCAGGCTCATTGGGACAAGGTGCTACGTCTTGTGGGCCCAGCTCCAGAATGTGCCTCAGAAGTAGAGGTGCGGCGAGCTGGTACTCTGCAAAGAACCCAGTATCGGATAGTGCAAGACAGCTGGTGTATACTGAGTAATTAATGTGGTAAACCCATGTAAACCCAATAATAAACAATCCCCAATACTACCATAAATGAACATAAATGGGTGGTAAAGGTAATCCCCAAATGTTACTTGGTCATGGCATTGGGCCTTGGGTTTACCACATTAGTTCATCATGGTTCCAAGTGACACAAAATTGGTCGACATCCCCAGTTGATACATGTTGATACTGTAGTGAGTGCGGCAAAGATTGAGGATTAGATTAGAATTCCGCAGCTCGGGTAGTTGTCTCACATATGTTCTTCCTTCGGGAGGATCAATCCGAAAGTCATGTTTTCGGTTTGAACCTTGGAGATCACTAGCTCAATCAACCTAAAAATCGAAAAACCACCAATCAACATGATGTTTTTAGGATTACTAGGTCATTTCGGAGACAGTTTCATCACCTTGGGCCATCAGTCGATATCCAGGCTGTAGTCACTTTCGCGCCACTGGCGCCTGCAATTTGCGCGTGACCCCTCATGAGGCCGGTTTCATTGGGAACTCAGACGTTCAAGCGTATTTTTTCCTCCATATATTATATTAATATAATATTATATAATCAGTACAGCGCACTAGACTGTAAAGTATGCTTGTTATATTATGTGCAAACAGCTACTCTTGGCTATTGAGTTTGTCACCCCTGATAAGTAAACTCTGGTTGATTAATTTAAGGGAAACCCCAAGAGTGATAATTGCATATAATTGGTCGTACCCCTCCAATTAAACATATTAAACAGCCCAGGGGTTCATTCATCTGGGGTTGACATTATGGGTTTCGTCAACTCCCTCTGTGCTGCTGCATTCATTCGGGAAGATATAGAAAAAGATACCTCTATTTGGATGGTTGGTGCTCACAGGAGTCCGGGAGTTTCTATGATTTTCTATGCAGAATTTTCAACAGGTCCTCAGGTTCCATAAACCTATAGTATTCTACCATGTTTTCTGGAGCCCTCCTTTTGTTTCTTGGCGGTACGGGTACTACACCAATTCTGAAAATAGCTAAAACATATAGAACCTTCTCGAACTATAGAATTGATATTTTTTATACAACTAATGAAAGATGTCGCCAACTGCAGGAACTCCCAGAGGCTGCCAGTGCAGAGCAGTCCAGGAGGCAACCTGGAATAGTTGGAGATCAAGGAAGTCCGCTGCAACCGGACTGGGCTCAGCCATGTTGGCACTCTTCTGGTAAGATTTCGGTGCTATGAAATAAAGGAGCCATAGGGAGCCCTTCATAGCCCTTCTCTTGGATAATGAGAGTCGGCTAGCGTTTCTGAGGTATCTATATAGCACTTCCTCACATGACTTGGTCGCGCCTTCTTGTACAGAAGAATTGATCCTTATTGAGGGCTACAAGCTACCGCGCAAGTGAAAGCTGCCTGCAACTGTTGCAAGACCTACAGCTTGCCCACTAGCATTTGTTGACCAATGCAGTGTAGTGTAGACAAGGACTTGCATTCAACTGCCGAAAGCGTTCGTCGAAACATCAGTTTCTTTGCCATTCGAGTGAGAAATGTGAGAAGGACCACTGAAGCTCGAATTCTCAGTCATTGAACTTTTAAGGTTTGAGAAACTGACTGATTTGGACTGATTTAGGCAGGACGAAGGCCTGTACAACGTACCTCTATGAAATACTACATATCATATTCTATTTTGTATCTTTTGTTACACGCACATAATGCACAAAGTCTGACCATACAGTCATGCAGGGTACCAGATCTACATTTGCATCAAACATATCATTTGTATTAATTCGTCATGTTTGTTTTGCACTATATGTTTTCTATTGTTTTCTACATTTGCATATTCTTGACCGGTTCATATGTTTGACTTGTCGAGCTCTTCCTGATGCAACAGCAGGATATAACGGTAAGAGGAAAGATACGGCAAGATGCCACTTCGCCCCACCTTCACATGACATCGCATGGCATGGCACCACACAATACTGGAGATGCCTGGAGTACAATGTGACAATGTATGATATGTATGGATGTATATGGGTCTAGTGAGTCTTACAGCCTTACTATATGTCTTACATTGGATATCATTTAATATCATTTAATCATATTTAATCATATTTAATCAACATGTGCAGCAAGACTGTTGGGCATTGCACTTGCGGCCTTTCGTGCGCCTTTTGTACAGCTGGCTGGCCACAACGATAATCCTTTTGGATATCCACGACGTGCTGAAGACAGTCTTTGATTACCAGGAGACGTGTTCAGTACAGATGTACATACAGCACTGCACCGTTTTGAAAACTTGTCTGTTTGAATCAGGGCACTCATTTTTGCCTCCTCTGTCTGGAGATTCCTGAGAAGAGAGCATGAAGAAAAAAATGATATGTAACACATTGTGGTACTTTGTGTTTTCCTGATTTAATCGCATATACATTGGGCCCGGTATTCTTTGAGCTCATCTTCCGTACATGACACAGGTGTTCCTTTTCGATGCCTTGCGCACTGGGGTCATTGAAGCTCTCCGGCCTGTTCTGTCCTCTGCTGCTGTCACAAAGGTAGGGAACTTAGTTCGCAGTTCCAAAAATCACGGCATGGGCAATGCTCAAAGGGATACCCAAAGGGATACCCCAATAGGATTCCAACCCGGGGTCTCAGAGCAAACCACATACCCGGTCTCACGTCCTGATGAGTGTAGCCATGTAATCAACGTACCATGTGCGCAATTTGCGGCGAAGTTTGATGGTTATTATAGTTATTTGTGATGATTTGTGGTTAGCATTTGATTTGACTGTTGGGTGTTGGACACACATGGACACACCTGATTCAGGTTATGCATGATAGCAGAGAAGACTCGTTTGAAGGCTCAGGTACTTGTGGGCTGAGATCGTTTTTTTTTTTTGCATTTTAGACAACAAAAAACATCCAGTGATTGGTATCTATACAGTCTATAAATGTCTATAATATATGTTCCATGATGTTCCCATGTTTGCCCAGGTCAGCCTTCTTGTCTCAGTTTGATATAGAGTTGGCTGGAGTTTACGACTCCCAGGCTGGCCAGGTAGCATCAGGTAGTTGAAAGATGCTAAAAGAATGTTACATTTTGGACCGTCACAGCTTTTGGTACTTGGTCCTCAATGCGCAGCTTTCAGCCAACATGACACATTTCACGCATTTCAGCGAATGTGACACACTACAGCTAAAAGGATGTCTTGACGGAGCAGAGAGGGAATAGATACTGCAAAGTCACGCAGAAACATGCACTTCACCCACTCCAACTAACCTAAACTTACATACACAACAAAAACACAACACGTATAATTGGGCAAATCTGTGCAACTGTATCCAAATGACGAACTCCCGCGTGATGCACAAGACAGCAGTACTCCTTTTGATTGCCGAGTGGCTGGACCGCAAACAGCTCTCGATTTGCGAAACCTGGTATGCCAAGAGCCCAGAAGGCTTAGTGTTGGCAGTACTCCTTGCATAGCGGATTATACCCGCCTCAATGATTTTTCGCGGTTTCAAAGATTTTCGCAATACAAGAGCTTTGGGAGATTTCTTTGCGGGGACCCTCACGTTTTCAAATCACCTCAAAAAATGTCATGGTAATATCATTGGGAAACCAGTACCACAATTTTGAAGAAACACCTAATAGAAACATATTATAGAAACATATAGAAACATAAACATCACAAAAAGCCTCTCCTAAAATAGTGGTGAATTTGAATTAATTTGAACATATTTGAACTTTTTGATCTCTTTTTGGATGTTTCATAAATTTTCATGTTTCATATTTGTTCATCCAGACATCCACACTGGGATCTGCCGAGGCTCTGTGACGCCTTGCCTCGCATCCACTTGCGCCGAAGTGTGACAGGTGAGCAGCGCTTCGTGGATGAATTTGGTCGCTGCTCGGGCAGAACATGGGCACGGGCTCAGACTGCTGAAAGTTGCCTTTTCCATCCTTTCCCTATGGTTTCTTTTATTGTGTCTGATGTTTTTTTTGGTATCTTAATAATGTTAATATATAATCATATATATATATACATATATATATACATTCACATATATATATATATAATTTTATAATATATATATATATATATGTGTATATCAGTGCCAGTGCCATGCATAACTCCAAATCCAATTGTTTGTTTTTCAGGTGAGACCTTCTTCCACGGCAGCAATGCAGTTGTCAAGGGCCCGCCATGGATCCCAAGCCGCGATGGCTTTGATCCTTTGACGTCCTTGACAGCCAAGGAGCGTTTGACGGCGTGGAATGGGAAGCCATGGATAGCGCCATGGATAGCCATGGTGATTAATAGCCAATATGAATGGCTAATAATGGCTATTGGTGTGGAATGGTCAGCCATTTTTAGCAGACATGATTTTTGTCGCAAGAGTTTCTTCCAATCTTCTAAGTTTTCGGAGAAACCACAGTAATCAAGATCCAATCCGCAAGAATCTGCGATAAGGGTTTGGACATTGTGGACATGTGCTGAGAAGGATCATGATTTTCTGGTGACTCAAGGACTTCGAATTGATGAAGGCAGCTGGTTTGAATGTTCTACGTCTAGGTGCCGTGCTGCCCATTCATCAGTTGCAAAACCTGGAACTTGCAAATCTACACCGAAGATCATGAAACATACAACCGGAACTTCCAAAACTCCGCCGGAGGTGTCATGTGGCCTGGTGTGGAACCACAACGAGGTGTTTACAATGAAAGCTATCTTCGTATCGTGCGGGACATTGTAGAGGAGGCAGCCACCTATGGGATCTACATTTTGGCTGATATGCACCAGGACCCTTGACAGATGCTGCTGCAAAACTCAGAGCCAAGATGACAGTCTGTGAAATGCAACATATCAAAATCGACAGTCAATACATGTCACAACTAGATGGAGAATCTAGCTGCCCTTGAATGAGCCCTTGTGGGCCACGGGTGAAAGGACCTGCTGAGCGAAAAGTTCTGCGGCGAGGGTGTTCCCTTGTGGGCAGCACAGCCGGTGCCAGTGCCCTTTCCAGTACCGCTTTCACTCCCTTATCTACCAGGTGCGCGTAGGCAGTTGCAATCGATGAGCGGCAGCAGTATCATCGTGCAACGCGATGTACTGAGCACAGTTTGATGCCGGCAGCACTCTTCAGGTTGGGATGGATTGCCAAAGCGCGACGATTGCTTCCGATTTGAGTCATGGGCTGCATACCAAGCCTCTATTGCAACAGGACCGGATGTGTGACGTGAATCATTGATCGTGAGACCTTGGAAACGCTGCGACCCCTTGTCCTGTTATTTTGATCATTTTGGGGTTGGTGCTCAATGAATGGTACTCACTGCATGCCCAAGTGATTCAAACAGCTAGATGCAAACAGCTCTGGATCATCTTTGATCACTTTGAAACTGCGACAGTCAGCGCCTACGACCGGCTCTTCACCAACCACGATAACCTCACGAATGCATGGGGGGCCTTCTGGGCCGAGGCCAGGAATGTCCACAGATGTCCACAGATGTCCACAGCGATGCAGAATGCAAAAGTGGCTGATTCTTTGTGATTTATATTATGTTGTCCGAAACTGGATTATACATGATTATACCGTTATACCATATTATACCTGTATACCCCAAATCCATTGGTTAAATCTGGTCATATGCTCGATTATACTCGGTTATACTCGTCATCACTGTCCCAAAATTGAACCATAAATTGCGGGCCAACCCGCCAACCTCTTAGCTCATCCCCCAACTCGAAGGTGGCTGAGACCCTGGCAGATGCTCCTGGAGTTTTGGGATTGAACATTATCAATGAGCCCTTCCCAGGAAATTTCTACGAGGAAATCTCGCAGAATGTTCAGAATGTTGCACTGTTGACACTGTTGCATACTGTTGAAAAATATCCTGGAAACCATTGGAAACCAGTTGACAAAAGATATAGAAGGTATGCAGAGATTTTGTCAAAGTTTGTTGTGGGGTACCTTTGGCGAAAGCCAAAAGAGTGCAAAAGCAGAGCGAAAGCAGTGTGAAATTAACATGCTCACGAAATGTCGGCGAAAGTTGCCGTGAGAGTGAGAATAGTTTGCATACTTTTGCAATTTGTGCGACATTTCATTTGTTCTGAAGCCAGCGCAAGTGTGAACGCGCTGCTGTAAATTCTGGATGGACACGCTGTGGATAGGATCCATCATTGCTGATTCCAGATGTGGCCGATCGAAAGCGGCTCCAACCTGCATATGATACTGTTGCTGAGCATATCCGAGAGCCTTGCCTATCAGTGCTGAGAACGTTGATGCCTGCATCATGTGGTTCTCTATCTATACTCCAGAGAAAGTCTTGCTGAATTCCCGGTGTTTGATGACAGGCCCTTGCTGTCGAGTTGATGTGCGTTTGATGCTACATGACACGTTTCAGCAGAAAATCAGTTTCACAAAGATGATGCTACGCTACTCATACATCATGAGATATCATCATGATTCATCATGTGTAACAATGATTATCATTGTATATATTGTATATCATAGTGATCCATAGTGCACCAGATGGCACCTCAAGATATTTGAGCAACCAGCAGCGACCAGCAACCAGCTGAGGCTGTTGCTCCAGATGCATTGATCTTCTTTGCCGGAACCACCTGGGATCGCATCTGGGACACGTCCTGACAACTCGGGACACGTCCCCCGATTTTATACGAACAATAGGAACGTTCCTGGTAGATGGGAGATGGGAGATGTACCAAGAAGGGGGACAAAACAGGCGCTTCGAATCGCTTCGATATTTTTCTCGACATTTGTTGAAGTGAAATCTTCGCAAAGAACCAGCTCCTTGGAGACTGATAGGGGAAGGCACCTCATGTCACTGATTTGAAGTGGACTTGTTCAAATCCGAGGGACATTACATGATATTACAATATATTACAATATATTACATGTCAGGCAATCTGAATCTAATACTGTAGATCCAATAGATACTCAGTCTCACAGCAAGGCGCAGAAAAGGGATCTAGGCGTGCTTTCTTTAATATAGGATCTTCATGGATCTTCTCCATTTAATCTACATACCTCATTTGTTCCAAGTGATGGCTTCGTGAAGAGATTTCAAAAGAAAATCTTCACATTGACCCTGGATTTCGGAACAGAAATGTTCAGAATGTTTCATGGGCTCGCGCAAATGGCAGTTTCTGGCAATTTGTTTGGCAACTTGTTAGTGGATTCCACGACCTGCACATGCAAGACTCAGAATTATAATGTTTCTGTTCTTTTACGCTTTTATGATCTTTTATGTCCAATTGTGTCGTAGATTCCGAAAGCAGAACATGCATTGCGAACAGAGGCGATGTTGTTTCATGTTGTTTCTTTCGAACTCAGAAGTGAGTACCGTACCGCATTTGTATCCATTTGTGACTATTCTGAACTGTAGGCTGCTGAATTTGAGGGAACAGGAACTCAGATGTTACCTAAGGCACTGGACGCATCACTGACAAGCTGCCGTTGGGTTTCGAACATCCACCTGGAGGGAATGTTTCTTGTACTTCACGAGCAGCAGTTTGATTAACCTTTACTTTATTCAATGGGAATTCCAGGATCCTAAAATGGAGGTACTGTACCATATATGCCATATATGGTACAGTACCTCCATTTTAGGATCCTGGAATTCCCATTTAATATATGGGAATTCCCATTCATTGATTTATGTTTTAGAGTTGGAGTGAAAAACAATGAGCCATGCTCTACTCCAGGAATTTCCATGAATTTTCCAACAAACAGGAACGGCAAAAGATCACAAGGAAAGAATGTGCGTTAAAAATGAGCGCAGCCAAGACAAGAAGGCCTGAAAATACACATTGGCAATTTCTTGGCCTTTGATGCAATGTCTTGGCGCGGCCCAGGAGTTTGCAAATCGATCAGTGAATTCCTTTCACTTCTACACCCCGCCACAGTCTGTATTCTGGCCGAGATATTCCAGGTAGGTTAGCAAGCTTTAGGCCGATAGGATGAGGCAATGACACGATGACACACAAGTTTGCACTTGAACTGAGCGTTCAATCAGACTTCAAGATACGAGGTTCCTGCTGATGTGTAGTGAAACCCTTGAGGCAGAACATGCAAAGAGCTACTTCCAGCAGCGTTTGAAGGATGCACGGCGTTTGGGTACAGGACTTTTCTTGACAGAAACTCGACTGAATGTTTGTGTACGTTCATGTTTGCTTTGCTTGAAGGACACTTGACCCAGCATGAACAGTGGCAGCATAGAAGTATCATTTTTGATCAATTCTCAACCACTGGGTAGTTATTTTTGCTGGAGGAGGCCTCAGGGCCCCACTTTTTTCCGTGCAATAAATCTCCGAGACCCCCATTCTGCGGTTTGGCAATAGGCAGCACTTGGTCTTGGCTTGCAACTCAGCGGGAAGAAGTTGGATACGTGCATGCACTTCATTTCCCATGTACGTCCTCAAGATGTCTGACCTTCTGGACATGAGAGGTGTGCCTGAGAACCACGAGATGCTTCTCCAAACGGGGCTGCTCCACAAGTGGCCACCAGGTATGTTGGTAGTTTTTGTTTCACGTCAGATCGGCATCCTGATCCCAATGGAGATTGGATGAAAGTCCTGCGACAGGCCTTGATGAATTTGATGGACGGGTCCTTATCACTTGACCTTCGAGAAGCCTAGTCTTAGAGACATCAAGATGCCACCGCTGTGGCGACACGGCTTCATGCACAAGTCCATGATGCATACATCTGGATGGATTGTTTCGGGATACCATCGATCATAGCATGTGGCTTGACCAATCCAGGATCAGATCTTGGGAAAGCAATTCAGAGCATTCCTGGCTATGTTGAAAGATCTGCAGGCTTTGTAGCCCTCACAGATCTTGGGAAAGCAATTCAGAGCATTCCTGGCTATGTTGAATGATTTGCAGGCTTTGTAGCCCTCACAGATCTTGGGAAAGCAATTCAGAGCATTCCTGGCTATGTTGAATGATTTGCAGGCTTTGTAGCCCTCACAGATCTTGGGAAAGCAATTCAGAGCATTCCTGGCTATGTTGAAAGATCTGCAGGCTTTGTAGCCCTCACAGATCTTGGGAAAGCAATTCAGAGCATTCCTGGCTATGTTGAAAGATCTGCAGGCTTTGTAGCCTTCACAGATCTTGGGAAAGCAATTCAGAGCATTCCTGGCTATGTTGAAAGATCTGCAGGCTTTGTAGCCCTCACAGATCTTGGGAAAGCAATTCAGAGCATTCCTGGCTATGTTGAATGATTTGCAGGCTTTGTAGCCCTCACAGATCTTGGGAAAGCAATTCAGAGCATTCCTGGCTATGTTGAATGATTTGCAGGCTTTGTAGCCCTCACAGATCTTGGGAAAGCAATTCAGAGCATTCCTGGCTATGTTGAATGATTTGCAGGCTTTGTAGCCCTCACAGATCTTGGGAAAGCAATTCAGAGCATTCCTGGCTATGTTGAAAGATTTGCAGGCTTTGTAGCCCTCACAGATCTTGGGAAAGCAATTCAGAGCATTCCTGGCTATGTTGAATGATTTGCAGGCTTTGTAGCCCTCACAGATCTTGGGAAAGCAATTCAGAGCATTCCTGGCTATGTTGAATGATTTGCAGGCTTTGTAGCCCTCACAGATCTTGGGAAAGCAATTCAGAGCATTCCTGGCTATGTTGAAAGATTTGCAGGCTTTGTAGTCTTCACACCTGAGCAATATCATTTGGACACTGGCAAGTCATGCAACTTGAACCAAGACTCATTTTGTTTTCAAAGTGAGGCCTGGCAACTGCGCAACTAGCTGGCATACTTCTGGCGTCTTAACTGCGACTCTGTCGTGCAGGTTGACGTCTCGGAGAACAACAACAACAACAACAACAACAACACCAACACCAACACCAACACCAACACCAACACCAACACCAACACCAACAACAACAACAACAACAACAACAACAACAACAGCAACAGCAACAGCAACAGCAACAGCAACAGCAACAGCAACAGCAACAGCAACAGCAACAGCAACAGCAACAGCAACAGCAACAACAACAACAACAACATCAAGTCTTGGTTGACACGTGGCTGGTCGGACCTGGTGTTCCATGGTCTGAGCCAACAGGGAGAGACCCTGGTCATCCATTCTCCCATGCACGAAGCCATCCGCTTCGGTTTGGAGTGGCAGCTGGACAGAATGGACCATGCCGAGTTTACAATTGAATCTGACCGCGAAGATGTGAGGAACTTGTTGGAAAGCATCATCTCACGGCAGGTAACGCATCCCAAGTGTCCTTTGCATTTCAGCCGATATGTCTTGGCCAAGAGGTTGTGGCACCACCTGGAGCATTGATGATTTCTTCGAACACTTCAAATTTCGCCATCTAGCGGAGGCTGCCAATGAGTTGGACAGTATGACTGGACTGCTTTGCGCCCTCTCGGGCGATTGCAGGATGATTCAGATTCTGGTGAATGCTAAGGCAGATCTCTAATCAAAATCTCAGGGCTTGTCCCACTTGGGTCATGTGAATGGCCTGACTCCTCTGATTATTGCAACAAAAATCTATCAGAGTCCTCAGATCCTGGATACTTTGTTGAAGCTAAAAGCTGACCATGCGATCCCAATGGCATCAAGGTTGTTTCTTGGGTGAAGTCTAAGTCTCCAGAACAGGTCAGAACTCTTGCAGCTGCCAATGGCGATTTTCATATATACGCTGCAAGGTCCGCTGCGAATCGCTCCACTTTCAATTGCCACGGCTCTTGCGAACGTGGAAACAGTTGCTGAATTGTTGGCAATGAGATGCGACGTGAACCCGGCAGGATCTGTGGACAGCCCTTTGCATTACCCCGCCACCTTCTTGATGGAGTCATCAATGGAAAAAGCCGAGCTCTTGATTGCCAGTAGGGCCAATCAATCTCAATGCACACATGACTTCAATGGGTCCCTTTGGCTTTGTTTGCAGTTCTATGCAACTTGCAGCTGCTATATATGGGACCTCCAGTCTTGTTCAGCCACGGGGAAGCTTTTTGCAAGCTGGAATTCTGGAATGGCATGACACCGCTAAGTGTGGCAGCATTTTTCGGAGATCAGGCTTTGGTTCGGTGTTTGCTGCAAGCTGGCTCCGATGTCACTGTTTCAAATTCATGTGGCGATCTGCCTGAAGACTTAGCTACTGCCCAGCACCATCATCAAGTGACTGAGCTGCTGGGAAGTTTTTCCATGACCGGAAGAGATGGGTGCAGCGCCGCAGCGCCTTTGTACAGACCTATTCACTTCTCTTTGAAATGCAGGAAGAAAGTAGGCCTGAATATCAGCAGCGTATATCCATGTATATCCGTTCCGCAGCATGCATCATATGAATGTTTCTTGGAATAAGAGACCCTTAGAAGGACTTTCGTTTTTCCCAGTAGGGAAGCCATGCAGGTATTTCTTGGTTTTTTTTGAGATGCCTCTTAAGAAACACGCATTTGTCTCAACCATATGAGTTTTTGTTGTTGGTACCACTGGTACAACTTCAGCTAATGTCAGCTGTATGGCCCATGGCTGACACTGTGCCAAGCCAAGGAGACATGCTGTGACTTTTTCTTTGAGGATGCAGCACCAGCGGTGGACAGCTTGGGACTGTTGCGCAGCAGCATTTCTATGCATTTCTTGGATTTCTTTAACATTGTTTAATATTCATATTAAATTTTAAGAAAGCACATACAAATCATAAATCGTCATAAATCTATTGAGCTATTCATGGCAATCACATGCAATCACTGTTTTCTTTTGTGTATTTCTTTGGTTTTGTATGTCGTCACTGCAACATGTTGTGGGGTCCTCCAAGAGCCGAGGAGTTGGCTCCACTGGGAGTGGAAACCCTTCTGTAAGAATTCCACGGTCACTTGTCAATCCAGTATGCCGTGTGGTCGTTTCATGTAGTTGATATAACAGCAATATTAATAACGTGTATATATATATATATTATAAGTTATATAAGTATATATAATCAATAATTCGGTATGTATGGTTGATGACGATTCATTATGAATATTCATCAAATATATATATAATTATATATGTATTGTACACCACACAATTCTGGATATTATTAAGTCGAAAGATTGTTACATCATGCACATCCGTGTATCAATGAAGAACTGAAGAGATGCAGGGCCAGCTGTTTAGGTAGAGTTGTACGGACATGCAGATGGGTCAATAGGCAGGGGGCACGGGCCGAATAAACCACCGGATGCGAGGCACGATCCATGGACCCCTGCATAATGATGCATGGTATCGAGTTTGTCAAAGGAAGTTTAGGGGGAGAAACTTCCGTGTTACGGACTTTTAGAATGTCAGGGAAAGAGTTCGTCAAAGAAAGAGTTAGTGAGGGAAAGAGTTAGTTAGGGAAGAGTTAGTTAGGGACAGAGTTCATTGTAACTTTTAGAATGTCAGGGAAAGAGTTAGTCGAAGAAAGAGTTAGTGAGGGAAAGAGTTAGTTAGGGAAAGAGTTAATCAGGGCAAGAGTTAGTCAAAGAAAGAGTTAGTGAGGGAAAGAGTTAATTGTAAATGACATCTTCAAGTTGGATTTTTGAAGGAAGTCTCGCACGAAATGCGTTTTTGAGAGATAGCAGATGCACGAAACCCTGTGTTTTTCCATACAAAGTCCGTCCCCGAACCTCGATGATCTACCTCTGCGGTGCGACGGGTGCGAGACGGTCTCGTGTGTGGTCGGATCATGTCGGATCGGATCATGGTCGGATCGGTTCCGCATTGCAAATGGGGTTTCAACTGTTTTTCGTGCATGTGTGGTCGACAGAATTCCATTGTGATTTGCAACTGTAGGATCGTTCCCGCATTGTAAATGGGGTTGCAAGTGGTGCTGGTGGATGAGTTGCCGATGGAGTTGTGAAGGAAGTCTCGCACGAAATGCGTTTTTGAGAGATAGCAGATGCATGTTTTTCCATACAAAGTAACCTCGATGATCTACCTCTGCGGTGCGACGGGTGCGAGACGGTCTCGTGTGTGGTCGGATCATGTTCGGATCATGCTCGGATCATGGTCGGATCGGTTCCGCATTGTAAATGGTGTTTCACCCGTGTTTCGTGCATGTGCGGTCGACAGAATTCCATTGTGATTTGTACCTGTAGGATCGTTCCCGCAATGTAAATGGGATTGCAAGTGGTGCTGGTGGATGAGTTGCCGATGGAATTTCCATTGTGATTTGCAACTCTAGGATCGTTCCCTCAATGCAAATGGGATTGCAAGTGTTGCTGGTGGATGAGTTGCCGATGGAATTCCATTGTGCTTTGCAACTGTAGGATCGTTCCCGCAGTGTAAATGGTTGCGTCAAGGTTGCTTTTTTTTGCTGTGGCTGCATTGGTAATACTATTGTCTTTTGCAGCTGTTCCATTGTGATTTGTAACTGTAGGATCGTTCCCGCAATGTAAATGGGATTGCAAGTGGTGCTGGTGGATGAGTTGCCGATGGAATTCCATTGTGATTTGCAACTCTAGGATCGTTCCCTCAATGTAAATGGGATTGCAAGTGTTGCTGGTGGATGAGTTGCCGATGGAATTCCATTGTGCTTTGCAACTGTAGGATCGTTCCCGCAATGTAAATGGTTGCGTCAAGGTTGCTTTTTGCTGTGGCTGCATTGGTAATACTATTGTCTTTTGCAGCTGGACTTCGTAAATCGTATTGGAGTGGCTGCATGAAGGCTGCCACAGTGATTTGTCAGCAGATTTTCTTCATTTTGGCGCTAGTGAATTTCCTTCTAAAAATCCTTTTAAAAAGTGCTTCAAAATCGTCTTTTTTTCGCTCTGGCGTCGAGATCCGGTTTTGGAGCTACAATTTCCGACGCCGTTGTGCGTAGTTCTATTGTGTTTTGCAACTCAGTCTCTGCAGATCGCATTGTAATGGCTGTGTCAAGGTTGCTTCGTGCTGTGGCTGCATTGGTAATACTATTGTCTTTTGCAGCTGGATCTCGTAAATCGTATGACAGTGATTTGTTACCAGATTTTCTCCATTTTGTCGCCAGTGATTTTCTGCTAAAAATCCTTTTAAAGAGTGCTACAAAATCGTCTTTTTTTCGCTCTGGCGTCGAGAATCTGGTTTTGGAGCTACAATTTCCGACGCCCTTGTGCGTAGTTCTATTGTGTTTTGAAACTCAGTCTCTGCAGATCGCATTGTAATGGCTGTGTCAAGGTTGCTTCGTGCTGTGGCTGCATTGGTAATACTATTGTCTTTTGCAGCTGGATCTCGTAAATCGTATTGGAGTGGCTGCATGAAGGCTGCGACAGTGATTTGTTAGCAGATTTTCTCCATTTTGTCGCCAGTGATTTTCTGCTAAAAATCCTTTTAAAGAGTGCTACAAAATCGTCTTTTTTTCGCTCTGGCGTCGAGATCCGGTTTTGGAGCTACAATTTCCGACGCCGTTGTGCGTAGTTCTATTGTGTTTTGCAACTCAGTCTCTGCAGATCGCATTGTAATGGCTGTGTCAAGGTTGCTTCGTGCTGTGGCTGCATTCGTAATACTATTGTCTTTTGCAGCTCGACTTCGTAAATCGTATTGGAGTGGCTGCATGAAGGCTGCCACAGTGATTTGTCAGCAGATTTTCTCCATTTTGGCGCTAGTGATTTTCCTTCTAAAAATCCTTTTAAAAAGTGCTTCAAAATCGTCTTTTTTTCGCTCTGGCGTCGAGATCCGGTTTTGGAGCTACAATTTCCGACGCCGTTGTGCGTAGTTCTATTGTGTTTTGCAACTCAGTCTCTGCAGATCGCATTGTAATGGCTGCGTCAAGGTTGCTTCGTGCTGTGGCTGCATTCGTAATACTATTGTCTTTTGCAGCTGGATCTCGGAAATCGTCTTGGAGTGGCTGCATGAAGGCTGCGAAATAAATTTGTTAGCAGATTTTCTCCATTTTGGCACTAGTGTTTTTTTTTTCCACGTAGGTTTAGAGCAGTGTGAAGTGTGGGGCGTAAAGAGTGCAGTGTGAAGTGTGAAGTGTGAAGGAAGCAGTGGGAAGTGAGAAGTGTGAAGTGTGGAGTGTGAAGTGTGGAGTGTGAAGTTTAAGTTTGGAGTGCGAAGAGCGCAGTGTGAAGTGTGAAGTGTGAAGTGTGAGGTTTGGAGCGTGAAGGAAGCAGTGAGAAGTGAGAAGTGTGGAGTGTGAAGTGTGAAGTGTGGAGTATGAAGTTTGAAGTTCGGAGTGCGAAGAGTGCAGTGTGCAGTGTGAGGTGTGGAGTGTCGAGGGAAGGACACGGTCGGGACAGGTTGTCTTTGAACTATAGGTCATTTATGTTTGGGAAACTTCCGCCGCCGGCTTGCCCGGGTCTATGTTATGCTATGCCATGATGAGCCTGATCTATAACTAGCATATCGTAGTGTTTGGTCAGGAGTTTCAAATAGTAATTGACATTGACATTATATTTTTTGCTGCCCGGCTCTGAGTCGTCAGAAAGTCAAGCTGGCGACTTTGGTGCTTGCAAAACCGGCTCTGGTGGCTGGCCATTTGCAGATGGAGCCTCCTGGCGAACTCGAATCTCACCACCCCTTGTACTGAGTCATACTGCGTCCAAAGTGCAAAAACAAACAAATTCGGGCATTTGATAGCTTTGATGGTGAAGGAATGTCCAATTTGTTTTGAAGTGACTCGGATTTGCAAGGAGATTTGTCTACTATCTGTTTGTCTATGGATTCATCTGGAGACCTGAGGTGTTCATCGAGTCCATGTACCGCGCACTGGCGAGGCCCTATGCTCAAGCCATCGCAGGCAACTTCAGCTTCGCCCACTTCGGGGAGTCTGGGCACTTTCGAAGCACGGCAATGAAGATAATGAAGTCTGTTCCAATCTGTTCCAGCGTATTCGGTTGGTCAAATTGGTCAAAGCACCACTGTTTTGGTGGTTTCAGGAAAGACGACAGACGATGTCATTGGAGGATATATGTGGATATATCACAAACCCTGAAGTTCCAGTTTGCGTTAGCCATTTTTGTGAAACATGGATAGACATGGCGCATTGCTCTGGCTCCAGTGCTCAGGACTAGAATTCTTGGCAGACCCAAATATCAAGAAGCCGACAGTGCTGTCCACTCCCGACATCATTTACCCCGCTGGATTCAGCTTGGTTGTCAGTTTCTTGTCACGAAAGCTAGCTTTTGCTAGCTGGTGTCCCTCTTGCTTTAGCAAGGTATTGGGGGCTGGAATCTCCAATCGCATGAAACTTCATAGTTATCTAACCCTCCTCCCCCCTACCTCCCTGGCTGGTTCCAGTTTGCGCACGGCCCAACCTCCCTGGGGACACCGTCGGCATGTCGCCACTTGCAGCAAAATCAGCAGCATCCGCATCCTCAGTATGATTGGCATCGTCAATAGCAGATGCTTCAAGTCACTGGTGCAGCGTCGCTCACTATTGGCATGTTCATGGCTAGCCCTAAAACGTAGCTTCATTCTCATTTTAAACCTTCACACGTAGTTTCCAGTCAGTTCTCACCATGGCAAGTTTGTCTTGGACATAAAATTCCTTCATGCAGATGAGTTTGCAAAGATCCTTCCGGAACAATTGCGCTGACATGCTTCCGTTTTTTGTCCTCATGACATCGTACCTAGCCACGCTTCCAACATCTTCTCTTGCAACTTCTATCTATATCTATATATATATATACAAGCCTTGAAAGGTCCACTCCGATGCTGGGGGTGGACCCTTGAAATCCTTGAATCTTCTTCCTGTTTAGTGACCACCACGCTACTGAGTGGGAGTTTCCTCATTATGTGTGCGCGTTACATATTCGTGTTCTCGTCATATGTGACATTGATCCCCCTTCAATGTGTCGCATTCATTCTATAACAAAACATGGAAAGCCTTGTGGACATAACATCCTTTAATACAAACGAGTTTGCGAGTATACTTGGTGTTTTCATGCCAAGCTACTTGCCAAGCTAGCTTTCGTCACTTACCCTTGGGCCTCAAGTCTCAGCGCACAGAAAAGGTGCGGAAGGAAAACTCATCGATCATCCAACCTTTGTCCTTTCTTTTACAGCTGACGGATGCTGACGGGTGTTTTGGTGGGACAGATGGAAAGCCTTTGATGGCAGCTACTCGTAGTTGCGAAGTTTCACAAATCCACGACATCAGTTTGATTTTTAGTATCTCTCTTGACACATTTGAGGTCCGCCTGATGCTTGCGACATTGAGTATCTCACTGGCATTGTTCATCTTCGAAGCAAATCAACAGTGGCCTTCGGTGAAAAGGTGATCGTTCAGGCCGTGTGAAAGACTTCCCTTCAATTTGGAGTTAGCGCTGCAGCAGAAATTCGGCCAAAATATACACAAGCACACTCGACTCCTCGAGCTTTAGGGTTTGCACTCTCGTAGCCTCTGAAATGCCTGCGCTGGCTGCAGGTGTTTCCAAAGGGTCAAGAGCTGGTGGTATAGATACAAGGAGGAGTTCGAGGGAGTTGCAGAAGCAAAAATTAGAAGAGTAACCGGCGAGATCCAGCGAGCGAGTTTTAAAAGAAAACGGCTAGACTCACGGAAACATTACGGACTGGTGTTACTGTTACTGTTGTTGCTGTTGTTACTGTTGTTGCTGTTGTTACTGTTATTACTGCTGTTACTGTTATTACTGTTGCTGTTGTTGTTGTTGCTGTTGTTGTTGTGGTCCTCGTCCTCGTCCTCGTCGTCGTCGTCCTCGTCGTCGTCGTCGTCGTCGTCGTGGTTGTTGTTGTTGTTGTTGTTGTTGTTGCTGTTGTTGTTTCCCAGCGTTGTGCTCATATTTTGGAGGAGCTGCCGGTGAACGAGCAATGAATATTATCCAATGAAAATTGTCACATTTCGAGCTTTTGGTTTGCCAATTAATTGAAGTTGGGGTGGCAAGTCTAGCTTCCCAGAGAGTGTTAAACATTCTCTGGAAGAGTGCTGTGTACAAATTTAATGTCAACCATGCAGGCAGACAAGCCAGCTTTGAGCGTTGCTCTTGGAGGAAGCCTGATAAGGATCAGGGCAGATAGACTTGTGAAGCAATTGCAGTTTGTACATACGCAGCATGCGCCATCAGGTCTACCTCAATCGGGGCCTAGATGCTGAAAGCTGTGGGCCACGAAATTGAGTCTGCGAAGTCAGGTCTAAAAGCCGTCCGACAAAACAAACAAAAAAAACATGTGCCACGAGAGACATATGTCTTGTCAACGTGCCAGACAATGGATTCTTGAAAACAGGCATATTTGGTTGTCCAAAATAGGGGTACCCCAAAATCCAATGGTGTATCAGCATTTTTCCCCATAAGTTTGCCTATTTGGGGTACCATATTCTGATTATTCTGCAACCTGCGGAGTGCAAGAAGTGGCACCTAGCACAGGTGGCACACACCATGATGCTAGAGCGGCAGGTGCGACGATTGGTGTTTGGTTCGAGCATGAGTCATGGCAAGGACAATGTAAGGGGACGATATATGATTCGGATCTTTCTATAAGATACACAACATAACATTATATATATATATATATAATATATTTATACATACAGTACGCACATAATATATACACTCGTATATATAATTATATATATAATTTAATATAATATACTGCTCTTTATCGCATTTGCATGCATTTGGTGTTTCACAGAAAATGAAAGATGACTTCCTCTCAGAGTCCGAGTAAGTAGCTGTCTGTGTTTGCGCTTCCGGAGGCTGTCCGGCCGTTCCAAATTTCTTTGAATGAGCTGCTGAAGCAGGTGTCTTCCTGAGAACTGGTTTTTGATTGTCCAAATCAGAAGAATCTGTTGACACAATAGTGTATTCCTGTTCTGAAATGTAATATTAGATGCAACAATGAAGCATCCCCGGCTGGTAATGGTAAAGAAACATTTTTCATTCATTTGCAATTTTCCTTTGAGACAGTACAATGTTGTTTCAACAAGCAATACCACAAAAAACTATGGAGGAATCCTCTAAAAGATGCAGCATTCCTTTAAAAAAAAACGCAATCTTCTTCCAAATGACATGGTATCCCTTTAAGTAAGCAACATTCCTGTGCCATATGTAGCGTGCCTTGCAATTTGCAGCTGCCTTTTTAATTTGCACAATTCATGTCAAAAAGCGTTATATTATATCCAATGCATCAAAGCAGTATTTCTTGAAAATCCTGTGAAGATGACTATGTTGCTTACACATGGCAATTTTCCCATAAGACAAAATAGTAGTCTTTTCAAGAAGCTGCAAAAATAGAAGGTCTTTTCTTGACACATGCAGTATTCCTGTTGGAAAGGTTCAGTCTTGCTTGTTTGTTTTTTTTTACAGCTCTTTCTTTAAGGGAATTCATGCATTTATTCAATATGAGAGAATGTGCACTCTTCTTAATCAATTGTTTCCATCATTTTGCAGAGGGTACTTCCCAAAATGATGCTTTATACTCCAAAGGAAATCCATATTATTTCAGGAAGAGTGCTGCATATGTAAAAGGATTACATTTCGGAGTAAAGGTTCATTTTCTTAAGAGACTATTGCATCTCCCTCAAGGAGGTTTTACTTTTTGAAGAAAAAACCAAGACCTTCCACACATTCTTCAAAGAACACCATTTTGTTTTGATAAAAGGACATAAAAGGACCACTATATACGCAAAAGAACTCCATCTTGAAATTTTGAAATGAGGTTTGACTGTCTGAGGGAATCTTGCACCCTTTTCAAAGAGATGATGCACTTTCTTGAAGGGAAATATTCCAGATAGTTATATATAAACATTCACTTCAAAGGATGCCATGATCACTAAAAAAGACAATCGTATTTATAATAAACGGATCTTAATTTGAAATGGTGTTGGAATCTGTTAGCAGAAGGCTCCATACTTATTGAAGTTGTTTTTTCAAACTAGTACTGCACTCTTTTCAAATAGATATTGCAATCTTTCAATGCACGAAGTCAGGCCACACTTTCTTTACAGAATATCACGTGCTTTGAAAAATACGATTTGGGATCACAGATATTGGAGGATTGTATGTTTAAAAAATGCCAAACCCATGTCCTAGCTGCACTTTGTTTGCTTTATTTTTTCAACGTTTTCGGCATTGGTTTGTTTTGAAAAGTGCTGCATCCCTCAGAAAGCTAGATTCAGATGAATTCCTCAATGAAATACAAAAAATTGCCCTCAACCCATGCCCAAGTCTCTGAGCATATGACTTTTCGATTTTTCCCAATTTGGGGGGACGAAGGCCGGAACTAGCCGGAGTCATGATGTAGGATGTTATGAACTGGATTAATCAGGATTAATCCAGATTAATAAGGATCAGAGAAAAAACCTCAACAGATTTGGCAACTAGTCTAGATGTCAGAGTAGTTGTGGACATATGTTTTTTTGGTTTGGATTAATCATGATTCATCAGGATTAATCTTGGTGGAAGTGAGACAGACCAGAGCGTTGAGGTGCCAGACACATGCTTTTGTGAAGAGACGTGCTATGTGATAGCCTACATTCAGAACGAACCGTTGTGAGCGTGGATAGCCTACATTCAGAAGGGATTGTTCTGAGTGTGAATTTCTTCATTGAATGTCTACCCCAAAAGCTTGAAATTCACCGCTCACAACATGCCTTTCCGTATGTTATACGCCTATCACATATATATTATATATTTTAAAGATCATATTTAGACATGCCCACATGGGGGACGGGGGACTGCTCAGCTATGCGCCACCCAAACCGCCGAGGTGCTGAAGCTGGAGAACGAAAAAGAGGTGTCCTTGGGACATCGAATGAAGAAGGATCCCAATGTTTGGTCAGAGCCACCCGTGCCGCTGTGCACAGCTGCTGTGCACTACATTTGCACCAGACAAGTTGGGGGTTTCTCTCGTAGTGTCGTTCTGCATATCTAGCATACACTTGCGGTTTCGAAACCGCTTCACATCCTCAAACCATTTGACGTTCATTTTTGACCAGTGTTGATACTACACCTGCAAAGCGCGGCAGCACGACCATGCGGGAACTTGGATCAAGGCACAGTAGGACACTTAAGACACGGAGGACACAGCATGGCGCGATCCCTGCTCTTCGCCTGCGCAGCGTGCGCAGCCTACCGAGCGACTGGGCGAAATCGGTACCCGCATGTGTGCACCTCACCAAGACCGCAATCCACAGCTATCCGCAGCCAAGGCATTCGCAGAATGTCCAGCAGAGTTGCCTAAGTGCGCCAAAAACTCAGATCTTCACTGGTTCCAATGTTCTTAATTACCACATGGATAATATGTCAAAATGTGTCAAAAGATGAGGCCTGAAATGTTTGATGCAAATACATTGATCTCTGGCAGGAGATGATTGGACAGACTTGTTCCGAGCTTGGTTCTTTGTAGGTCGGTCGCATGTAACGTTGGCAATAAAACCATTTCCCCTGATATTCAAAGTCGGAAATCATGGTTTAGTAGAGTAGAGAGAAATTACACATATTTGAGACCAAAATTTATGGGATGTATACTATTAGAGGGATGGGATTATTCAACGATATGAAGTGCTGAAAGTTGCCAGCAGCAAAATGACCTCATCTTTACCGAAGTAATTTGAAATTAGTCAAGCGCGCCAAAGTTGTTTTTTTCCATTCAAGACTCATCAAGACTCCATCCCAACTCCGACAGATCTAAGGTGGAGACTACACCTGTTGCAGCGGCATGCAGACAAGCTGCGGAGCTGGATCTGTTTGCGCTGGTGAAGAGTCCAGGTGCCAAACTCAGTGGACCACGTTCCTAACTGTAAATGCCACATTCCAGGTTCACTCATTTCGCCACGTTCACTCATTTTCCAGGTGTGGTGAACGATCTATTTGCAGTGGCATTAGTTCTGTGACGTGGTTGCACAATCTTACAAATTGTACAGACAGTGTTGGAGAACGTTTCAACAGACTCAAACTATGCCTTCAACTCACCACTCATTGAAAGCCACTGGTGCTTTTATGATGTCAATTGATTCCACATCAATCGGCATCATGCATCATGCCTCGGGTATCCTGGGGTTATCTGGGGTTGCTGTAATTAATACAGAATGTCACTGGAAAACCAGGTTTGCGGGCCACTTTCTCAATGCACTGGCCTTGGTGCTGTGTGCGACGGAGCTGGAGCAGCAACGGAAACCATGCAGCCGATGCAACCCATGAAGCCGATGCAACCCATGAAGCCCATGGAGCCCATGAAGCCCATGGAACCAATGAAACCGATGGAGCCCATGAAGCCCATGGAACCAATGAAACCGATGGAGCCCATGAAGCCCATGGAACCAATGAAGCACCCTCCTCGGAGCATTAGGCTTTGATTACTTTGCTGTGCCAGAGAATACGGTGACACAAAGTGACTATGATGGTGCGGACCACTGACATTGTGATTTTTTTTGGTGACTTCTATGCCTCAGGTTCCAACCCTTTAAATCGCCCAGCGAGCAGCCAAAGGAGGTGGGGTTTTTAGCGGTCCATCATCCCGTCATTCCATTGCGATGTGCATTTGTGGCGATTCAGTGGCAGATTGGAAGGTTCACAACCATGGCTGCATCATCGGTGCATCGTGCAGCTCGGCAGTTTGATATGTTTTGATCCGTTTGGGTTTGTCTGAAAGTAAGGTACCCCCTAAATCCACTGGTATTCCGTATTCCACAGGTTTATCATATTTTATCATCATTATCATGATTATCCCCACTAATTAAATAGACATAAATATCATAAATGGGGGATATTAGAGCATTTTCAGGCACCCAGCCCATCTCAAGAAGTGCTGTTTGTGAGGTGCTGGCCGTGCTGTTTCCAGCATGAATGGCCTGGAGGTGTGTTGTCAAGCTGACTGCAATGATTGCTCAGTCAGCGAGCAACTTGCAGCAATATGCAGCAGTATTGTTTGGTTGATTCTTGCCGTCCAGTCTACGGGTGTGTTCTGAATGATTTTTACATGATTTGACTTCAGGGGATCTTGTGTGACTTTGTAACCAGATATATTCCCTGTTCTAAGAATCCCAAACACCCAAATTCTCCCAACCACGACTCAGTAGACTCAGTAGACTCAGCAGACCCAGTCCACAAAAGGTTCGAAAGTCGCTCGAGGTCATTTTCCAACGGTGTGTTGACCACAACTTGTGTATGCAGCGATGGCGATGACAGCCTTCTGGTGGCAAAGGACGCCAAACTTACCGTGACGCGGCAAATGACAGCAGAATTGATGGCACCATGGTGCAAAATGCATATTATATGCATATTATCGTCTTCCAATTTTGCAAAGAATCCTGGCCTGTTTCTGGCCACTACATTGTTTGGAGATGTTCGGCGTGATTCCATTGTCACATCAAGGCTGTTCACAATGATGGCTGCGATGTGGGTGACAGCTGTGATTCTCGAGGCAAGGCAGTAAGGCAAACTTAGGCAGTGTGCGAAGTTCATGTCATTTGCCGTGGGGCCGGGCTTCACAGATCGCTGCAGGTAGCTCCATGGTTGGGGGCCAAAAATTCTGCTGCCCAGCAGGCTGGGAGCTTGCGACCCGAGCTGCGTGGAAGTGTATCAGTTCTTGTAGTTCATTTATAGTTCTGAAGTTCTTACACAGAAATCATGACAAGTCATCACAAGCCGCCGCCCAGATTGTGCCAACGACTGCAGCCTGGAAGTGTCTCAGGGCAAAGTGATATCAGCCTCATGTCACTGTGCACAGCCAGTCAAGGCCTGGTTTCAGAGTCGGCAGTGTCAAATTCTTCCCTTTCCTGGCGGTCGCATGTAGTTGAGCTGTACGACCCAACAATAAACAAAGAGTCTAAGAGTATCCATTAAGATTCCTTGAAGCTGCCAACTAATAGATCTAATAGCCCAAATCAGAATCAAGACTGTCAAATCACTGTCAAATCTGCATTCAGAATCACGTGGATGCCTCGGCCTGCTCGGCCTGCCATCCACAGGGCTGGACTACTGCGGAGAAATGTGTGGCTTTCGCAGGTTTCGTCATCCTGTTGGGTGCAGGACGCGGTCAGTGATGTCAGTGATGTCGATGTGTTTTTGAAGTTATCAGATATACACACACAATATATATATATATACTAGTATATATTATATATAAACACATAATATTATAACACGTTTTTGTATTATTGTATAGTGTGTTTAATAAAGCTACTACAAGATTATAAGCTCCCCGTCTCAAGCTCCCCCTCTCAATGGAAATGTTTCTGAAAAGATACAAATTGAACCAAACTATAGTAACCCGGAAAACGAAAGAAACGTGGTGTACCATGATTTACCACTCATTATTTTAGCATAGGACTTTACTTTTCTATTTTGGGGTTTGTATAAAGATAGATGATATTCATGTGCTCAACGCGTGATTGGCTCCATGTAAGACTCCTTCTAGCAGCAATTAGTCAATTTCTATCAATTTCTGGCGAAATGGTTTGAATAAAAATTGATGGCATTGGAAGAGTTTGAACTTGCTGGAAGCATAGTAGGAGCCTATGCCTTGCACAAGCAGCAATCACCCGAACTTTCGCAGAAGCTGCTCCAATGAGCTTCGCGGTTGCAGATCTGTACAGTGTAGCTGCATTTTCCAGCTGGAATCTGGTTGGCCCAGCAGCCATCGTTGCTAGCTGGGACAACGCTTGACCTTGACATAGGAACCTGAGAAGGGCAGTGGGAATGCCGAAAGGCTGCCTGTACTATTTCTCAGATGTGCTCAAGCTTGGCATGGGAGGATTTTGTCAACATATATACTGTTTCTTCATGATAACTACGTAGAGAATCTTGCTAGCCCCAGTATGGCCCGATCAGCAGATTCTATTGTACACCGTTTGCAGCACTGCGAGCAACCGCGGCAATGAGTATAATGGAGTTTCTTCATACTGCTTCACCTGCTTGTAATGCTTTCTACCAGCGCACACAAAGGACGATTTCTTCGCACGCCAGCCCTGTTGTAGGAACTTTTGATGTGCAGTGCTTTGCAGCTGTGGAGTGCGATTTATACAATTGCGTTTTGACGCACACCACTTTGGCATGTGGGCAATAGACACAGTATTGGAGTTGATACATTCAAGGCACAACTCTTGTAATTACCATCGAATATTCTTACAGTTTCTTACAGCAGCGGTGCCCAGGTTTTGTGATAAGGCATTCAGTTGCTGCTCCATTGTGTGCCTATCGCCAGCCAGCTGCTTCTTTTAAGCTGAGAGCGCTAGCTGCCTCAGCCTGATTTTGCAAAGTCTGCCTTAAGTCAAGAGTATCAGCCAGACAGTCATCTTTGCCCATGCTTGTGTTTTTCCAGACATTTCAATACAATGTGGGACCTGCTTCTTCTAGCTGCAGCAGCAGTACACTTTGCAAAACCACTTGCATCGTGGTTACACTCGATTCTGTGCCACTTGCGCAAACGTAGCTACGAGCCCTTATCAAAAAGTCGGTTCTTTTTGAATTGCGCGCCATTCAGCACAATTTCAGCACTCCCATTACTGGCAATGGCAATGATACCGAGCGAGTTGACATAACATTTCGTGAAGCCGAAGCCCGCAGGTTTTACAGACCCTTGAGAGAAGACCTCCTGACCTATGCCGCGCAGGAGAAACACCAGAAGAAGCGAGATGACGAGATGTTTACCTGCAGTGTTTGTGTTGATGTTTGACGTTTGCCCCAGAAATGGGGTATACCACGGTATACCCCAAAATAGGATAAAATAGGTATAGGGAAAATGAGGATGACACATGATGAAACAGTGGATTTTGGGGGTAGCGTATTTTCAGTTGTGGTCAACTTGCGAGGACGTGATGTACCTACCCCTGCTACATCAACGGCTGTGTGATCAGCTAAGCGGGCAGCATGAGCCTGTGAGGGCAACAACGATTTCAGCGGTGAAACTGATCTTTGTCAGACGAAATGCTTCCGGCTAGCATTGAGATCATTGATGATCCTTGATGATCCTTGATGATCATTGATCCCCTTGCACAGTCGAAAGTCTAAATGATCTTGGTGTTTCTTTTAGTCAACAAGCAATTGAAACCGGGGGCTTCACTATTCAGGTGACCGCACTGGAAGCCGTGTGATGTCAAGGAGCCAAGAGTGACCTAGCCTGGTTTGACGGAAAGGTTGGGACATGTTGGGACAGAAACCTTCCAGTTGATGGCGAAGATATGGCGAAGTCATGCCAAGTCAGCAAATCCCTGTTTCAAGCGAAATCTAAGATGCTTTCGTGTCACCGTGTCACCATTCTCATCTCCCAACCTCACTTCCTTGGCATTTTCTTGGAACAACTGGAACGCTGTGGATGGTATTTGCCTAGTTGACTGGATGGACAGAAGTTTGCAGCGCAATCATGATAAACCATGGAGGTATGTGAACTACGCGCACATGAATCTGCACTTGTCTTCACCAAAGGCCCATCTGCAAACAAGCATGCTGCAAAGTACTGATGTAAAAACGTGTCCAGACTTGCACGATTGTTCAATGTTTGTTTATCGTATGTAAGGAGCGCTACATCATACTGTAAATGTCTGTAAATCATCATAATTCATCATGAGATTTAGTTGAGATATGTTGAGATATGTTGAGATGGGGGGAAGCACATAACTGCCCTAATTACTGTCAATGGTCCATAGGCTGCAGAGCGCCGAGGTCTTCGCCTTCAGGCGATGGATTTTTTTTTCGATATATTTACGATTGGCTATTGATTGGCTTGAGACTCAAGCTTAAGCCCGCTGTTTAACTGTTTGAGATGAAAATAGATGGTTTAAATATGTTTAAATATGATTAAATAATTACTGAATAACTGTATAACTACGTTGAAATTGAAAAGGAATTCTAAGGGGTCATGGAGATGGCGAGGGGAAGGAATCACCGCAAAGTTAATGAAGCCATCAACCTCCAACGTACCTCACTTCTGCTAGGCGATGCTCGCAACTCAGACAGAGGCTGGAACATGAACCCAGTGCGGAGTTGGTGGACCTGGTCGAAGGAAGTTTAGAAGTCAAACTTCCGACAATATGGACAAATGAAAAGCAGAGGTGGGAAGAGTCAGAGAAGAGAAGAGAAGAGAAGAAGAAAGAAGATCAAAAAAGAGAAAGTCTCAGAAGAAAGAAGATCCAGGTGCGCGAAAAGGTAGCACAGTCGCGAAACACTGTGTTGTTCCAATGATTTGAGGCTCCAGAGGGTCGAAAAGTAGGCTCGCTCAAGCGGCGGGTGCGGAGCCAGCTGGCCAGATGAGAGATGAACTTGCACGCCGTTGTGGCGCGAAGCACATTTCCAAGTCAAAATGCACAAAAGCACACCAGCTCCGGACCACTTTTGGAAGTTTCGATGTCGAAAAAGCACACGCCGGTGTAGCGCGAAGCACACTTCGAAGTCAAAATGGAGAGACCACACCAGCTCCGGACCACTTTTGGAAGTTGAGATGTCGAAAAAGTGCACGCCGTTGTGGTGTGAAGCACATTTCGAAGTCAAAACGTAGAAACCACACCAGCTCCGGACCACTTTTGGAAGTTGCGATGTCGAAAAAGCACACGCCGGTGTAGCGCGAAGCACACTTCGAAGTCAAAATGGAGAAACCACACCAGCTCCGGACCACTTTTGGAAGTTGAGATGTCGAAAAAGTGCACGCCGTTGTGCGTGAAGCACATTTCGAAGTCAAAACGTAGAAACCACACACAGCTCCGGACCACTTTTGGAAGTTGAGATGTCGAAAAAGTGCACGCCGTTGTGGTGTGAAGCACATTTCGAAGTCAAAACGTAGAAACCACACCAGCTCCGGACCACTTTTGGAAGTTGAGATGTCGAAAAAGCGCACGCCGTTGTGGTGTGAAGCACATTTCGAAGTCAAAACGTAGAAACCACACCAGCTCCGGACCACTTTTGGAAGTTGAGATGTCGAGAAAGTGCACGCCGTTGTGGCGCGAAGCACATTTCGAAGTCAAAAGTGCAAAAAACTGAAGCGCTCGGAGCACTTTTTGTCAAAAGTGAGCAAAACATGAGGGTTTTGTCGTTTTGTAGCATTTCCAAAAACGATGGCAGGGGTGGGGCATTTGAAGAGGATCTGCAAATCCTGGGGAATATAGGGTGACGGTTTCAGGAAGGGTTAGGCACTTCATTTTCTAGGGAAAGAATTGACTTATTTTGGGTCTTGAATTTTGAAACATATTTCTGTGGTTTTTTGAATGATGCAGCTTCATGCTATTCTTGATCAATTTCTAAAGCACAAGTGGTGAGTTGATCGTGAATTGCACTTCCATGTGCCTATTTTCTTGAAAAATTGCACGTGCAGAACAGGCATAAACATGTCGAGAAAATGATTAGACCAGGCCCCCAAGAACATCGATCTTTATCTGTGTTTTTTTCGTTTTCCAGGCTTGTGACTTGTGACTGTTCCGTTAATTTTCAGTCTCGCACATGGGGGATCATGTGAGTTACTCCCCAAATCGATTTTTTTTATACCAAGGCATGTGGATTTATTTTGTAGAAAAAAATATTGTTTAAGAGCTGCATTTTCTTGAGCCGTTTGGCAACACATGGCAACACAAACCCAAAAATATAATTATAGAGACCTTGGCCAACCTTGATTCTATCAACCAATCTTCAACAAGTCTTGGACAGAGAAAAAACATCACTTACGTTGCCGTTGGATTACAGGTCAATTTCTCTCTGGATTTTTTTGGTGACAGAATTAACTCAATTATTCAATTTGATGTTTTCTGGTGATTCCTGGGGAATATGGATTACCTGCCTTAGCAAGGATTGCACAATTCATTTTCTAAAGAAAACATTGTTCATTTCTGGTCCTCCATTTTTGAAACCATTTTTTTTGAGAACATTTTTTATTGTTCTTATGATGGCATTACATATCATGTTCTAGACCCAAAGTGGTGAATTGTACTTTCATGCACCTGTTTTTTTTTTAACATGTCCAAAACATCCATACATCCCTTTAGAAAATGAATAGTCCAATCAAATAAAACGTACAATTATACTTGGTTTTTTCATTTTCTAGGCTTTTGATTGGGTCAGAACTTTTCTAACTAGAAAATGAGGGTAACTTGTGTTCAGCCAAAAATATCAGTAGGGATATTTCTGGACTATATACTTTTGGTATCTTGTTGTTCAATCTTGAATCCTAAAAGAGTTCAGCTGGTGGATTTGCGACAAGCCTTGTGAGGCCAGCTTACCGGCACAATGGCACTAAAAGTCATGAGATTTCCTCCGATCTACGACTGAATGCTCCACAGTATCCAAAACTGCTTGATTTGCGAAAGTCTGGAGATGCTTCAACATAAGCAAAATCCTGAAGTCGATCATCGTCATTGATCATTATACATGATTGATCCCTATCAGCCTATCATATCTATTTTTATGGGTATGGGTCAAAAATTAAGACCTCGGAGATTGCAGATTTTAGTTCATTTCTAGTATTAACATGTATTAACCATTTGAGGTGGCCCGATTTTGACCCATGCCCATATCATCCTACATCTAATCCTCCTCACAGCCTCCAGGCGGCATTGTACTTCAAGCTCAATCTTGGCGCACATCGCCAGGGTGTGGTGAGCCGCGAGGAGGCAGAACCAGAAGAACCAACGGGGTTTTGGCAGTGCTGGGTCTCCAAAACAGCTGGGTGGTTTCAAATAATGCCAACACCGGATTAATAAACGGCCACCCCCCCCTCCACAAGGTCAGGTGGACCTTGTCAGGTCTTTCCTGTTTCACCCCTTAATAAACGCCCTCTGGACATGGGGGTTGATTAATAAGGGGCAAACCCTGGTTATTATTAATGGGGGAACATGGGCTCATGGGGGGTACCCTTTGGGAGCTATCCAAACTGATGATTTCTATAAAGAATTAAATTAGAAATCGATCATTTGGGGAATAGTTGTTTTTTCATGTTTTTTTCAAATTTTCAATGATCAGCAGTGATGGGTTCTGGTGTTCATGAGTTTTCAACTTAAGTATAGCATAAGGAAACCATTTGAAAATAAAGAATTTGGAAATAAAAACTTTTGGATAAAAAAATGAGATTTCAGCACTGGGGGTTGATTAATCATGTCCTAGCCAAACGGTTTATTAATCCTAGGGGACCACCTGTTTTAAAATTGCACAAAAAAATGGGAGGAGGAGGTTGATTAATTTCGGGGTGTTAATTAATCCTAACTTGACATTATTTTCAAAGCCGTTTCTCCCTTGGGGGGATCATCCAAAATGTAATATATTAAATTTGTCAATACTTGATCTCTAGATTTTTTTCCGAGGGATTGAAAGCACCAAGCAGTATGGAAACCTCTGAGACTCGAGGCACTGAAGAACTTCAAAGACATGCACTACGGCGAGATCGCTGGTTGCTGGGCAAACCTCCCAGTTGACTTGGTGAAAAATTGAAGACCAGGACCGGCACAACGCTTGAGCATGTTTCTAGCCTTCAGGAACTCTGCATACTTGCTGGCACACCTTTGTGGAAAGTGCAGATTCCTTCAGCATGCGATGTGATGAAGGTCCTCACATTGCCAGAGGTTCCTCTGAAAAATTTGGAAATCCAAGCACAGCATTTTCATCCCTGGCATTCCTTGCCCCCATGTTGCCCCATGTTTAACAAACGAAGCCACAAGCACCAATCAGTTAGGTGTCTGCCTGGAATACTGGTGGCAATATCCTATTTTTGGAACGCTTGGAGTCTTCCTGTCCTGTCATGTGTGTGTGTGTGTGTCTTGCTCGCTACATTGACATAGGCAGCGTCAGAACAACACAGATGTGGCTAGTTCAGCTTAGCAGCTTAGCATTGCAGCTTTGCATCACAGCATATTACTAAATATTTGCTGTGCTGCTTTGCAGATCTTGGCAGATGCCAGGGGAAGCAGTTTTACCCCTGATCCTCCGGACTTTACTAGTGGCAAGATGGGCCGTCGGCGCGGGCGGAGGCCATTTAGCTGAAGAAAACCGCACATGTTCGCCAGCGTGCATAGTTTGCTGCACCATCCTTAAGTAATTTTAATTGTTTTTCAAACCACATTTCTAGAGAGATTAGAGAGGTTTGGGTTGATGAAGTCTCATAATGTCTCATAATTGCAGCGATTCAATCGCCTATTTCTGGGAGGTCTCAGTCACTTCACCAACAAAGATGTCTTCTGCGATTCGCATGACAACTCGAAAGCACAGATTCTTTTGCGCTGGCTGATCCCTTCATGGTCTCAGGCTCACAGCTCAATTGTTCAGGTGGTACTGTCAGGACCGTCAGGAGATGTTTCGGCAAGACTAAGACTAATAAAAATAGCACACATTTAATTTTACAGGATGTGGTTTTCCTTGTCCAAAAGAAACTGCATGCTCTTTATATCTTGTCAGGTTGCATCAAAAATCTTCAGATCGCTGCTTCGCCCCCCTTCGCCAGCTTCGCCATGGGTCGCCGCTTTTCAACGGCCACCGCAGTATCAGAAGTGTGGGACAGTCACCAGGCCACCCATGGCCACCCTCCACCGGCCATGTTGCGTGCAAAAGGCTGGCTCCAAGACGGGGGTAGCAATGAAATCACCAAATCCATCAAAGTCAGCTGGTGGTTTGAATGCCCATTTTGTATCCAATCTGAGATGATGATCTTAAGATATCTATGCCCATTTTGTATCCAATCTGAGATGATGATCTTAAGATATCTATGCCCATTTTGTATCCAATCTGAGATAATGATCTTAAGATATCTATGCCCATTTTGTATCCAATCTGAGATAATGATCTTAAGATATCTATGCCCATTTTGTATCCAATCTGAGATGATGATGATCTAAGATAATCTTTTTGTATCCAATCTGAGATATGACTTATATCTATGCCCATTTTGTATCCAATCTGAGATAATGATCTTAAGATATCTATGCCCATTTTGTATCCAATCTGAGATGATCTTAAGATCTATGCCCATTTTGTATCCAATAATGATCTTATCTATCCCATTTTGCCCATTGAGATAATGATCTTAAGATATCTATGCCCATTTTGTATCCAATCTGAGATAATGATCTTAAGATATCTATGCCCATTTTGTATCCAATCTGAGATAATGATCTTAAGATATCTATGCCCATTTTGTATCCAATCTGAGATAATGATCTTAAGATATCTATGCCCATTTTGTATCCAATCTGAGATAATGATCTTAAGATATCTATGCCCATTTTGTATCCAATCTGAGATAATGATCTTAAGATATCTATGCCCATTTTGTATCCAATCTGAGATAATGATCTTAAGATATCTATGCCCATTTTGTATCCAATCTGAGATAATGATCTTAAGATATCTATGCCCATTTTGTATCCAATCTGAGATAATGATCTTAAGCCCATATCTCTGAGATAATGATCTTAAGATATCTATGCCCATTTTGTATCCAATCTGAGATAATGATCTTAAGATATCTATGCCCATTTTGTATCCAATCTGAGATAATGATCTTAAGATATCTATGCCCATTTTGTATCCAATCTGAGATGATGATCTTAAGATATCTATGCCCATTTTGTATCCAATCTGAGATGATGATCTTAAGATATCTATGCCCATTTTGTATCCAATCTGAGATAATGATCTTAAGATATCTATGCCCATTTTGTATCCAATCTGAGATAATGATCTTAAGATATCTATGCCCATTTTGTATCCAATCTGAGATAATGATCTTAAGATATCTATGCCCATTTTGTATCCAATCTGAGATAATGATCTTAAGATATCTATGCCCATTTTGTATCCAATCTGAGATAATGATCTTAAGATATCTATGCCCATTTTGTATCCAATCTGAGACAATGATCTTAAGATATCTATGCCCATTTTGTATCCAATCTGAGAAAATGATCTTAAGATATCTTAAGTCACCTTTTCGCCTTTTTTGGTGGATTGGGAATTCTCCGCCATGCGCTTTGTCAAAAACAGCCGCCAGGTGTCAGACGATGAATCTGATGGGACCGGAGACCTCTCCCAGGTGATCCCTTTGGGTTTGATCAACTGGTTAGTAATGGGTTCATGATGCTTGATAATGGTTAATTAATGCTAATTATGGGTAATCATGATATACCCCTGGTTTATCGGTGTTCACAGGTTTGCTATACTTAAACTGTATTACAGTAGGCGGGATCGGTCGATATCTCATTTTACTACACGAATCTACACACTGCTGTGGCATCAAACCAAACAGATGTGGACAAACGAATCCGAGTTGCTGACTGTATCTTGACGGATGTTGACAAAATAGTGAGTTTGCTACACCATCTTGTTTGCAAAGAAGCCTTGCATCGTTGTCACATTCCATTGGTTATCATTTTTCGATATTTTTCAAGTGCTTGAAAGCAGCAGAATGAAGGCCAGAAGACAGAGCATCACGGAATCGGAGACCAGCAAGCAAAGCAACCAGGAATGCCCACTAGAGGTGCAGTCGCGGAAATTGATTCTGACATCTGACTGGTTTTTGCAGCATCTTCCGCACGGTGCGTCCACTTCACTCTTGAAGTTTATGTATCACGGCCTGGAAAAACTTTCCTTTTTTCTTTTGTTGGTTTTTATAAATATGTTTTCATGGACATGTCGCAACCTGGAGTAGCCAATAGTGGGCCTACTATGGCCTACTTAGATTCGAGGTTTGACGCTACTTTCGAGCTTCTCCTGCCCGCTGAAAGTTATTAATTATCCCTGTAATATGTCTCATTAAATTAATCAGAAAGCTACCCACCGGCTACAACATCGATGCAAGCGCAAAGAACAACTTCTGTCATGTCCAGTTGTTGCAGAGGTGCATAGCACAAAGTCTCTCAAGCAGGTGACCTGGTTGCAGGCCGGTTCCGGGGCATCTGGAAGTTCCACGTGAGGAATCTGGAAGCGTGGCCAGTCTCTTCCAAAATCTTTGCCTCCCAGGTCTTCCCTTGGTGCTTCTGTAGCTTCTGGATGTTCAATTTCCTTGACACAACAGGAAATGATAAGAGCATAGTGGAAGATCTGCCGCGCCGTACGTGAAGAGTTCACCTAGTATCGAGAACCAGAGTTCACCTAGCATCCAGGGAACCCATGGGAACCCTGTCACCACACAGAGGTTTTACACCTTTGCACCCTCCGGAGGAACAGAATGTGGAGGACGACCATGCTGCTTGCCTATTGGGTTTGTTGCATCAGTCTGCTTAATCTGCTTCGAACGAAAAGAACATGAGCCAGAAACGGGATTACGGGAGCAAGGTTCACAACAAAATGCACAACAGTCGGGTCCGCATTTAAGCAAGAACTGGTAGTCGTAACTAGTCACGGGCCGTTTGTGGTTCCCTGTGATGACCAGATGAGGCAGACAAGGTCAATCAGTGGAACAAAGAGCAGGTGGATATTGAGCTGAACAAATGTGTCTTGGCAGCCGTGAAGTGCGCTTGTTTGCCCTGGCAACTGCCCTAGTCGGCCCTAGTCACTAGTCATGGCACGTTCAGGATTCTTGGAGCAAAAGCCTGACTCAAATGCACTTTGGAATTTCACACGATTGAACATCATTTTACGATATTTTACAAGTATATAGTATATTATAGTATATTATTTATTATTGTTTACCAACAGAATTCACAACGCTATGTACAAAGACACCTGCCTCGTGCAAATGCGTTTCCTTGCTTTTTTGCCCACACAGAACAATGGTGAGGGACTGAGACTCCATGTGAGTCGGCGGCCTCATTTGTGAACGAGACAGGAACCTAGGAACCTAGGGCAGTGTTTGCTTTCTGACCCACTATTAGTGTATATGTGAGGCTTTGTTACTGAGTAGCTTGATCCAGCCATCCAGCAATGAAGATTGTTGATGATATTGGATGATCAATGGACGTGTTCACTACTTTTGAGTACGATAAACAATGCCATGATATGGTAAACCCAATAATATACCAGCCCTAAATGGAAGTTGTTTATAGCGTTGGGTTCCTCCCGCATTAGAAGTTTACAGGCAGCAACGATTCCATTTTCACCCAACGAAGGTGCAGCCTTGACGAGCGAGGCATGATAACTTGGGGGTGCAGTTGGAGTTATTACTGGGTAATAACTATGGTAAGAACCCCCATAAGTTGGGATATAACCTCTATAACTATGGTGATATATGAACAGCAAACCAAGTGCTTGTTTGACTTTGCAAAGCCTGTTCTGTGAATGGAGGGACTGGGCTTCCTGTCGCTATCGCCCTTGGAAATTGGATGTCTCTGATTACTTGTTTGATGAGTCATGATGAGTCATTGGCAAAGTGTGAGGAGTTTTTAACACGACATGACACTAACATTGATACTTCTGCTGAAGGTTCCAGGCACGCCCTACGCACAACACATCATAATTCTCAGGGCCTCAACTTGATATATCTTGGTATGCAAGGCCAGTGCTTCAAGTCCACAAGCTGGCGACCAAAGCACGAGGTGCAAGACGCTTCTGGACTGGAACAGCGGCATCTATTTTGAATACCGCCCATGCCATCACACTGGTTCACATTAAGTCTGATTGATGGTTTGGAATAGGAGACAGCTTTCAGTGAATAGTACTGGCAGTGTTAACCACCTGAAACACATGGGATATTGGACAAGAACCTCAATGTTTGGATTGGACCGCATACCAATCTGATTTAGACGAATATTTAGACGACCACAGTAGTATATTCTTCATATTTCTTCAATGTTTGTGCTGGTTCCGATGAACAGTTCGGATTTTCTACCCTGATGGTTCTCCCTTTGCATCAGGTGAGTTCGGTGCAAGGGTAATTTACTGCACTAGCTGTTTGGCATCTTACATCATCTTACCCCAGGGATGGTCCACTGATTTGAATTTGGTCGGTCCGGCAAGGAGGGAAATTCAGCTCCGTTTCATCGAATGCGGAGTCCAATTAAGAAGGAGTACAAGAGTATCAAGAGTGATCTTCGACTTTGGGATGTGATGGTACCAGTACGGTCATGGTACGGTTCAAGACAGGGATCAGGATCATCCAAGACCGAACCCCTGGAAAGGTTGCCGGAGACCTCTGTGGCTGGTGAGGCCAGAAGTGGCAAGGGGCTTGGTTTTTGCAGGAGATTTAACTAACAACAAAGATGGGGGAGTGCATAGGAACGAACAATCAATGGGTGTTTACTGTACCAACATGTACCAGCTACAAGGTGGTGCCCCCTAGATAGCTAAGTTGGTTTATAACTCCAATAACTATGGTTTATAGGTGATATATCTATAGTTAATGGGATTATAAATTAATTTATAACTGGGGGGCACCACCTTGTAATCAGCAAAGGATGATATGAAAAATCGCGATTCCACTAGCCCAAGTCTTTTTTTCCGGCTGCTCACTCGCTTCGTGCGCGCCGCACCGCAACCAGAAATGGTGGGGAAACGGGCGAGGTATAAATCTTGGTCGACTTGGCAATGTTCAAAGATTGAACTATTAGTGGTCAGGTTTGTCATAGTATATACATAGAAACAATATATATATATATATGTGTGTGTGTACCATATACGTTCCGTTTTTTGGGTGGAAGAAATCATGCGTGCAGTGGCCAAAGAGAATAGAACTGTTTGATGGGAATCCCATCAACAATCTTATAATAAAGATACCACCATAGGTGTGTTTGAGAGATATCATTTTGGATGTTCCGCTCTCGAAGAAAGGCACTTCCGTGACATGCCTCTCAAATCCTATCAATAGCATGTGTTCACTCCGTTGGCCCAGATGCGGCCATCCTACAGTATGGTGCCGAAACAAGTATGAATAGTCCATAATCTGGTGACAGCAATCTATCCCAGCAAGCTAGTACCGGAAAATGTTCTTCGTTCAATTTTTTTTCACGTCTTTTCTTGGCCCATTTCCAATTGAAAACTGTCCATCAGATTATAATATATTATAATGTGTTTTGAACATCTTCATGATTCGCTGGCTTCTTTCAAAGCTCGGACAGAAATCTTTGAGAAATCACAGGTGGACGTTAACGACATGAGCAAAGAGGACCTGGAAGATGCAGTCGCTCAATGGCAGGAAGTACAAGACACCAACGATTCCAGAATAGTGGCAATGATTCAAAGTTGTTTGGCTGTGTGAGCCATCTCAAAAACCAGCATGAAAGGAATCTAGATACAATTCATTTGGGTACCGGGTATAGGTAAAACCACTGCCTTCAAGTGCACGACTTGGGCCGAAGGTGAAGCGATGCACAAAGATTGCAGAACTTCTGAATCAGAGACTTCAGGAGCAAAAGGACCGTGGCAGAAGTCGCTTTTTCTGGGACCATCATGGCAATGCTTCTGGCATGTTCCAGCTCTGCTGTGAGCCGTTTCCCAACTTTCAGGACACGGAACAGACGGCCCAGAGAGGCCAGGTCAACTTGCCAGAGCCACCGGTGGGGGGACTCAATACTGAAGGCATGGGTTTAAGATGGTTTAAGTTTAAAAAAATAGTATACCCCAATTTCTTTTATGCTAGTCCCTTGCTTGATCAATCTTGATCATCATGTTCCTCATTACAAAGCCAATGTTGATCCATGCTGTGCCGAATTTTCAGACGGATCCACACGGTGCATTGATGTGCATTGGCCACATTTACGTTGATGACTCTACTCCCTGCATGCAGCTCTTTGGATTTGTCCTCAAATTGATTTCGAACCCAGCTTATAGCATGGCTGTTTGAGCAGAGGGATGCAGAGAGTAAGAAATCTTCTGTGTCAGGAAAAGAGGGAAACGGGGAGTCAAGTTGATTTGGGAGTGTAAACACTTTAAACATGTGTAAAATAACTGTGGAACATGGTACAGTAGAGGACTTCTCTCCCAAACTTCGGCATTGCAAGCTCTAAGGCCGAGGTCGCCAGCACCGAAGTGCAGGATGCCAGGTGGTCTCAATGATACCAATGGAACAGTTTGACAATGTTTGACACATTTTGACAACAACAGAGTGGCCGAAGGATGCCAAACACATCCAAAACGCATCAGCTGCTTGACGGTTACGTAGGTGTTGGATGATTTTGGATGGTTTAGTTTTGAACATGTTGTCGCTGGTTTGCGTAATGATGTTTACATGGAACGCATTGATCCTAAATGCGCATCAAAAAAGCAGTACCATGAATTTCCGGAGGCCTGAGCAGCACGCGGATGATAGCCACTGCGAAGCGGAGGCTGTCAGGGTTGCTGGAGCCAATTACATCCAAGTACTGCAAATTAATGAGTGTTACAAGGTGAGGAAATAGGTGACTCTACTGGCGCTCATACCTCCTTACCATATTTACCCAATTGCTCCTTGTATCATCTTGTATCTAGCATGTGGGGCCGTGGGGAGCAACACCGCCATTGTGACGGTGATGACCGTGCTCTTGGAAGGCCAGTAGAGGAAGACCACGATCGTTGCCGCCAAGAAGAGGTGAGGTATACGGTATACGTGTTTCTCTTTGGCATCAGCGATTGTGCACTCAGGCGAAATGCCGTAAAGCAACCATGAAAGAGCGATGCATGATTTGAAAAGGGAGAGTTTGCCCTGTGAAGATCTTGGAATGTAATATAACTCAACGGCCTATTCATATATGATTACAAGTGACTATATATGAGCAACCGTAAAAACCCCGGCAATACTAAATATGTATTCGACGGACATTGGTTTCTGGGAATTGATGGAAATTGTTAAAAACACGAGGTAAGCGATGGGACCTTCCCAAATTAGCGATACCCCTTTTCAAGGTTATGTCATCATATTTCTTTAATATCCACATTAGCGATACCCAAATATCGCATATTATTCATAGTTCATCACATATATATATATATATATATATAAATGCAGCAGTTTCCTGCAAGCGATACCCCCCAAGTTTACCATATATCATTATTGTACAAACGTGTGGTAAGCGATGGGACCTTCCCAAATTTGTGGATGTCCTTTCCGTGAACCTAGGGTTTTCACAATCGCTCATATAGATATATACATACAGTATATACATGTGACAATATTGTATCATACTATCTATTTGTATATATGATATTTATGTGTAGTAATAAATTAGACTATTTAATTGCCTTCGGCAAGCCCGCCGGCCATAGAGGGATGGCCCCAAGGTAGTTTGATGTGCATTCTAGGTGGAAGCCCGCGAGAGAGCAGAAGAGAAAAGAAGGAGAAGAAGACTAAGAATAAGAAGAATAAGAAGAATAAGAAGAATAAGAAAAGAAGACGAAGACAAAGCCGTAAAACGGAAGCGGCTTGTGTAGCAAGGTTTGCTGCAACAACCTATGGACGGTATACCAAATTAGTACAGTAGCGCCAGGGACTATGTATGAGCCTCTGGCTTGACAGCAGACCGCTGCATGGAAGGAGACAGGGGAGCGAGATTGCCCCAAGGGAGGTTGACGTGCACGCTAGGTGGAAGCCTGAGGGAAGAAGAGACGAAGACAGAGCCGTAGATCAAGAGCAGCTTGAGTAGCAAGCGCGTGCTTGAACAACCAATGGAACGCATACAAATGAGTACTAGTCACTAATCGATCAGTACCGTGTGCGTCCTGTGTCGAGCACCTGTAGACGACGGTAATGCTGTAGGCAACGTCATTAGCTACCGGCACTACCAGTGTAGTACTTGGGGAGGAGTAGAGGAGTCGGTAGGCGTCGGAGTAGGCGTAGGAGTGGGACTAGGAGTAGGAGTGGGACTAGGAGTAGGAGTGGTGGTGGTGGTGGTGGTGGCTGGTGGTGGCTGGTGGTGGCTGGTGGTGGCTGGTGGTGGCTGGTGGTGGCTGGTGGGATGGTGTGGTGGCTGTGGTGGTGGTGGTGGTGGTGGTGGTGGTGGTGGTGGCTGCTGGTGGTGCTGCTGCTGCTGGTGGCTGCTGCTGCTGGTGGTGGCTGCTGCTGGTGGCTGCTGCTGGTGGCTGCTGCTGGTGCTGCTGCTGCTGGTGGTGGTGCTGCTGCTGCTGCTGCTGGTGGTGGTGGTGATGGTAGCATTAGTAGGGGGAGGGGGCGTGATGTTGATTCAGACGAAGGAAAAACACGCAGCAAGAGAACAAAGGAACAAGTACAAGCCAAGAACAGAAACAAGAACAACACCTTCCAATCAGGCACGCCGGCAGGTCGGCGGATTATGTGTTATTATACAATATATATTCAATATAATTATGTATTTGAAGTTAATATGTATACATAAACCCTGAGCTTTGACTCAAGCCAGGTGAAGCTAGAAAACCGCAGCGGCGGCCCATGTCAGCCAATCCTTTGCAAGGCCCAGGCTGGCTGCAAATGGAGGAGGACCTGCCATGACATGAGCAGCTGACTGTTTTTGATGAGCATCCTTGAGCACAACAAATATGGAAGAAACATTCACAAGGTCTGGCAAAGCACTACAGTACATTTTGGAGCGAAGAACTACGTGTGGCATGTACACAAGCACTGACACTTGGGTGTTTGTATATCTTCGTACATTGTTGGGCAAAAATATTCCGGCACACGTTCCTGCCAGAGGAGCTGAGTCCACGGGCCTTGCGGAGCCTTCCCAACCAGAAACCTTTGAGCAGCTGGAGTGTGGAGGATGTCTATCGCTGGACACTGCAGGTGAACCTTTATCAAACATGGCCATGGAAGATTCATGGATGTTGTTCCCATTTAAAATTGGCATTTAGTTCGGGGATTTCCCAGCCATGTTTGGTTCCCGGAGGAAAGTAAATGACATTCAATCACCATGTATCAAGATGTACTAAATGAAAAATAGGTAAAAACATACCTTCTGAACGGGAGGTGGTCCGGTCCTAGCGCTTGGTATAGGTGGCCAGTTGTCCTTTGGATGTGGCGGAGCGGTTGAGACATCAGGCCAGGCTGCATTTTTTCTGTAGGAAACTGCAGCACCATGTAACACTCCAAAAGGGTTCATTCATGTTGAGCCATAGCCAAAAGAAGCGCGCCATGGGCTATACTACATGCTGATTGAACGGGCAATTTGATCAATCCTAAGGTCTCCTGGTCCTGTCTTGTTCCCTGACTCCTTTGCAAGTCCTGGTTCTGCAAGTGTGCTGGAGACGTGTCTGCCGCTGTGGGCTCCCGATCACGATCCAACGGTCAACCCTGGTGATCCATCCGAGCAGCTGAAGATTTGCATGGCGATAGAACCACAATATTCCACAATGCCATTGGCGGCACAGGCTGTAAATGGGTTGGTGCTGGCCTCTCTGACTGAACAAGACCTGGAGAACATGGGTGTATCCAAGACGCCTGGCTGCACTAGACCATGTGGACCATGTGGAACATGCCTTCTTAGAAGTCAAAAATAGCCAAAAATCATAACAAGACCGTGATTTGGTGCGGCTACAGGTTTGGCTGGCGTCGCCAGCTCGTGCTTCTGGCGCGCTGTTTGCAAGACAAGGCTTTGGGAATACTTCCGTGCTTTTGGACTCGAAAACGACAGTATCAGCATATGCAACAAGAAGACCATAGAAGACCACGCAACTAAATCAAACAGATAACATGACATACTACAGTAGCAGGAAACGGCTGAGGTGAATAGTTTTTTATCACAATTTTCCTGGCGCTCATGCTGTTCTTAGCTTCAGAGACAGAAAAGTTGGACGAAGTACTCACAGGCTCCCACTCAACAAGTGCAGGCCCGGCAGGCGGCTGTGACTAATGGGTACATGATCTTCTTGCTTTGATCATGGATAATGTCTGGCCCTGTCCAACTGGCTTGGGCAGACATATTGATACAGGGAATCAGGCACCAGAAACTCTGCCAGCTAGCTTGAATAGAATATCATATTGATGTAGATAAATGTAGATAAATATGGTATACTATGGCAAAATAGCCTAAAATAGCTATATAAATGGATGCAAATAGATGCAAATAGATTCGTCTCGAGTTCTCAAACTTGGGTGTGTTGACGAAGCTCCGGCGCAGAGGCCTTTCAACCAATGGCACAAAGGTCAATGCAGCTGCCCTGGCATTCATCCCGAGAGTGTAGTGCAACAGTACATCGGCGTGCTGATGAGCTCAGGGCAGCAAATTTTAGGATTAGCAACTTACTACTGATTTTGAAGTCACATGAAGTCGTTAATTTCGGTGCACGTCCAATCTCCAGTTTGCTTGAGCTTTTCTTCCCTTTTGTCACTGACCTTGTGGAGAAAATCTGACAAGCAGGATCAGCGTAGGCACCAGATATCATTGCAATGCAAATACTAAGACTCTAGCTACAGACGCCTGTAAATACCCTTAACATCCCTTAACATCCCTTAGCCAGGGTGGTCTACTGGTGCGGTGGCAAAATTGTCAGGGGCCCATGGTGGTGGGACATTTGCAACTACTAAGGCCGCCACAACGGTTTGAGGCACGTCCCATCGTGTCCCTTCCAGGTCCTTTCCATGGTTGACTTGTGCATCGCAGAAGGATTTAAAATTTAAAACTTGCCCTGGCTCTTTGAGCATAGGCCCCCATGCATTTTCAGCCGGGCATGCCACAGCCCAAACATGAGCAAGGGAGGATGTGCTCAGCTCAGCGCGGGCGGGGCTTTTAGTTGGAGTTCCAGATGGTTGGCATCAATATTATGTTGCAATTCAAGACAACGTGGCAGGTCCATCTTTTGAATCGGTTTCTTGGGACGCTTGACCAATACCACCATGCCTTCTCAAGGTTGTCACCGACCTTCTGGCATCCGCAGCCAGTTGCAAGGCCTGGCAATTTCCCAGAGCCGATGGCTGGCAGAAAATGAAACCTGGCATGACAGGTCTACCTTGCCAGCTCATTTCAAGCCCTTGTGGGTGGGTAAGTCAGAGCCTTCGGATTGACGTGGGCAAGCAACAGGCAAAACACAAACCATCTGTGACCATCTATGACCACCTTCACTGGATTTCACTGGCATCGCTGGCTGGGGTCCGAAATCAGGTCACAAGCTTTCACCGTGCCAGCCTCGGGTGCACAAAGTGACAGGATGCATAGTGCCTTGGTACGCCTCATGGGTTTTGCCCAGTGTCGGGCCGAGGTTGCCAGGGGCCAACCACAACGTGCTGTTGAGGTATTGCTTTTAGCTTCTTTGACACCTGTAACAAACACTCGCATTTGATGATATTTGATGGAGAGCGTTCAAAGGAGTGCCGTGTTGGTCCACACGTCCACTGATAAAATCGGTATTGTGGCTCGAAGCTTGTGGTGAAGTTAGTTCACTTCGTATCAAGGTGTTTTCTGCTGGATCTTTTAGATTGGTCTCTTTGCTCTTTAGATCTTGTTAGGGCCAAACACCTCAACAGACCTCAATATATTTGAAGGCGACAAAGAAAACATACCCTAGAAAACATACCCTTGCAGCCATGAGCGCTGCTGAATATGCGCCACTGCCTAGACCTTGGGAATGCAGAAAGCAGTTTGAATGGAAGTTCAATGAAATTTGGTCATTGTCAAATGAATAAGTTGTTCGATGTACAAAAGCCTTGATTTGCGAACCGATTCTGACGATTCTGGATCATTGCAGGTTTAGGGATCCCCTTCAGAGGACTGCAGAAGAGCGTTGTCCCAGGCATGCGATTTTGGGCTACTAATACCCACTGAAGCGTTCTCTAGGCAATTCTGGACTGGACAAACAGGCCAATCTTGTGGGAAGGTTTGATAGAATCTTTGACAAAGATCGAGTGGCGAGTGGCAACCGGGAGCGCAAGTCTAACTATTTGCAAGACGTGCAAGTCTGTGCAAGATCGTGGAAGGTCCCTAGTTGGCTTCGGTGACTCACCAGTACAGCAGAAAGCTCAACATCACGTGCTGTACAGATTGTTCTGTTGATGTGTTAGACTGCGCAGATGACCAACTGCATTGAGGTCTGATGGCTATGGGACAGGCTGGCTGGAACTTAGAGCGTCCTTTGTTGTTGGATTGTTTTGCTGTTTTGCTAGTGTTTTGCTTATCAAGTTGATTGACTTTCATTGTTATGGTTGTGTGAAGTCATGACAACATAGCACAACATAGCACAACATAGCACAACTACGTAATGATAATATTTCTCAGTAGACTAATGAGAAAGTCCTCAATTCACTGCATTGTTTTGTTGCTTCTCTCGGCAGGTTCCAGCCCATCCAAGGAACCCCTTAGAACCTGCCCATGCTATGGCTGGTGGGGACTCGCCGCATTGTACGAAGGCCCAGATTTCCACAGTGGGATGGAATGGTTATGGACGCTTCAAGATATTAGATGATCTAAGTATAGCTAAGTCATTTCTTGTCAAACAGGCAAAGTTTGGGGTTCGAGGAAGCGTGGCCAGCCGCTTCGCAAAAACAAAAAGTGAGGCTATCGCTAGTGGCACTGCTACTCCTGTGGTTGGCACTATATCAAGGCACTGCAGCCGAATTTGTGCCATGGTCCTTCAAGCATGGCTTGTTATGGCTTATCTTATTTATGCTTATTCCCCCTGATTTTCCCACTAAAGGGGATGGTCATCCCCGATTCATGAGAAATTCCATATATATTATATTACCGTATGATATAATATAATATAATATAATATAGTACAGTTATATGATTTATAATTATATATACAGTATATATATTATATATATATATATTTATCCTGTTAATAAATAGGGATATGAGGAATCCCATTCACGATGGTGGGATGACCAAGGGAGCATTTGTAGAAATATCCTGGAGGCAATGCTTCCAGGCGAGCCAAAGAGGCGCGGCCGAAACTTCGACGCCGTTGGGCCTGGAGTGGGGCACCCGGTAAAATCAGTTAAATCATTGGAAAAAACCATGGTTTCCTGTAATTTTTCCCTTAAACCAATTAAAGTAATGTTAAAGTATGTTAAAAATATGAAATCGGATCACAACAACACTGGTCAATGTCGATTGATGATGATGATGATGATGATGATGATGATGGTGATGATGATGATGATGATGATGATGATGATGATTTTGATGATAACCCATATGCTCCACATAAACAACATGTATTAAACCCTTATTGAAGATCTTCAGTGAATGTAGAAGTTTACGGGGGTGGGAGAATTAAGCCCCTATTGAAGATCTAAAAGTTTGACGGGGGTGGGAGAATTAAACCCAGATTAAAGATCTTTAATGAGTGTAGAAGTTTATGGGGGTGGGAGAATTAAACCCTTATTGAAGATCTTCAATGAATGTAGAAGCTTAATAGGGGTGAAAGAATTACACCCTTATTGAAGGTGTTCAATGAATGTAGAAGTTTAATGGGGGTGGAATCAAACCCTTATTGAAGATCTTCAACGAATGTAGAAGGTTAATGGGGGTGGGAGAATCAAACCCTTGTTGAACATCTTCAATGAATGTAGGAATTTAACATAATTTAACTGGGGTGGGAGAATTTAACCCTTATTGAAGATCTTCAATGAATATATAAGTTTAACGGGGGTGGGAGAATTCATATGATATGTATAGTGTGAACAAAAAATCCTTGTAATTTACGCTATTCTGGGCTTGGGCAAACCTCGGGGTCTGTGTGTAATATTATATTATATGTATGTGTGCGTGGTACACAAAATGGGTACCTGTCATACACGGATATAATAGTGTGTGTGTTGTATACTATACATACAGATTTGAAGAGTATTCTGTGAGACGTCGAATCTCAGCAGGTCGGCTTTGTGCATCTTTCCCTTCTCAGCCGAAACTTCCTGCGAGTGTCCCGGCTGCAGCTCAGACACTGTGGATCCACTGTGGTACATGACCTGTCAGACTGCATATCATTACATTGATGGCATTGCATTAGACAAACAGTTCAGTTATTGTCATAGTTTACGGACGTACTATGATAGAATCATATATAGAATCATATCAAATAATGCATTGGAGTATGGATAGATATGGATCGTATGGTTTTCCTGCTGGTTCTACTCATACCCCTACCCGCTCTCCCCGATGTTCAGCTCGGAGCTCGGGATCTGACATCACCGCCACAGTCATTGGCACCAAATGGCGCCAACAGAGACAATCTAAGAGTACGATACAGGCACAATTGGGATCAATTAGGCACATTCACTACAGGACAAGAAGCCGGTTTTTGGATGGTGAGCAAATCTAGGGTAGAGAGGTACCTAAAAAGCAGAGGGAGCTTTGATCGCCGTCAGTGCGGCTGATGCTTTTCTCTGACCATACAAGCAATACAGTCTGGTCGTGGGAATTGCGTAAGACCATGATTGGTTCCCAGTTTCAGATGTGTACGCATGTTATTCTCTATTCTACCTGGTATGATGATCCCAATCGACTGATGTAATACTCGTCGATGTTGCGAATAGATATTCCTGGCCGAGAACACATTGGTGACGTAAGCCCATTGTTTAGGGGTAAATCCCCGATTTGTCTCCACATCGTTCTCAACCATCTATGCAAAATGTTACATGGCTCTGAGATGCTTTGAGTGTAAGTGGTCCCTCCAGTCCCTGCGTGCACCCTAGAAGGATGACCTGACAGAAAATGAATGTTGCCGGACAAGACTAAGAACCCAAATGTCACAAATTCTATTTTTTTCTGGGTGATTATGAAAATGCCCGGGTTTACGACCCAATCGAAAGAGTTTCCCAACGTAGTTGCGGTTCGCCGCGATTGGCATGTCAGCAAGCGTCAGCAATTGACTCTTGGCTTCGGGAAGGGAGAGACAATCGGAACCTTTGAATGCAAACCAAGAATGAATGAGCGTTCCAAGAGTGTTTTCATAACAGTAAAATCAGTAAATCTGCAAACTCGTGAGGAGGAGGATGTTGACGGCTTAAAGGATGGAATGAGCGCCTGTGTAGCCGTGTAGCTACAAGCCGGCCTGAAGGGTGCTGTCTGAACAGAGAATTTACATTGTAGGCCCTTTCGGAATGTTCCAAAATCTCATGCGGCTGGAACACAAAGAGAATCGGCAAATGCTCGTAGGATTTTACTTTTGGACACTTCCAAGCCAAATGCAGTTGTTACAATCTAGTTACAAATATCGACAAGTCGCGTTCCACAACCATGTGCACATATTTAAGCTCAAGTACATTACGTGTCGCGCAGCGCAGTATGAAGCAACATGAAGCAACGCGCCAATCGCCGCCACGCGCAGGAATCGGCCGGCTTCTTGGGGCGCTGGGACCGCAGTATCCCGTTTGTCTTGCGGACTGCTCTCAGGCGCCACGGATGGGCCGGTGGCTTGGCCTGCAGTGAGCGATTTGGGCATCAATGGCGCTTGCAGAAACCGCGCTGCCAGAGGAAAAGCCAGTAACCATCAGGAACCTGCAACCACACATTTGATCATCTTTGCATATTTTCAGTAGTTTTGAAACAATGCCGCATAGTTGGGCGGCAGCAGCGGCGTTTTCTGCTGGCACCAGCAATAAACTATTGACATATGTTTCTTCTAGCTTTGTAGCAGATAAAACCGCAGTTCTATCCTTCCCATCGCTGCCCAGAAAACTGGAAGGCTGGGAACAAAACCAATTTCAAGGAAGATGAGTTGCTTTTGAGCATTGGGAAGGCGCGTCACAAAGAAAAACAAAACTCAACTTCTTTGAGTCTTTTGGCGGTCGGTGTACAGATTGGTTTAACTATGAATGAATCAATGGATTCAAGATCGGCGCGGCTGGCAGTGAAGCACACCGTCCTAATCCAACTTGTTGGGAACCAGTGGGTTGCACATTTCCACCGGAGTCGCGACAAATTTGATGAATCGAAATGGCGCATATGCAAATATCAAGGTCATCCCCGTTGGAATTTCCTCTAGGAAATGGTGACCCTGGGCCCGGCCATTTCCTAGAGAGCTGGATTTTATGGGTTGCCCATCTTTGACCAAATGCATTTTTTAGGCATATTGGTCGCTATTTGACCTGATCTGGTGGAAGTGCGGGGTTCCATTTTCTAGAGTTCCGGGTTATCATCTGGGATCACCTCTAAATTTACAATGTCCCATTCTTTAGACACCAGTTGTGTGTTTCCAAAAAAAAACGAAGTTCCATTTTTTAGAGTTCACTGGTTCGATGACAAGGGGTATGCCCTGGGGACCTCCATTTTTTAGAGCTCACTGGTTCAATGACAGGGGGTATGCGTTGGGGCCCTCTATTTTTTAGAGCTCACTGGTTCAATGACAAGGGGTATGCGCTGGGGCCCTCCATTTTATAGAAAAAAACGTGCGGAAACACTTACATATTATAAACATATAATATATATAATATAATATCATATAACAATATATATAAACTATATACAAAAATGAACATCTAATTATGTTGTATTTGTTATGTTTTTTTGTCATTATTTCAAATTTTTCCCAAACTCTTCTGTGCCACTGGTTCAAAGATGTTCAAAGGTGTTGAAACGTGCTTTAGATTCTAAGAAATTCTAAGAACATATATTTCACGCGGCAAAGATTGTCTCAAACCTTTCATGTTTCAATTGGTTTCCTTTTTGAGTGGCAAAGCTCAAGTACGCTCGCGGGGTCAGAGTGCCAGAGCTATGCCGCCACATCCTACCCCTATAGAATGGTATCCCCAGATACTGCAAAATAAACAAAATGTTCACATAATTTTACAACAACTCTGTCCACCATTTCCTAGGGGAAAAATAAGGGGAAAAAATGAAATTAAGCACTTTTCAAGCCAATCACCTGGTCCTGCATTTTATAGACATGCCTCTGTTTGTAGGACCCTCGGGGTTCCATTCTATAGAGATTGGGGTTCCATTCTATAGAGATTTGTTATGATATGTTAGTCTGGCCCATCCATTCTTTAGAGCTTGGGGTTCCATTCTTTAGATGTTCCACTTCTAGCCCCCCCCGGTCCACTAAAGAATGGCGCCACCCACCCTTTTCACTTAATCCAGACCGGGATTCAAGGCCTGATAATGCCTGTAAATCAGAAAGATTGTTTGAACATGCAAGTTCAGTCAACAGACGTGCTGTGGTGCCACTGCTGCGCTAGCATCGTCAACGTTAATTCACAGTTGAACGCTCGATCAAACAATTTGTTGTACAGTGTTGTCAGCTGTCCTGCCAGTGACAGATGGTTTTGCTCTTATGATTTTTATTGATGTATGATTCCGTATGATGTATTGGGTTGAATCCAGTAAGGAAATCGTTTTTTTCCAGACGCATCGCTACAAGGCATCAAGAGCAGCTGCCACTTTACAAATTGCCAAAGGGTTTCTGGTTGTTTCTCGCACCATGCTTAGCCAGCTCAGCCTGGAAAGACCGCGCCGCGTCAGAACTCGAGAAATTGCACAGGCGTTAACACAGTTTCTGCTTGTGGAGATTGCGCAAGTCTTGCGATGCAGTCGACAGATGGTTTTTTTGAGCGTCGGAATATGTCAGAATGCCAGGCACCAAATCGTTTCCAGGTGTTGCCAGTGTATGCTGCTTCCTGAGGCGACATGCGCAGTTGGGTGTTTGCTATGACCCTGAGAGATCCTCAAAGATTTTCTTTCTGGGAAGGGTTGTGTGTGTGATTGGTCTTTGAAAATGTATATTAAATTAACCTCTAGATAAAGACATGGCAAAAAACTACGCCTAGCAATCTCACCGAAGATGCCTTGAAGATTTGCAGCTCCGTATTGTTGTATTTCTATTTGGCACCGCAGGTTTGATACCAAACAACATCACGGTTTTTGCATGACCAAGTCAACCTGCAGCATCAGTGTCAGGTTCGTGGCCCTTTATTCACGAGAAGCTCTGAGTGTAATGTGTTGCGTTCACAGGTCCAGAGAGGGTTCCGCAGGTAGGTCCATCTTAGATTCATGGCCCAAGGAGATCAACACTTCCTGCATTGAAGGCAAAACCAGAGAAAGTGCATGATGTGTTGATGTGTCCCAACCTGTAAAGATACATCAAATACATAGAAATACTACCATACACATTCCCTTGCTGTACTTCAGATAGGAGTATCAAGGGCCAGGAATGATTTCATCGAACCAGAAACCTGCCCTTCCATTGCCAGGGTATCCTTAATTGAACTTCAACTGTCCATGCTGTGGTTCCGCAGAAGCTTAAAGCAGAGCCACGTTGTCAGATGTTGTCAGAATGCCTTTGTTAGCCTTTGTTGTATTTTAATTGGATACCTGGCAGTCATGGGCACAGCAGTGCCCGTATTGATTTCCTCGATTTCCTGGATTTGAGCATGAAAAAACATGAACTGCAAGAGGCGCTGTACTTCCAGCAACGTTCATGTCTGACAAACAAGGAGGGTACCGAATGAGATGTCAGACACAATCAGCAGGGTGCTAATCAAAACTGCTCAAGACCTTCCACTTTCACGATTGAAATCCAGAATGTCCTTGAAATTTGGCGCAGCTGGTGTGTCCTTTCAAGCCTCATGTCAACCTCCCAAAATATAAACTGCCAGCAGCGATGAATCGTGATTTCTCACTAAGCTGGTCATTGCCAGGTCTGTCAACTGTCAAAGCTAGCTGTTATCGAGTGGTTTCAGGTGTTTTCAAGTGTTGTTAGGATGAATGGCGTTCTTTCTCGGAAATGTGTTGTTTGTGACCCTATGTGGCCGCTTTGCCATGGCCATCCCTTTGTGGATGGTGTTCCTATGCGGAGTGTTGTGTGGGCTCTGCTCCTTGGCCTGTTGCTAGGGGCCCGCCACTGTAGAAGGTTTGTGAATGCCTGCTGCATATAGGAGATTATGTAAGTATCAGATAGTATCAGTAATATCAGTACATCAGCAGCTTCTGTGTCACCCTCGCTGGATAGAAGCCTTGATATCCTTGATCTAAGATTCAATGATGCTGCTCTACTCACCTTTGTAGGTGGAACTAAATATGCACCTTTCTTTTATGTCAAAATTCTTGCTGCCATTTAAGGCGCCTCCCATCTATCGAAATGGCGACGTTCAAGCAAGGCAGACAATCTTTGCTCATCAAAAAAGACTTGTGGTTGGTCATGGTTCTTTCGTACAGTAGTAGTAAGGACATCGAAACCACTAGATTCGTTTCAATATTTTTAATTGAACATATCAGAGAAATTAAATTAAATGATCAGTAAATGTGTAACTCTATGTAACTCTACTAGCAGCCAGGCATTTCCTTCAAACAGCTGGTGCCGACAGGTTCCGCGCAAAAAGCGGCAGTATGTTCCTCGTGGTTCTGGAGGGGGGCAGATCAGAGACAGCAACCTGGCCTGCAAGGAGAGAAGTTTGATGAAAACGGAAGATCACATTGCATTGTAAGCCATGCTTGCCTACGGACATATATAGAATCAACAGCTACATTCTCTTGTTACTCAGTTTGAGCTCAAGTGGAATGCCATGAGAAGCAACTGGAGATGTTGCAGGAAATGATTGGCTTTTTTGTTGGGTCTTTGGCTATTATCATTCATTGAGGAGGGCTATGTTTTTTGATTTTTTTTTGGGTGGTTCCTGCTTTTCTGCTTCTCTGCTTTTGTGTTTTCTGCTTCTCTGCGTTTCCTGCTTCTCTGCTTTTCTGCTTCTCTGCTTTCATTGCTTTTCTGTTTTTCCTGTTTTTCTGCTTCTCTGCTTTTCTTGCTTCTCTCTTTGCTGCTTCTCTGCGTTTCTGCTTGTTTGCTTGCTTCTGTGCCTTTCTCTTTTCTGCTTCTCTGCGTTTTCCGCTTTTTACTTGTCCTGCTTCTTTGCTTTTCTGTTTTTCTGCTTCTGTGCCTTTCTACTTCTACTATTCTACGTGTTCTTTTCTTCAGTCATGTGTTTCTGCTACTCTACTTCTTGCTCCTTTGCTTCTCTGCTGCCTGTCTTGACTGTCTCTTTGTTTTTCATGTTCTGTTGCTTTGTATCGTAAGTGAAATCCTAGAGAGACCCTAGATGAAACCCAAAGAACCCTAAAGAAATCCTGATAAGACACCCTAAATGAAACGCTAAATGAAACCCTAAATGAAACCCTAAATTAAACCCTAAATGAAACCCTAAAGAAACCCACATGAACGTTCGGAACTCCTATATAATAAGAAGTCCTGAAAAGAAACCTTACATGAAACCCTAAAGAAACCCTAAATGAAACTCTAAAGAAACCCTAATCCCAAAGAAACCTTAAATAAAACCCTACGTGAAACCCTAAATGAAACCCTAAATGAAACCCTAAAGGAACCCCAAAGAAACCCTATATGAAACCTTAAATGAAACCTTAGAGAAACCCTAAATGAAACCCTAATGAAACCCTAATGAAAGCCTAAAGTAACCCTCAAGAAACCGACATGAACGTTTGAAGTACCAAAATGTAGCAAATACCATGCAAATGAGAGGTTGAAGTGCCAAAATGCAAATACCATGCAAAATAAAAGGTGAACATGGCCAAATGTAGCAAATACATGCAAACACCATGCAAAATGCAAAATGCAGGGTGACCATGCCAAAAATGTAGCAAATACCATGCAAAATGACAGGTTCTAGTTCCAAACTGTTGCAAATACAAGGCAAATGGTACCAGGAAAGAAAACACAAAAAACAAAACTTGAAAAAAAAAACTATTCTTGGTTTGGTCTTTGGCTATTATCATTCGCAGTGCTTAAAGGCATTTTCTTTAATTTCCCAAGAAAAAGGTCACAACTCTGGTAGAGGTGGTTTGTCCCTGGTTCGAAACTGTTGACATTTGTAAAACAGAGAACTGCGCTTTCTGATTTGCACATTAGGCGTTGCTGGCAATGTTCGAAGAGAAGTGCTTTGCCAGGACTGCTTTAACTTTGTCGTCTTTTTGATTTGAACACATGTTGAATTTATTTGAATTTCAAACTGCTATGAAGACCTAAATATATTGTCTATAGTTAAATTAACTTGATCATATTTTTGAATTTGCTTCCGTATGTACTCGACTTTAAAGCAGCTCCAACAGTGGACAGTTCCAGGATTACTGAGAATCACCCTTTACTTCATGTGATCGATCACGTAAGTCACAAGTAAGTGCCAAAGACGCCTGCCTTCAGGGTGTTCATGGCGAACCTAACCATTGGAACATATTGCAACATATTCCAAATTGCAACCATTTACATAATTTATACATGCTATAAGGTGTTGTTGTATTTTGACATTTCAGAGGGAGACTTATGAAAGGATGCACTTTGATCAGCCAACTACAAAGTGACTTCGCACAATGCGAGGACGCCATCGCTTGGCTGCAGAGCCTGTCGCGGTTGCCAGCCGGCAGTTGCGTTTTAACAGGCAGCCGTATTTTAGCAGTATGCAAGTGGAGGGGTGGTGATGCTGGTTTTGCGTTCTCTCGTTTCCTCTCTCTTCGGATCTGTGTCTTCAGATACCATTGAGTGGCAGACAGTTTTGCTGATATTTGTATCAAAAAACTGTTTCCATGAATGCATGTAATGCAGATCTATGCTCACTCGCTGGGCAGCCGTTGCTTTCCGCGTTTCCTCGGACAACGTGCCGTGGCGCTCTAAATCTTTTGTGCAGGTGTACCAGACATTCATGAGCTGGAAAACGTTACCTTGGAAGGTTCGGCACTAAAAGCTTGACAGAGCACATGGCATGCATGGCATGGATGGCGACCAAGCATTGCAGTCCGTGGTGAGAAGAGAAAGGAATCGATTTGATCATATTTAAATATGGTTTACCTACGCTTACCCAATAATTAGATATAATTAGATGAAACGGGCCTTTTATTATCTTTTATTTGCCTTGAATTACAATACTAGCTTGCCTTCGCGTATTTGTACCTTCTAGTCGAACTGCCATTAATCTATCCATCACTTCTCTCCTTGTGTATTCCAGGCTATTTTCTCCTTGACTCCTTGACTGTCTACTGCATCCCACATTGCTGTCACTGACTTTCCCTGCAAGTCCAGCACATGAGAAGTGCTAGTCACATCACACGCCTCCATCAGGTTACATTGATTGGTTCCAGCTGGTTGTGAAACTGATTCTGGAGAAGTTGCCCGAGCAGAGCCGTGCCATCTTCATGCAGACGGACGTGAAGGCAAGCATCGGCTAAGCCTTCGCAGAACAGCTATGCAATCTCTGTGGCCAGGTGACCAAAGATGGCAGCCATGGGCAAAAGGCGAAAAGCGGCAGCTATTGGCAATGGTTGGACAAAGCGCACATTGCCATACTTGCTGCCTCGCAAGTGTCTGATTCCCAGCTGGTGTGGATGTAGTATTCTTGTGTGATGCCCTTTCATGCCCTTTCTAAGTAGAAAAGCCATCAGATGCCATCAGTTCAATTCATGTTGGTGGATTTGAAGCGTGTCACCAATCTGTCACCATGGCAGTTTCAAGATGTTTCAAGTATTTTTGAATGTTCCTTCACTTCATGCGATGACTATCCGTACTGGGCCTCCCAGGCCTGGTGTCCGTTTGCTATGGCACCGGATCATTTTCTCTGGACAATTGACGGGTGGTGGCCGAAGCGGTTTCAGTGTGGCTTGACACAGTCAGAGGTTGGCGGATAAAGTGGATAAAGTGACCTCAGAGATTGCAGGGTTTGGATTGCTGAGTTTCTGACTTTCCGAACTGTGTTTCAATGCTAAGACATGCTGAGACACTGCGGTGCGTGCAAATCCTTTGGGGCTGGCACGAGATACAATGGACCTAGGAAGCTTTGGGCGGTTGAATTTCAGCCTCGAAAGACATGATGAAATCTTCACTGATTGCAAATCATTGAGATGGCGCGCCAGTTGATGAACCAACAAGCCATAGCAGCCATAGCAGCCATAGCAACCATAGCAGCCATAGCAGCCATAGCAATCCCTTGAGCGAAGGCTGGCTATACCCACTACTTTTGCTTCAGCAACGATGATGCTTGGTTTTGCATGTTTTGCGTTTAGGAAACGGATTGTGTGTTGTACACCTTGCTGGAAATGATAGCAGTTCTATGCAGTTCTACTGAAGTTCTGTTCGTGTTGATGTGTGCCGCATCGAGGATTGTGACGAATCGCTTGATCGCGGTTTTCCAGACGTGATTCGTTGCAGCCTGAAAACCTTGGGGCATAAAACAATTGCAGAACATGACAGCATATTACAGCAGATTGTCAGTCGTTCGCTGGGAAACTTTCTGATGGATGAATGCGGCTTCATTTATATTATATTATACTATGTTATATTATATTATATTATATCATACTATGTTATATTATATTATATTATATTATATTATATATTAATTCTATATATTCTATATATTCTATATATTCTATTTATATATATGCATATTTATATTACTGTATATGGTCCCACGCCCCCGGGGTTAAAGAGTAACCACGTACTAGGTTTTACCTCCCTAGTGTTTTGGCTTAAGCTCATGAGGTGCTCCTCTTGCCGGGTCTTCACAGGTCCGGTTTGTGGGGCGTGCAGAGCAGGCCACAGGATTTTGGGAATCCTCCAGTCGGGTCAGGTCCCATTGCTGGAGGAGCGTCGGGTGACAGGGCTCCTTCGAGGAGTCGCAGGAGAGCTCGCGGACCTCGTCGAGAGCTCTCAGCTATCAGGAGGGCCGGCTCCGAGGGCAGGCTCTCCTGGTAAGGGGGGAACAAAGGACCTAACCCCCGGGTCGGTTGAGCCAGCAGGTGGCGCAGAGGACAAGGCGAAGGAGCCCAGTGAGTACAGTTACGTGGAAGACGAAGGAGAGGAGGAGGAGCACGTAGCGGACGATCCTCCTGAAGGAGCTGGGCCCAGCGTTCCAGCCCCTGAGAAGCCTGTAAAGGAGGAGCAGCAGGAGGACCAGGACAAGCCTCCTACGCCAGAAGCCGCAAAAGAGGAAGGCGATCGAGGAGGAGGACGGAGAGGAAGAGAGGTAAGGATCCTTCCGGCTGCAGCAGGTAGTCAGCAGGACCCTCACTACTTGTCACGGGCTTTACAGTTGTATCCTACTGGGAAGGCAGCAGCCAGAGGGCCCAGGAGGAGTGAACCATCAGAGGAGGCTCCCAAGATTCATTCGGGAAGCAGGGGCGACACACGTACAAGCCGAGCACGTAAGGCCCCACGTGCTTGGTCAGAGAGGAGGCCAGACGGAGGCCGCCACGGAGCAGGCGAGAGGCCCGGGGACTCTCGGAGGAGCAGGCAGTCGGAGGCGGCAAGGAGCCCTGACAGGCCCCCGTTGGTCAGGAGACCAAGGGACCCAAGAGAAGAGAGGAGGCGAGCAAAGAAAAAGAAGAAAAACAACAAGGGACAGAAGAGAAGAGAACGCGGGCGTGAGTTCCGCGCCAGGAGATTTCAAGACAGCAACCAAAGAGGTAGGTGGTAGAGATGCCACCCAAGGCCAAAGTCAAAGCCAAGGCCAGAGCGAAGGCGGCCTTGCGGCGGCCGGCGGCCCTGGAGCGACGAGGGCTGTTGAGGAGGCCGGCGGTGGGAGGAACACCGTGGGAGCGAGGGGAGGAGGTGCCACTTCACCAGGTGTCTCCTTTAGACCTTCGTCCCGGTTGCTTGTTGGCTGTGACCGAGGGGTACTACTTTGGTGCTCGAGTCAAGCTGGCATGCGAGGTGATCAAGATGGAGATGGAGTATGGGGAGACCACCTTGGTAGTAAAAGCAAAGGGTACAGACAGCGAAGCCCTCCTGAGAACACATACAGCTCAGCCGAATCAGGTCTTCCGGTGTCACGTGTGCCAGGAGGGATGCAGTCGCCAAGATGTGGGAGACTACAAGGTCCACGCGCTAAAGGGGCGCCAGATCAAGCGAGATGGAGACGAGCCCTGGACTGGCAACCTAGGGCCCGAGAAGGAAGAGGACGACGAGAATGCCAACCTTCGGAGGAGGGTGGCCCTCCTGGCGCAGGAGGGCCGAGTAGAGGACGCAGACAGAGAAGTCCGGGAGGGGGTGCCAGCCCTCCCACGCCAGGGGGAGATGCCAGGAGGAGACAAGAAGAAAAAGAAAAAGAAGAAGGAGAAGAAGGACAAGCACATCTTAGACGGGCGTCACCCAGGTCTGGCAGGACAGAAGACCACCCAGGAGGTCTTTGGCGGTACCGCCCTGGATCCGCGGGAGAGGGTCCGGCGAAGGGTCCTCTCGAAAGCACAAAAATTTGTGTCCAGCAAGAAGTCAAAGAGCACCAGCGGATCGTCGAATTCGAGCAGTTCCTCCTCCAGCAGCCTGGAGGAGGTCAAGGGGCTGACCACCGTGTTTGCAGAGGAGACCAAGATCAGGGGCGTCGCCGAGAGGTATCCAGGTGCGCTGGCGATGGAGTCGCTGGCGTCGATGAAACGGTCCCTCCTGACCGCAGCAGGCGAAGACCAGGAGGAAGGGATCCTGAAACCGGTAGCACTTCTTTACTACCGCAGTGTGCTATCCAAACGGGCAAGCGGCCCCCAATCTCGAGAGATGCTCAACCTCAGCACTGCGCTCGACATGATGTTGAAAGGCCGTATTGCATCGGCAGCCGATGTGATAGCTCAAAGGCTAAAGGCCCAGGAGGCCATTACCCAGGGCACTCACTGGGCCATCGCCCAAAGGCTCGAGATTCCCCCATCGGAAGCCGAGGGCCTTGTGGCACGGGCCGAGCTGCAGCAGGCTCAGAAGGAAGACTATGCGGACGCTCGAGCGAGGTGGAGATCGCAGAGTACCAGTCAGGGCAAAGGCGAGGCAAAAGGGAAGAACAAGTGGCAAAAGGGGGACCGCGAGACGTGGAAGAAGGAAGAGCGCAAAGAGGATCCGGGCAAGAAGGGCAAAGGAAAGGAGAAGAAGTGAGTGCCCCTCCTGAGTGCAGAGGAGTTTCCAGGAGGGTGCTGAGCCGTGAGGCACCTCCCGAGGCTATGACGGGAGGTGGTTGTTTCACTGTGGGGGACCGGGCTGATTTCAGGGGCCCAAGTCATCCACCTTCTACAGGGGAGGTCGCACGTTTTGAGTGTGGCCAGAAGAGCCCCTGTCTTTTTCCACCAGCACAACCTTTTTCACATGGGGGTTGTGCAAAGGCCGATTCCTCGGTCCCTTTTTTGCAGAGTGCAAGGGAAACATACCATGGCACAGCTGGTGATGCTGTCGCTGAGTCCGAAGGCAGAAAAAAGGGTGACCTAAGCGAACTTGAAGGTCTGAGGATCCAAGATTTGGGGCTGAGGGTTCATCAACAACTTCTAGAGGTTTCAACACTCCGCAGCTCGCACACGGGTAAGAGAAAATTTAAGGACATTTTTCCCTTACCTACCTCTAGGAGTAGTTTGATGAAGTTGTTCCCTGATCTGGATGAGGGATCTGTGGGTTGGATGCTCTCCATCGGTGTTTCTTTGAACTCGCTTTGGGGCGGCCAAGTTTTTTATGAGGGTCCTGTGTCGCGGGCCACTACAGAATGTTTGAGATCACTTCACAAAGATGTGCTTAGGCTGAAGAGAATGTCATGTCAGTTCCAGCCTTTCTGTTGGAGTGAATTCTTCAGCACACGTGGGATTGACTATAAAGGGGATGAAATAAAGACAGCAAGAAGTTTCTGCTGGGGCAACATTGAACCTGCCCTCCCGGCTGAGATAGGGAGGGTCCCCCTGGAAGAGGTCTGCACTCTGGGGGCTAGGCATTACGTTGAGAATTTCGATGGTTTTTTGAAGGATAAATCAGCGTGGGTGTTGTCCAAAGCTCCAAGAGTGATGGTGGCAGACGACCAATGGCCCGAAGTTTGCCGTGGGTTGGTTAGCGCAGGTGTCTGCGCCTACCTCCCGGTGGAGGAGGTCTTTGACACAGGTCATGGACCCCTCCTTAATGGGCTGTTCGGAGTATCCAAAGAGGAATGGGTCGGTGAAACGGAAGTCTTTTGTTTAATCATGAACTTAATTCCTCTCAATCGTTTGGCCCACCCACTGAAAGGCGATGTTGAGACGTTGCCTAGCTGGAGTCTGATGAACCCCTTCTTCCTTCAGCCGTCCCACAACCTCCTGATTAGCAGCGAGGATGTGAGGTGTTTCTTCTACACCATGGCGGTGCCACACGCTTGGTACAAGTACTTAGCATTCAACAAACGAGTTCCAGACTCATGCTTGCCAATCGAGTTGCAAGGGCGGGAGGTGTACCTTTGTTCCAAGGTCCTCCCTATGGGGTTCCTCAACTCCGTGTCGTTGGCACAGCATGTCCATCGCAACCTCGCAATTTGGAGTGGTGGTGGCGACCCAGGTGGGCTTAACCCTCCGGAGGGTGAGATCAGGAAGGACCGGCCGATTACTGTCCGGAATCCTGCTTGGCGGATTTACCTCGACGACTACGACCTTCTTGAAAAGGTTGAGGCCTTGGGAATCGGGAGTCAGGAGGGAACCCTGGCTCCCTCGGTCCTGGCCTTACGCCAAGAATATGAAAAATGGGAAATACCCAGAAACTTCAAGAAGAGTGTCAGCCGTCAACTTCAAGCAGAAGTGCAAGGCGCCCACGTCGATGGTGAAGAAGGCGTGGCGTATCCCCGGGAGGGCAAATTACTGAAGTACCTCGCGGCGGCGCTCTCCCTGACAGGCCAGGATTTTGTGACTCAAAAACAGCTTCAAGTGGTCTGTGGCGGCCTGGTATACATCAGCATGTTCAGGCGTCCTTTGTTGGGGTGCTTGAATACGGTGTGGAGTTTTATCGAGAGCTTCAACGGTTGTGATGCTCCAACACAACACTTCCCTCAACAGTGCAAGGCTGAAATCATGAGGCTGGTCGGCCTCATGCCTTTAGCTCGTCTGGACTTCCGGCTCCCTTTTCACAACCAGGTCACTTGTAGCGACGCCTCGACCAGCGGCGGAGGCATTTGCGCCTCTACAGGATGCTCTCGGTGGGGCGCCTTAGTGTCAGAGGGTCAGCTCCGAGGTCAACTTCCGGAGCTGCGGCAGGAGCATCGCGTACTTACAATTGGACTGTTTGACGGGATTTCAGCCCTCCGGGTGGCTACCGACCTGCTGGGGCTCGAAGTTCTTGGACACGTCAGCGTGGAACCTGATCAGCATGCCCGGCGAGTCGTCGAATCCCATTTCCCTGAGGTCCGTCACGTTTCGTTGGTGCAAGATGTCGATGATGACATGGTGCGGGAGTGGGGTCGTGTCTACTCCCAGGCATCCGTGGTCTTGGTAGGAGGGGGTCCTCCTTGTCAGGGGGTCAGTGGCCTCAACGCGGATCGGAAAGGGGCCCTGCGGGATGAAAGGTCCAAGCTCTTCGTCCACGTGCAACGCATCTTGGGCGCAGTGCGACTCCATTTCCCGTGGTGTCAGGTGCATGGGTTGATGGAGAGTGTATCTTCCATGGATCCGCAGGACCGCCAAGTCATGTCTGCTTCCTTCGGTAGCCAGCCGTGGAAATGTGATGCGGGCACGATGACTTGGTGCAGCCGTCCTCGTCTTTACTGGTTGACTTGGGAATTGACAGAGGGGACTGGCGTCCGGCTGGATAGGGACCAGGAACTCGGTGAGGTCATCCTTGAAGCTCATCAAGATCTTGAGTTGGTGTGCCAGGAAGGTTGGATCAAGGCTGATTGCAGTAGACCTTTTCCGACCTTTACAACCTCTAGGCCTAGGACAAGCCCAGGGCGCAAACCGGCAGGTGTGGCTCAATGCACCTCCAGAGAGATTGCCAGATGGCAACAGGATGACTTCCGGTTCCCCCCCTATCAATATGCCGACCGTAACCTCCTCGTGAGCAAGTCAGGAGAGTATCGGCTGCCGAGCATCGAGGAAAAAGAGTTCATGATGGGATTCCCAGTGGGATATACAGCAGGGTGTGTAGCCAAACAGCTCAGAGGCAGTCAGCAGCAACAAGACATCAGGCACACCCTGGTGGGGAACAGTTGGTCGGTGCCGGTCATTGCATGGCTCCTTTCGCAGCTGTTCAGCCGGTTGGGTTTATGCCCTCGGTATGGGCCGCAGGAGGTGATGGATTTGTTCACTCCTTCGGGCCTGGTCTACATGCAGGCGCGTCTGTGGCGCAGGCCCCTGCGGCCGCTTCGGGGACCATGCAAGGACGGTGGAGGCCAACCTCTGGTTGAAAAACTTTGCAATATGATCAGTATCAAGGGTGAAGACATTTTGCTCACTACTCCATCAAGCCAATTGACAAAATATCATCGGCTTCGGGCCTCTGTGCCGGCCCGTTTGTGGCGCTGGCGGGTTGTCACTGGTTGGAAGTGGCGCGGGGGTCACGAGCACATCAATTCGCTCGAACTCCGAGCCGTCCTTACAAGCCTTAGGTGGAGGCTCGAGCATCAGGGACATGCGGGATGTCGGTTTGTGCATCTGACCGACTCCCTGGTCGTCCTACATTGCTTGTCCCGCGGTCGGTCGAGCAGCCGCAAGCTGCGATCTTGTTTGTCTCGAATAAATGCTCTGTTGCTGTGTACAGGAACCCAGGCCCTTTGGGGCTACGTCCATACGGAACAAAATCCCGCTGATGCCCCAAGCCGCTGGGGCAAGCGGGTGAGGACTAAGTTCCGGAATGCCTAAAAGGTTTTTGGAAGGTAGTACACAGTCAGCACGAGCAAAACAGAGACAACAACTAGGTAGCTTACGTGATCTTACAGTACAGCCCGCCACCAAGGCTAGATACACAAAGGCTGTTGATGGCTTCTTGAAATTTCTCAAAAACAACCAAGTTGTGTTACCCAAACAGAGGCAGCAACTGGATCCCCTGGTCTGTGATTATCTGGAGCACCTTTGGTCGACCGGTGAAGGTCGCGCCTTAGCAAGTGACACAGTGGCAGGGCTCCAAGACCAGGATGCTAAGCTCAAGGGTCACCTACCAGGTGCCTGGAGGTTGCTTAAAACGTGGAGCATCAATGAGGTCCCTAACCGGGCCCCGCCAGTGCCGGAACATGTGGTACATGCCATGGCCGGGTGGGCCTTCTTTCATGGCCATGTCAGTTTCGGGGTCTCGTTGCTTCTAGGCTTCTATGCTATGCTTAGGACTGGGGAACTGCTAGCTTTGAGGGCTAACCATCTTTATTGCGATCGCCGACAATCTAAAGTCGTTGTCTCCTTGGGGTTTACCAAAGGAGGAAAACGCCAAGGGGCTGCTGAGTCCTGTGTGATTGGATATGATATGGTGGTTAAATTTATTCAGCAATGGAAATCCATTGCTGCGCCTACGGCAGGGTTCTCACCCAGCCCAGCCAAGTGGCGCTCTCTCTTTAACCAATCGTTAGAATCCCTTCATTTGCAACGTTTTGATTTCAGACCCTATAGTCTCCGCCGTGGCGGTGCGACCTGGTGGTTCAATCGCCACCATAGTTTGGATCAAATTTTGTTGCAAGGCAGATGGCAGGCGCCTAAAACGGCACGCATATACATAAATGATGGGTTGGCTGTCCTAGCCGAACTCCAGCTGCCCTCAACCTTACCCACCCTTGCACCTTTTCTTACCATCTTTAGGCGTTTTTGCACCACCCCCTCTTTCAAAACACTTGAGCCTCCGTGTTTAAAACACGGAAGGTCAGGGGGCCGTGGAAAGAAGCCCAAGAAAGGGCAACAGAAACGGAGAAAATGCCTTGGAAAGGGTGATCATGTTTCTTTGGGAGAATATCACGAGGAAGATCTGAACTCTGGCTGGATAGCAAGGAGGGTCTGGCCCGAAGCTATCTGGGGAGTTGTGACTAGTGCGGTTACGGGTCTGGCCGAACCGACACAAAACGTTTTGCGGAAGTTAAGTTCTGACTCTTTTATTTATTTCCTGTTTAAACAATTATGCTGCGGAGTGGATGTAAAACAAGGGCCGTGCGTTTACTCTTTATATATATATACACGTATTGATTTCCACGAGATTCACCAGATTCTGTCACTGCTCGGTGCTAGGCAAAGGTGTGTCAACTTGGACCAGCGGTGCTGGAGTCAATGCTGTGGAACTGGCGTGCTCCTATTTGCTGCTTGGCTTGAAGCGATTTGTCCTGGGTCCAGACACCAGTTCAATGTTTCCATGTTTCAAGACAACTGTGGCTGTGAGGAAGTCTTGTGGTTGCCGCATCGTTGTGGATCCTTTCTGTGGCTCGGCTTTCCATGTCCATACTGCTTCTCATGGACAACCCTTTCGAGTAAGCAGTTTTGAATTACCATGAAATCCATATTTCCCAATGTTGTTTCCTTTTTGACATCGATTGGAATACAACCACATTCTCACCAAAAATTGGGGTTGGTTCTAAGATGTTCCAAGAATGACCAGCTGTTTGGTGTCCATTTTTTGGCCATTCCCGTCGTTCCCGTGTCCATTTTGGTCCCTCGATGTTTAAAGTCACCATATCAGCGCTCTCAGGTGGTGAAGGGGCTGTGTTGGCTGTGGCTAATGCACTGCAGCTCGAAGCCTTGGGCGTGGAACAGAGCCAAAAACGGGCTCGACAGGCGCGCAACTTGGATGGCCGGGGGGCCCAAGGGAGCCATGGACCTGGACAGCAGGTTGCTTTGGGAAAAAGAGCCAGCGATATCCAAAGTTATCCAAAGCTCAAGTTGAATTTGCTGGGGAACTGCATCCTTTTGTATTACATTGTATTACATTGTATACTAAACTGCAGAGAATGATAGAGAATGTGTAGTCACAGTGTAGTCCTGTGATGTGAGTGCGTGGTTGGTGAGAAACTTGAAAACTTCGGATTTTGCAGCAAGGTCAAGCTCTCCTAAAAGCCGATCGTGAGGCTGTTTAGCACGGCCGCAAGCTTTGAGACTTTTGCGTGGCAAAAGTGGTGTCGCCACATCACTGATTGGACTGATTGGACTGATTGGACTGATTGGACTTCGGGAAGTAAACCGCATTGCAGTCATAAGTCATAAGTGAAGAGATCCATTTGACATCTCTTGCATGCACAATGGGTGGCTTCAAGCAGTTTTCTGTATACTGAAGAACTCACACTGGAAAGACAAGGTGTCATTGCATGCGCACAAGTCTTGACCCCAGCTCGTAGTGGGAGTCTTTAGATTGAGCTCCGATGGTCGGATCAGATCCTCCAGTGTCAAAAACCGCAAGCATTCCAAGTCAAAATGTGCATGTCACTTCAAGATAGACTAAGATAGACTAACTATGTCTAGTATGGTCTAGTTGGAACAGAAGCAAAGTTCTTCTGTCCTCGTAATTATCGCAATGGTGTCCAAAGAAAGGCACAGGCTGGGGACAGAAAGGATTTCAATCTGATTTCTTCTTAGCTCGCATGGAAGCCTTTGGGATGAAGTCGATTCAAAGAATTGCCAGGTCAAAGCTCATCACAAGTCCACACAGTGGTGCATAGTGGTGCATCATATTCGAAACGATTTGAATGGTGTTTGGAACTGCAGTTGTAGATTGTAGATTGGTCTAGACACTTGCTTCAATAGTTACATATATAGTTACTATATATGTTACTATTCTCAATTCTCAAGTTACATCTGCATCATTCTGCATCATCCGGCCAGGGCTCTACAGCGTTTTGACCGAGAGGTCATCGCATGTTTGGTCACGCTCGAGCGTCGGGGGCCCCAAGATCCGGGTCCCGTCTGAATCCAAGGAGTTGAACTGTGGAAGTCGATGGAGGAGTTGCCACATTGGAGATTTAATATAGAAGGGATACATAGGGATACCATATATTCCATATAGTTTCCATATAGTTTCCATATATATGGGTATACGGTATGGGTCAATACCTATTAATACCATTTTTAGTGGGATGAACATCCATAAATCCCAGCTATTTTGATGTGAACAGAAGGGGTACCAGGGTTTTGACCCATCCCCATATAAACATTTCGCAAGTTTTTCAAGGAAGAGTAGCAAACCTGTGATGATTCGATGATGGATCTTCCGCAGATGTGGCTAGGACGTGACCAAGTTCAATATAAGCTTCAAGCATTTGTGTATATCTGTGTCAGAACCAGAAGTGAAGGGGCCGCAAAGACCTTGTTGAATCGTTTGCCATCTCTCTATTCAAGTCATAAAGGAAAACACTAGCCAGCAGTTGCCACGTTTGCTAAGCTTTCGTTAGTGATTAATATATACATAAGATTATATAATATTAATGATTATCATACGCATATGACACCTCTGATTCGAATGATCTCCATGAGCTGCATAGCCAATGCCTAGCTGACCTGCGATATCCTGCGGCAATGGAGATCTGCGATCGTCCTGAGCAGCTGAAGATCTGCGATCCGCAGCAAGACCTGGAGAAGCTGGCGAGCGAGTGCAAGGACGAGAGACCTCTATCAGAGACGAAAGGAAACTTTATGAAACTTTACAGAACCGGTACGACAAAATTGCTTTCAATCGGCGTGGTTTCCAGATGTTTCCAGTAATGTTCCTTTCCCCGATCCAATGAGACTTTGGGTGCTTTCATAGCATCGCAGCTTTTGGAAGGTGGACAATTGTAGACAGAAGATAAGATAGACAAGGTATCAATCTCCGTGACCAGATGTGCCCTAGTCTCGCATGCCTGGTGCATTCTGGTACCATAATTGATACATTGGCACGAAACGAATGGACATGTGCGTAATGAGCAAAGTTCAAAACGCAACATTTCTGTCTAGCCGGACACGGTCACAACCTGGACTTGTCATGTGTTCTTCGATGATGAATAGTTTTGTGGATGAAATTGGCCCCAATTGGTACACAGAAATGTTCAGTTTGATTCTAGCCGTATCCTGTTCTCCTGAGACCTCCTGAGATCTCCTGAGATCTCCTGAGATCTCCTGAGATCTCCTGAGCCTGTTCTGGGTGATTCTGGGACACTTGGCCAGGACTACTCGGGAGAGTTGCTTCGACGACAGGCTCTGAAAAGCTCTGGCGGTCTCCTATCTGGATGGAACCAAGCTGCTGGGCAGCTTTGAAGAGGGTCTGGTAGAGCGTTTTCAAGGTTCCCAGATCCAGATACTGTATATAAATTATTTATCATCCAAACTTGTACCTTATATATCCTTATATATCCTTATATACAGGCTTATCTTTCGAAATCTTTCGAACGACTCCACTCCTCGAATGCATGATCCACTCGCACAGGAAGAATCCTGGTTGTAGTCATGCTTTCAGAGTCATGGAGTGGAACCTGAACAGTCATAGCAACAAGAGTCACAAGAGGTTTAATTTTCAAACTTGGAAGCACTCTGATCACCTTGTGTGGGACCATAGGATCCCACAATGCTTGGTTTATTGAAACTGAACGTGAACGAGACACTGAAACCCTTGCTGCATTCTGCAGATTCTAGGTATGCTTCCTTTGTTGTAAATGTGAGGAGTGGTGCTTGTTGACCCACAACTTCCTTGCTTTCTTTGTCTCACGCACTGACCTTGCGGTGAAGCAGTGTTTACTTTTGGCATCAGTGCAGGACAGGATATCCACGCCAATTGTTTGGCACTGCGAAAGTGATTATTGGAATCACTGTCTACTGGCAGTTTCTTTCAGCTTGCAATTTCGCTGAACAGGTGTTGAATAATATCCATATGCGGCATATCAATCACATTCACTGAATCTCATGCCATGATGCCATGGCAAACGATTTTGACAGGATGTGAAGCAGGATGGACGCACCTTGCAGATAGTGCTGCATGAGGGCAAAGAGGAAGGGATCATCTGTATTCACGTGCCAGATGCAGTTTGCAAGGGCGGGTGCCAACTGAGCCGACAGATTCGGGTTCGTTCAGAGTTCATCAGGTTGAAATGTCTTGATAGACGCAGCAACACATTCCCCTTATCACGTCGAGCATAAAGATCCTGTTGCAAGGAACTCTTGCGCTCGCCAGAGAAGATGAGCATGGACGGTTGGTGTGACGAAATCAGGCATGTTGATGGTGTTTCAGGGCCACTGTCTATCTATTGCCCACTGAAGATGCCAAGATATGTTTTGGCATTCTTGACGATTGCCAAAAAATGAGTAGTTGGCAATAGTCTGGTAGTTGTTTCGGAATCATGCGTCATAGTTGCTGGCGGGTCCACAGGTCGCCTGGCCTTTTTCTTTGTTTTGGGGGGTGGGGGAGGTTGGGGGGGGGGGGGGGGGGTTTGGGGGGGGGGGGGGGGGGGGCGTAATAACGTTCCTTTTGCTGCGTTCGCTTGGACTTTTTTTTTGTTACCTATTTTTATGTTACGCTTGCAGGCGGCCGCATCATCTTGCACGCAAGACGTCATGCTACGCTTGCACGCTGCTGCATCATCTGTACGCAACACGTCGTGCTACGCTTTTGGTCGCAAGTGTTATGTTACGCTTGCGCGCTGCTGCATCATCTTTACGCAACACGTCGTGCTACGCTTTTGGTCGCAAGTGTTATGTTACGCTTGCACGCTGCCGCATCATCTTGCACGCAAGACGTCATGCTACGCTTGCACGCTGCTGCATCATCTTTACGCAACACGTCGTGCTACGCTGTTGCTGGGGGGGGTGGGTGGGGTTGGGGGGGGTGGGGTGGGGGGGGGGTTTTTTGGGGTTGGCTTGGGGGGGGTTTGTGTTACCTATTTTTATGTTACGCTTGCAGGCTGCCGCATCATCTTTACGCAACACGTTGCTTTTTTTGTTACGCTATTTTTCTGCCGACGCAACACTTTCCAAGAAAGCTGGAACACAAGTCATTGACAGAAAGTGGAAGGCATTGAAAGACTTTTTGCCAAGCAACTACCACCGAAAGATCAATGGCCCACGTGGCAGCCAAGTCAACCCTCGGATGAGACAGCGTGTCTTTCAGTTTTGCTGGCGCAATTCGCTGAAATGGCCGAGCCCAGCACAGTTCTTAAAACAACTGGCAAAGTTGCAAGGAAAAAAATTGTAGCGGCGTTAGTTTTCAGGATGGTGAAAACTTGCCACCTTTGCCTGACGTCTGATTTCCAATGGGCAAAATACCTAAATGATGGTTTCGTAACCAGGCGACTCATGGACCCGTGACCTCATAGTTTCATGCCAACATATATATATATATATATAGTATATATAGTATCATGGACTCCCGCCGATAATCCCCAATGATGTTCATTCATTTTTTTGGGGGATGAGTGGCTCACTGACCAACCACTTGTGGATCAGCAGATTTCAAAAGGCATCGCTTGGAGAAGCTTCGAGCAGATGGTCAAACGATCATGCCCTGCTGCTTGGCTGAGTTTTGCCATCTTAGCACTCAAAATGGTGCAGATCTTTGGCTGATACTGACTTACACATACTGAAAAAACATCATCCCAAGTTCAAAATCACCATCCCATGGTTGATCATCATTTTCCATCATTTTCCTATGAAAATGGCCCATCCATCGATGTCATGGGGAGTCCCCCAGTGCCGCACCAAGGCCTGAGTGTTGCCGAGGCGAAAGGCTGGGCACAGGAGGCCTTGAGAGAACTTTCGGCAGAAGGACAGCACCAGGATCACCAAGCGGAGCAGCAGATGCGGGAAAGACGATATCAGGACTGCAACCATGGGGAGGGAAAAAAACTGGGCCCATGGTTTGGAGATCCTTTTGCAAAACCTAAAACACCTTGAAAACACAACATCCGGACATCCATGGCTGCAGAATTCATGCATCAAATTTCCACAAATTTCCTAGTTGCAACTGCCATGTGCACAGGCATTCGCTTTGATGCTGCAAGCCACCCTTTTGGGTCGGATACGATCTGCCTGACAACCCAGTGGAAGTAGATGGGTCCTAGCTTACAATACATGTACCACATGATAAGATTCTTTCAATATCTTTCAATTGCTGTCGGTTGGACAGTTTATCACCAGAGGCTTGTCAGTATTCTGCTTCACCAAGTTCTACTCAAACAATTTCCTTTGGATTGAGTATAAGCTATCAGTGTTCATCCTTTGCTTCACCAAGTTGTTCACCATGTTCTTCACCGAGTTCTGCAAGAGATCAACATGTTCAAAACATGCAAGGTCCAACGTCGGGCCTTCACCGATCTTGCCCTCTATTCCAGGATCCAAGCAACTTGGGCTCAACTGCTTATACTGCTTGAGTTGTCAGTATTTTTTAGTCTTGTCTGAAAATATGGGCCGAAGAAAGTATCTAAGGGATGGTCATCATTTTGTCCACTGGTAAAACTTAAAACATGTTAATTTGGGATATACGATGGATTACGATGGTATATACACCCATTGTTTATGCTTGTTGGGAGAAAAAAGAAGAACCTTATGTACACAAACCATCACAAACCCAGGCTAAAAGGGTCGACTGCTCATTCTCCGTGTGCAGGGCCTACTGCAATCACAACGAAATGCTGCAGCCTGCCGGCTGTGGCGGGCAATCAAGCAGCCTTGCTGGCGTCAATGGGAGAGGAGCTTCACACAGGGTTTTCGTGTAGTAAAGGTGTCATGTTAAAACCAAATGTCTCCTGGCTTTTAGAATTGACTCTTCGACGCATCAATTTGCTGCTCACATTGGAGAGGTTTAGTTTGGGCGCCAAGAAGCAGTTTTATCAAGCGCGGCAGAGAAACTGTGCATATTAAGCAATATTATCTTAATTTTGTTATTTGTAAAGTTAGATGTTGCTACTTGTCAATCAATCTACACATCTCAGTCATGAGGCTTTGGTCAAAGACACTTGCAGTGTCCATCCATTTCTTACCTGTTAGGTTTCCAAAGTCACTTCGTGTTGGGTGTATGATTGTTGTGATTGTCAGTATTGTCATTATTTTCATTATTGCCATTATCATCATAATGATTAGCATAATTATCATCATTATCATGATTAGCACATAATACTTTATAATTCTCCAAGTTCTTACTATACTGATAGATATTTGACGATATTTATACGTAGCATTGTATAGTATGAATGATATCAAATCATTTTCTCGGAACTAATACATATAGGATCAATTTACAGAACATCATCTAGTTATTAGTATACTAGTACATATAGTACCATATATTATCACTAAGAACACAGAGGAATTGGTCACGCTTCCTTGCCCTTGAGCCATGGCTGACTTAGTCCCAATTCCCAGCTCGTGACCTTGCTGCAATCAGGGCTGGGGTTTGGGAACCCCAGAAATGAGTTTGTCTGAAAATGATGTATATCCATCCAATGGCCACTTAAAGGGAACACGAATGACAAATCATCAAATTCTTGGGTGGCCAGTTTTCAGATTAATCCAAATGGTTCCAAAAGGAAAGATTATAAAAGATCTAAAGGAAACGTCTAGATTTGTTGGCAAACTTGATGGTTTTCTGATGAGTTTTCTCTAGCCAACCCAGTGAAACGAGAATCTCTACCTTGAGAACTTCTGCATAGCTCTCAGACTGAAGAGTTTTGAAATCTTCTAACATGGCAACGCCCCGTACACAGCCAGCACTTTGGTAAGATAGATATGTTTGTTTGAAAGTCTGGTGACATAAGGGAACATAATCCTTCTGTTTTCAAGACGCCTGTTCTATGGTTGGTCTCACTCTTCCAGCAAAGACTTGTTTTTTCGGGGCGCTTAAGTTACACAATCAGACGGATACTTTGCCTACAAATGCCTATCATTTGGTGATAGCCAGCCGGGTGATAGCCAAGCGCAGCTGTCAGGTTTGAAGCTCTGCAGGAGTTGGAGCCACAGATCATGGAGACCAAACAAGTCTTCAACGGACAGGCCAGGAGCACATGGTTTTAATAGCGCTGATTAAGGGAACGCTGCTTGAAACATCTCAAAACTACTGCAACTGCACCAGACTCTGAGATGTGCAGAATCAAAGTTCTGATAAATGGCAGTGTGTCAAAACCTTGTACCCCTGGTGAACATCAAAATAGCTGGTAAATGGATGTTCATCCCACTAAAAATGGTATTAATAGGTATTGATCCATCCCCAAGTAGGTGTAAATGGTAGAAACATGTTGAAAGTTCTAGGAAGAATCAAAGTGCTGAAGGATGAATCAATGAAGGTGTGTGGGTAAAGGTGAGTAAAGGTGCAGGCCAGAACAATCCTGATAAACAAGAAAAGCTGGTTTCTCAGCCTCCGTTTGCTTCATTCAGGCTTTGGACATGGCATCACTATTTGTGAAATCACAAGCTGTGAGGTGCTGAGCCGCCGCGTGAAATCAAAGCTGCTGACGTTTTGTACTTTGCAGGCCATGCACATGGACCACGGTTGGGAACAAATTGCTGAGTTCTTTCAAGAGTTCATGAGGGAAACTCTGGTATTTTGATGTATTTTGTAGCTTGCGCTTGTTGCTGCCCACATGATACCACAGATATTTACAGCTTGTTTCATTGCTCGGACAAGACGTTTTCCGACGGTTCAACAGGCAGGATGCTTCGCTTACTTCGCTTGCTGTTTTTCATCGACCAAGATTTGGATTTGTCAATCATTTGACCAATTCATTCTTTTTGGTATGAGTAAGAAAATCGGGGTCTGCACTCCCAAGAAAAGGTTTGCTGCATGGGCATCATTGGCATATCAATTCTCGTTTCCTGCAGACACCATTCCGATTACTTCGGAACCAGGGCCCCCAGTTTTAATTGTGGTTGTATTATGTTGTATTGTTCATCCAATCTGGGGTACAGCACCCCATACTAGTATGTCTAGATCAATCGAATGATTTTCACAAGCAAGCCTGCGCCTGCACCGCAGGTGGAGTCGCTTGGTCAAGTGGACCTTTGCTTCGCTGCCACTCTCATGGATGAGTCGAAGGCATGGATTCTCAATAAAACTCCTCCTGGACACCCGATTGATCAGGACTAACAAGAACTCCATCCAGCCAATGTTTTCAATATACTCTAAGACATTTAGGCAAGGAGTGAAATCGAATGAATGAAGGCGGACAGTTTCCAAGGTTCACCTTTGTTTCTAGCTCAGTGGTTTATTTTACATGATGAGTCTCCAGACGTTCAGTTTGCCCACCTGAAGAGGTGCCATCCCCGAAGCGCCGCAATGATCTGCCAGTTGGTCTTGAAATTCAGGTGCTACTGGATGCTACTGGGGTAATCTGGGGTAGCCTGAGCTGTAACATTCAACTTTTGTATCTTTTGTCAGCTTGAAATATGGGCCTTGAAGCTATGCTTAGAACCAATGACCGTACAACACAAGAGTGGGGGGCGAGAACAACTTCTGTTAACCACTATAAGAATGCTGCCAGGATGGCACAAGACTGAACCCTGCGGGCGCATCGCACAACACACATTTCAGGTGGATAGGAGTCAAAAGCGCGAAGCTAGCAGTAAAGAATGGGTTCATGAAAAGAAAGCATAGCTCCAAGTAGGCTGCAAAAAGTTGAAACAATATGCTTGGCTATGCCAGCACTGTTTTAGCATGAAGAGCAATCCTTCTCTTTGAATTAGGAACAAATGAGACATCACTGGGACATCATGACATATAACCGTGATTAATCGTGAGTGTATAAGTATGAAATCTTATATAAGTCTTATATAAGAATATACATCCATATATAATCATATATATAATCATATTATATATGATTATATATGTATATGATATTATATGATCATATATGCATGTGGATTATGTTTTTCCTGATAATATGGTACCCTAAATCCAATGGTTAATCATCACGTTCTCTATTCAAAAGGCCATGTTGGGGGGATATAAACCTCATTTTGATACCAACCCATATGATTATGCATGTCTATATGATAATATGCATGTCTATATAGTTTTGTTGTATATATATATATATACAAATATAGGATTGTATCAGATTACATTGGACCATAGGACGATTGTCTCCACCTTTGTGCAGGTTGAAGCGTTGTCCGCCCCCCGCGTTCGCCCCGAATTCCTGGTGCGTTGCTGGCGTCCAGCGCCGGAGTCGGAGCCAGTGGAGTCAGAGCCAACTCTGTCGCTGCCCGTGCACTTGGCCAAAAAGGACCAGGTGAATCGACGAGCCAAAGAACAGCTCGCAGGCTGGGGAAAAAATGGTGGGGGATGCTAGGACATCCAAAGGTTATATGAGTTATATGTTGGTTGTTATGGTTTTTATGTTGTTGTTCAAATTTTCATCCTTACCTTTGATGTTTTATGTCGTGGGGGTTCTGGGGTTATTTTCTTGTTAAGTGTTCATCGTTTCCTGTTTTTTCATTATTTTGTTAAATCTATTGTTGATGTTCTTTCATGTGTTTGTTGAGGTTATTGCGTTTATTGTTGAGGTTGTTGTGTTTTTTTGTTGTTGCTGTTGCAGTTTATGTTTTGTTCAGATGAGGCCATATGTATTCTACTCAATGCATAAATTGTTTCAGTTTTTTTTGGCGGACTGCCCAACGGAACTCCGTCCTACTCTCAATCTTTGTGGACTTCAACGGCTTCTTCGTAATTGTCATGCTTCACAGCAGATTGTTTTAGATTATTTTTTATCATCCGAAAAGGGTGAGATATTGAAACGGAATGGTGAAGAACTCAAGAAACTCAAGATTGGAGAGAAGACCTACAACTTTGAAAGGGGAAAACCCATTTCAAAGAGGTTGATTACAAATTTCAACAAGATTAGACAGACTATGGACGACAAAAAGTATGAACTGAAGGAAAAGAGAGGCATTAGATGGGTCAATCTTGGCAAGAACAAAGCACTCACAGGTATTCAAATGAGATATAAAGCAACCACCACCAACGAGCAATCTGCTTTCAAAGGTTATGTCAATTCGCATGCCATCACCAACATCAGGGTAAGAGGCATCAAGGCACTACAGTATTTAAAATACCAAGATTTGATGTTAAAAGAGTAAGAGTATTTGAGGAAACACAATGGAATGAAGGTTATGCTACAGGTCTTCGCCACTTTGAAGAGCAAAAAGACCAATGAAGATGTAAGACAAGTCATCAAGAGTAGAAGATACAACATCACCAACGAAGGTGAAATACTTAATGCTTTGAACCAGATGGCAAGTGATGTAGAGCACCAAGCGGAGGTGATGGAAGTGTCGGAGAGTGGATTAGTCATAGCCCAAATTGATAAACTGAAGTTCAACTATGACAAATACAATCCAACTCGCGGGGGGAAATACATTCCACTACCTAAATGGGTTTCAAACAAAAAAGCGTGTATCAACATCAAAAACCAAGATGAAAAGTGTTTCAAGTATTCCGTTCAATGCGGTATATGTAAGGTTTATGAAAAAGACAACCCCGAAAGAGTGTCTCATTACAAAAGTCTCAATGATGAATTGAACTGGGATAACGTCAATTTTCCGTCATCAGATGTTGATATAGATACACTTGAAGAAAACAACGGAGGGAAAGTAGCAATCAATGTTTATTTTATTGTCCCCCCCAAGAAGGGAAACACTCCATCCTACTCTACAGACAGACCAAGGTTCAAAGAGCAACTCATCAAATCAGTCTTCTAAAACTGGAGGATGGGGATGATTGCCACTATGTATTCATCAAAGACTATGACAAATTGATAGGATGCCAAACCAACAAACACAAAGAAACACTTTATCATTGTTTTCACTGCCGACACGGTTTTCAATCACAGGAACTTTTAGATGAACACAATGAAAAGGGATGTATGGCAATTGAAGGGCAACAGATAGAAATGCCTAATAAAGACGACATTATGGTTTTCAAAAACCACTATAAATAGTTGAAAGCGCCCTTCGTCATCTATGCTGACTTTGAGTGTTTGACAACAAGGACGGGGACAGTTTCAACTAAAGAAGTTAAGACTGATAAATACCAACATCACAGACCCTGCGGTTTTATGATAAATGTTGTCAATAGCATAGGTGGTTCATCAAAACCTTTCCTTTACAGAGGAGAGGATTGTATGGATGCGTTCATTTCAAAAGATTATTGAAGTTAAAGATGAAGTTATGGAGAAGATGAAGGAAAACAAGGAAATGATTTTTAATGCCAACAACAGGAGGGACTTTAATACTGCCACGGGCCACGAAGTGTTTTATTTGTGTTAAAGACTTCCAACAAAGGGACAGAAAGGTTAGAGACCATCGCCACTTTACAGGTAGATATAGGGGATGCGCCCATGATGATTGTAATTTACAGTTTGCTATGCGTTATTATAAAATTCCAGTTTTCCTTCATAATCTCAAGAACTACGACAGTCATTTAATCATTGAGAGGGCAAATGAACTATCAGAAAGGGGTAAGATAGATGTAATAGCACAGAATAGTGAGAAGTTCGTAACATTCACATTTAAAAAAACTTTGTTTCAAAGACAGTTTTTCATTCTTATCGTCTTCATTGGATAAATTGGTGAAGTTGAGTAGGTATGAAGATGGACAGAAGAAACAGCATTGACAAAAGAATTTTAAATTCAGTAACAGAAACCCCTATGTAAGTAATGACATTGATTTAGATTTACTCACTGACAAAGGTGTCTATCCATACGATTATTTCACTTCATTTGACAAGTTTAGAGAAAAGCAATTACCCCCGAAAGAGGCATCTTATAGCAATCTCACCGAAAGTCATATTGAAGATGATGAGTATGAAAGGGCACAGAAGATATGGAAACATGTTGGTATAAGAAATCTTGGACAATACCACGACTTGTATTTGAGAACCGATGTTCTTTTACTAACTGATCTCTTTGAAAATTTTAGAGACCTTTGTTTGGAATACTGCGGTTTAGACCCAGCACATTATTTCACCCTTCCAGACTTTGCTTGGGATGCTATGCTTCTAAAAAATGGTGTGACCCTTTGACCGACCAAGAGATGTATGAAATGATTGAGAAGGGACTTCAGGGTGGAATGTGTCAAGTGGCTCATAAGGAGGCAAAGGCAAACAATATGTATATGAAAGACGTATATGATGAAACAAAACCATCTAACTACATCAACTATTTACTGTAGATGCTAATAACCTTTATGGACTGGCAATGTCAATGAAACTGCCCATAGGAAAACTGAAATGGATAAAGAAGATACTGACAGAAAAGATGATAATGGACTGTAATGAGAACAATGACAATGCCTACATACTGGAAGTTGATTTAGAGTATCCGAAGGAGATACACGACGAACAAGCGGATTACCCATTAGCACCGCAGAATATGAAGATTGAAGAGAAACTACTTTCAAAGCACCAAAGGGAACTACACAGACATTACTACAATGGTAAGGAAGCAAGGGATGAGAAACAACCAAAACTTATCCTAAACCAAATGGACAAAACCAACTATGTAGTCCATATCAAGGCATTACAGTTTTATCTTCAAAAGGGTATGAAACTCAAACAAGTTCATAGAGGGGTGAAGTTCAATCAAAGATTCTGGTTGAAACCTTGGATAGATTTTAACACTGAAAAAGAAAAGAGGCAAAGAGCGACTTTGAGAAGGATATGTTTAAATTGATGAACAATGCGGTTTATGGAAAAACAATGGAGAATGTCAGAAACCACATTGACTTTGAATTAGTCTCAACGCAGGAGAGGATACAAAAGTGTATCAACAATCCTAACTATAAGGGATGCCACATTATCAATGAAGAACTGGCAGGAGTAGAGAAAATAAAGATGAAGTTGAAGTTGGATAAACCAATTTATTTGGGGATGACCATTTTAGACCTTTGAAAGGTTCATATGTATTCCTTCTACTATGATGTCCTCAAAGCAAAGTACAAGGATGATGTAAGACTAATTTAAGGGCTAACGCCCCCTGCCGCCGACCCCTGGAAAAGAACGCGAAGAAGCGGAGGACATCGTGACCGAGGACCGGATAGGGATCATTAGTCTCCTGCACAGGGAGCAGAGCCCTGAATAGGGGCCATATATATATATATAAACTCCTGAACAGGGAGGGCCTCGCAGAGAGGCATTTATGGGGAGATCTGGGGAGTAGTGTGGCATATAGTGTATGTGTCTCTGTGTGTGTGTGGGTGTGTATGTGGGCGTGTGTGTGTGTTGTGTGTTGTGTGTTGTGTGTTGTGTGTTGTGTGTTGTGTGTTGTGTGTTGTGTGTTGTGTGTTGTGTGTTGTGTGTTGTGTGTTGTGTGGTGTGTGGTGTGTGGTGTGTGGTGTGTGGTGTGTGGTGTGTGGTGTGTGGTGTGTGGTGTGTGGTGTGTGGTGTGTGGTGTGTGGTGTGTGGTGTGTGGTGTGTGGTGTGTGGTGTGTGGTGTGTGGTGTGTGGTGTGTGGTGTGGAGCGGGTGGGGATCGGAGGGGGGGGGCGGGGGCTCTTTGGTGGGGGGGGGGCGCTTGGTGGGTGGGTGTGTGGGGCTGTGGGGTGGGGGTGTTTTTTTATTGGGTGGTCTGTGTGGGGGGGGGGCTGTGGGGTTTTTGGGTGGGTGTGGGGTGTGGGGTGTGTGGTTGTGTGGCTTGTGGTGGTGGGTGTGTGGGGGTGTGGGGTGTGGGTGTGTGTGTGTGTGGGTGTGTGGGTGTGTGTGGGTGTGTGTGTGGGTGTGTGTGTGGGTGTGTATGTGGGCGTAGGTGCGTGTGTGTCGGGAATGCAAAACCAGCCAATGGCAGGTGGCCAAGCCGCGTGAACCTGGCCCGTCCTAACGACGCGTTCGGAAACCCTTTGAAAAGTATCTCTAGAAGCTGCCGGCTGCCACCTTTGCCGGGCGCATGCGAAACAGCGCAACAGCAGGGCCTGCTGGTCCCAACCGCGTGTCCCAAGGCCAGGCGCCACTGCCTAACGTTGCTTTCTGAAGCCCTTAGAAAAGTATAGCTCTGAGAGCTGCCGGCTGCCACCTTTGCCGGGCGCATGCGAAACAGCGAAACAGCAGGGCCTGCTGGTCCCAACCGCGTGTCCCAAGGCCAGGCGCCACTGCCTAACGTTGCTTTCTGAAACCCTTAGAAAAGTAGCTCTGGAAGCTGCCGGCTGCCACCTTTG